GATTACAAAGCAGTATACCTATATTATTTAAATTACTATTAAATTACTATTTATTTCTCTAAAGTTCATACATTTCATACATTTATATATCACACGACAATCACTAGCACCAGAAGCACAATCAATGCTACAATGAGAACACCAATACAACAATCACCAGCTCTTTCTTGATTCTTTCTTATAACGTGTTCAACTTGTCTCATTCCACGTCCTAATTTACCTCCAACTCTATCCAATTCAGAATCAACTTCATCAATAATATATGCCTGATCTTCTAATTCTTCACCCATGGTTCTAGCTTGTAAGTTAATGTTTTGCATTGTGGTATATACACCATCTAATTGATCATCTTGTTCTCTCATCATTTCTTCTTGTTGTAATTGACTAAATTTATTATAATCTTCATCAACAACACCATTTGCTTCACCTGATTTCCCGTTTTCATCTGTTTCATCATACCTTATAAAAGGATTATTACTATTCCCATTTTTACTTGACCATTGTAATTGTAATTGTTGTATTGAATCTTCTAATTTTTTAACAATTGATTCTCTTTTATTTATTTCTGTATTGCTAATTTGGAAAAATTCTGGATCTTCTTTACTTGATTGAATAGATTCTTTTAAATCTGATATAGTTTCTTCAAGTTCACTTATATTATTATTGAAATCTGATCTATTATTTTCATTCACTATTGTAATTTTTTTTAGAAATTCTTCTAAATTTGTAATTTGATGTTGAGCATCTTCAAGTACTTCAACGAATGGATCCATATTTATATATTTATAGTTGAGAAGTGGATTGAATTTGGTAATATAATTATTATGATCTTGAAAAGAATGTATTTATATTGAAATAGACCTGTTTTACTAGCTTGAACTACCCTTTCTTAGTAATTTTGTTTTCTTCTTTGTTGTTGAAATTCCCTTTAAAATTGAATTTCGTGGAGTTTTAAAAATAACAATTCGCGATTTTTTTTTGACTTTTCGCGCTTTTATAGTTTATAATTTGATAAAGTAAACAATAATTTTGACATAAACATTTTTGTGAAGAATAGACATATTTTACTAGGGAAAGATGAGTACAAGCGGTGATATCGAGGTCAAGGATGCTCCAGTAGAGGATAGGGCTAGTAGAGAATCAACAGTTTCTGCACCAATCGAACAAACACCAACACCAGGTCCAGCTCCAATACAGAATGAAAAATCTCAAAATCAAGAATTACAACAACAAGATCAAATTCCTCAAATATCAGTTCCTCAACCTAAATCAAATACACAATCACCACAGATAAAAAGTGAGGAAATCTCATCAAGAAATACACCTGTACCTCAAGTACTTCAATTCCAAGTACCTAATGATCAAAAAGTTTCAGATATAGTTGGTGGTGCACCAGTAAGACAATGGTTAAATGAACATGTTACACCAACTTTATTACAAGGTGTTCGTAAAATTTCAACTGAAAGGTATGTTATAGAGTGAATTTTAACTGTTTGGGGGAACGTTACTAACAATTAATAGACCTGAAGATCCATTGAAAGTTCTTGGTGAATATTTAATAGAACAAAGTAAAAATAAAACTAATGATTCATGATCAATCTTTTTTTCATATATAGGAACAATCAATTAAATGTGCTATAGATTTTCAATCAAATTAAATCATCTTGTATTATAAATTATATATATATATATAATAGTTAAACTCCAAAAACAAATTAAAAGCAAATTCAAAATAAATCAATTAATGAACGTTATAATCTTTTAAAACTTCTCTTCTTTAAAACTTTGATCATCATAATTTTGTTGTAAGAAATTTAATCCTAAACTTCCAAAAAGGTTTAATAAACCAACTCTCCAACCTCTAAATAATGCTTCAATACCACCATTTGGACCTGGATGATGATAAATATCAAATAATGTTTTGAAAAGACCTGAATAACCACCAAATCCAACAATTAATTGGTCTTCATTTCTAATCTTTAATGTATTACCATCTTCTGATTTTTTCAATAAAAATGCAACTTGAGCTCTTCTATATAATGTTTCAATTGGTAATCTAACAAATAACTCTAAAACAGATGAAACAACACCAATTGTACTATTTAAAACTGGTGAAGCATATGAATCAATACCAAATTTAACAACAATTAAATATGGTGTAAATTTCTTAAAAATTGTATTTGCTAAAGTATTCAAAATATTTGGTATAATTAAAGAAATTGGACATGTGAAATATTTTAAATCCCTGATAGAATTTCTAATACTTCTTTCATTATTATTAATTGAAGAAACAATCAGTTTAGTCTTGATCAAATCTAATGGTGCTAGTAATAAACCTGTTAAAATTGAAGCTGTAATTGATAATGCTAAGGTTGTAGTAGGTTCTGGTGAATGGGCAACATCAACGAAAAATGGATCAGGAATTTGTAAAAAAGGTGAAATAAATCCTGTAATCCATGCTTCTAAAGTTGATGATAATGCATTGAATATAAAAGTTGCATTAGTTGCTCTCCATAATCCTCTTGTTCCTTCTTTTGATAATAAACTTGACATAACATCAACAGTATTTAATGAAACTGGTGTGATATGATTTGGATTTTTTTTACGTAAAGGTATTGGTGATGGTGTTTTTTGACTTCTTATTGGAGATGTTTCCACTTTACGTTTAATTGTTCTTGTTCTTCTTGATGGTTCTGGTTCATCATCTTCATGTTTAGAACGGAAATAATAAACTTCATCATCATGTTCATCATCATCATCATCGTCATCATCATCATCAGCTTCGTTATTATCATTATTATTTGTAGTATTAAAGTTTTTCTTAGTTCCATTGGATTGTGAATTAACGCTTTGAGAACCCGTTGTTTGTATATCACCAATTTGTAATAATAATCTAGCAACTTCAAAAGGTTGAGCAATTAAACATCTTAAATAACTTTTAATCAATGAATTTATTAAAGATTTGATTAATTCACTAACATTTTGTAATTCAAAATATTCTGAAAATTCTAAATCTGAATACATATTTTTTTTAATATTTTCATTATATTGATTTATCCGTATTAGATTCTTCATTGATGATTTACCATTCCCACTAAACCCTTTAGAGACACTTCCTATACCCAATGAATTATTGATTGATCTTTTCAAATTGGAAGAACTGACGATTTTGGAAGCAATAGTATTCCCATGTTCATCAACAACACCAATTCCTGGTCTATAAATTGCAGGACCTCCAGCATGGAAGGTTTCTGAATCATAATATGGTCTTAAATTCTTTGTTGATTCAGCCATTTCTTAAGATTCAAATCTAAAGCATATAACAAAATAATATGTCAGAAAAATCCAACTTTTAAAATCAATTCTAGTCAATATATTTGGCTTAATTCTAAGGGGGGCAATTTTTGCTTTATCAAGTGTAGTATTGTGATTTTTTTTATTTACCTAAAAAATTCAAAATCAAGACCAAAAAAATTCCGTAGGACATAAAGTGTTATATTCGCGAACATTAACGTCAATTATTAACAACAAATTTACAATTAGATTTAATACAAACAAATAATATTTATTAAACTCATTAAATCATTAAAATGGTAAGCAAACATTGGATCAAGTGCAGTTTATAAGTTTTCTTTTTCTTCAAATTGGTCAAGTGTATCAAATTCGTACTTCTTTTTGGATCTTGGTGTCAAGTTCCCTTCGTTAGTATTTAAATATGAATTTGTACTCATGACTCTAGTTGATAATGGATTCTTACGTGGACTATTTGCTTTTGACGGTGAAGGTTGCTCATTGGCCAATTTCGTTATAGCAGCAGCACCGTATATGTTTTTAATTTTATTCAGATTTAAATTTGATAATTTGGATTGGAACTCTTCATAATCAGAAGTTAATTCTTTGAACTCATTAAATCTTTGAATATAAGCTTTATTCAATGCTTCTAATTGAGTTTCAACTTTGACTTTCTGTTTTGTCAGGTCCAATAACTCACTTTGGGTTTCATTTTTGGATTTTTCAGTTTCAAGTTTTGATATCAACTCTGAAATTTCTTTATCTTTTAACTCTAGTTGTAATTTTTGATTTTCTTGTATTTGAGATTCTTTCTCTGATAAAGATTTGGATTCAAAATGTTGCTTCAACTCATTGTGTTTGGTATCATAATTTTCAAGTGATTTCTGGAAAGCTTCTTTTAAGAAGGAAGTTGATGTATCGATACCTTTATAATTTGTAGACATTTGGTCATGCGTGCTTTGAATTTGTTCCAATAACTTCTCAAATGATTGTGTGCTATTATCTGTCAATTTCTTTATTATAGAATATTCAAATTCTTTGAACTGTGTGGTGTCGATATTTAATGACTTTTGTGACTCTTGAATCTCAGCAAACTTAACTGAATGAAGTTTATTTATTTCTTCAATTTTCTCTTGTAATGAATCAACTATTTTGCTATTATCAGATTTCAAATCTTTAACATCCTTTTCTAACTGATCCATGGATGGGAACTTCAAGTCTTTTAACTCTTTGGATAAGTCATCAGTTCTTTGAGCGCCTTCTTTCACAAGTTCAGCGACTGGACTTTCTTGAATCCTTGTCTCAATTTTATTAACTGAATCAATCAATGTATCCTTTAAACTATCAATCGATAGATTTAATTTATTAACATCTGGGCCGCGTTCAAGTCTCGATTCTAAGCCTTGAACAATCTTTAGTTGGTCTGATTGATATGATTTGATTAATTCTAAAGTCTTGGTTAAAGCATCTATGTTGGTATGTAATTCTTTGGTGAATTCTTCATTTTTCGACTGTGAGTCATCTTCAAGTTTCAGCTTCAAATGATCAAGTTTTTCTATTATACCACCATTATGTTCCAAATGTTTTTTATGTTGAGCCTGAATAGATTCTAAAGCATCAGAAACCAATTTTTCTACTTTATCATTATTATTACTCTTCTCTCCAACAACTGGTAATGTGGACTTGACATTTTGTACCAAATCTTTTAAATGCGTATTATTATTTGAAGATCTTTCAACTAAGCTTTCTAGGTCTAATTGTGTTTGCTTCACCGAAGTATCAACACCAACAACAAGACTTCTCAAATTACTTTGACCATTGATTATTCTTTCCAACTGATGTTCAATCTCTGTATTATCTGGGATTGTTGCAAATTGTAATTTACCAACGGAGTTTGGACTCAGATTATTCTTGTTCTTGTTACCTGTTATCCTTATCATTTGAGGTGATGCTGGTAATGGCGGAGGATTTCTGCGAGGATCACCACTATCCCACATACTCTTGCTAGTTGGAGAACCATTCAAGGACTTGGTTGGTGAGCGAGGTGGTGGAGTCAAGTTTGGATCTTGGTTTTCTGAGTTATCAATTTCAATCTTATCAGTCATTTTCACGATGTGGCTTGTACTTCTATATTGAGCTTTATATCATTCAACAGAAAGTATACCGTTTTAAGTTATCCTAGCACTTGACGCTGTGTTATAAATCTGTAGTTTTCCTTGACTTATTTTGCATTTGTTGATGATTTTTCTGAAATGTAAATAAAACGATTCGAAACGTAAACAAACAAATTCGCGAAGGTTCACGAAAACCGACCATAATAATCACGTGAAAGAAATTTTAAACCTCGGAAATTCTCAAGCGGTCGGGTCACACTTGACTGAAATTTTTCATGCGTAAATCTGAACACCAGCGAAAAACTCAGAATGGTTAAATTTTTCGACGCACTTTTGATATTTTTCACTAGTGTTAAAGGTATAGCTGTTTGGTGCTAGTGTTTGAAAGAAGTATACAAAACTCAACAAGTAAAGATGGCTAAATTCATTAAATCTGGTAAAGTTGGTAAGTAGAAGCCAGGTATCACTATTGAACACCCATATTCCCAAATCCATAAGCAAAGTGTGATGTTTGAAGGGCAGAATGTTATATTGAAGATAATTTTTTTTCACCATCATAATGAAAAATTTATTAAAAGAACCTATGGAGACAGTCAAATCACAACAACTCAAAAGTAATGATTGTAATGTGCAATGTTTAATACTCATGAACCAAGAGAGTCTACTAAGGGAAAAGAGAGACCAAGTTTGGAAAATTTTGTTGTAGATCTAGGTTGTGACTAGTAAAAGTATTTATAATATGGTAAATCAACAAACAATCATGAAGATACAGTAATAGGAATTAAATAATCATAGCTATAGGATTGGAGAATGGTGAAGTTTATCAGAACTCTATACTAACAAAATATTAGCCATTGTTGTCCGTGGTCGTTACGCTGGTAAAAAAGTCGTTATCGTCAAAGCTCACGATGAAGGTTCAAAAGCTCACAAATTCGGTCACGCTTTAGTTGCTGGTGTTGAAAGATACCCAACCAAAGTCTCAAAAAGAGCTGGTGCTAAAAAAGCTGCTAAAGCTTCAAAAGTTAAACCATTTATCAAAACCGTTAACTACAACCATTTATTACCAACTCGTTACACTGTTGATGTTGAAGAATTCAAATCAGCCATCACCACTGAAACTTTCGATGAACCATCCCAACGTGAAGAAGCTAAAAAAGTTGTTAAAAAAGCTTTCGAAGAAAAATACCAATCTGGTAAAAACAAATGGTTCTTCACTAAATTAAACTTCTAAGTTGAGTTTTGTTTCGTGTGAAATAGAAAAAAAAAATCATCATAATACAATTTAAAAGTTCTAATGAGTTTCTTTGAAGCATAACATTGTAGATATACTGTAATTTGTACGATTAATGAAAGCTGTATTGCGCTTTGGTTTTGGAGTACTAGGGTATTGGAAAGTTCACCCGCGAAAATTTAAAATATTACGATGCCCTAAAATTTTGGAATATATAGGTGCAACTCCATACTTGAGTATTAGATCTTGTATATCTTATTACAGTGTCGACAATGCTCGGAAGAAGATTGATTCCTAGAATTGAAAGAAGGAACCTACTGAGGTGGAGTTCATCTAACACCAACTCTGAAGTCAAAATTGCAAATTCTGTGATTTTGAAGAAACCAGCCTATGATCTTAAAGGTATAAGTGAGAATCTCGATCAATATATTGAAAGTTCACAAAGAAGAGAATTACCAGAAAATACTCTACAAGAAATTAAAAAAACAAAAGATTATTATGTAAAAGTCAAAGAATTAACCAATCAGTTAAAAAAGCTACAAGCTGAAAAGAATATTTCTCAAGTGGCTTTGAAAGAGTTAAGAACCAAGAACGAAATTGGAACTTCTAAATATGAAGAGCAGTTAAAAATACAATCAATGTTGAAGAAACTTGAAAAGGAAACAAATGAGAAAATCAAATCAGAAGAGCTAACATTATACTCATTAATGGAAAATTTCCCAAATAAAATTCATGAATCAGTCAAAGATGAACAAGAATTAATCAAATACCTTAATCCTAAAGAAAAGTATGACCAAATAGAAGCTTTAGAACATAGCAAAATAGCACAGGATTTAGGGATACTGAACCTGAAAGCTGCCTCAAATGTTAGTGGTGCTTCATGGTATTATTTGATTGGTGATGGTGCATTATTAGAACAAGCATTAGTCCAGTATTCATTGAGTCTTGCCAGAAAAAAAGGTTATAAAATGGTCACTCCTCCATCCATTGTTAGAACAGAAGTTTCAAATGCATGTGGATTCAAACCAAGAGATCAAAACGGCGAAGTTCAAACTTATGAATTGAAACATGATAATTTGGTATTAACAGGTACTGCTGAGATCCCATTAGCTGGTTTAGCCATTGAAAAAGTCTACAAAGAAGAAGAATTACCTGATAGAGTTGCTGGTGTGAGTCGAAGTTATAGAGCTGAGGCAGGTGCTAGAGGTAAAGATACAAAAGGTTTGTATCGTGTTCATGAATTTACTAAAGTCGAGTTGTTTGTTTGGGCTACAGATAAACAATCAGAAGCTGAACTTGAAAAACTGAGAGAGTTTCAAGAAGAGTTGATTCATTCATTAGGTCTTTCTGCTAGAGTATTGAGTATGCCAGCTAATGATCTTGGAGCCCCAGCTATCAAAAAGTATGATATCGAAGCATGGATGCCAGGAAGAGGTAATTGGGGTGAGTTGACATCCACATCAAACTGTACAGATTATCAGTCAAGAAGAACACATACAAAATACAAAAACAAAGAATTGAAGAAAAACTTGTTTGTCCATACTTTGAACGGTACTGCTTTAGCTGTTCCAAGAGTTATTGTCGCAATAATTGAAAATTTCTATGATCCTTCCACAAACAGGGTTTCCATCCCAAAAGTTTTACAAAAATACATGGATGACAAAGAGCACATAGAATTACAATAGTATCACCTTATATATAGCCCCTTCAAAGCATTTAATTTGTATATAACAATAAAAATTCATTAGAAAGATCAGTTAAGTATGTACCGGCAAATGGTGATGTTGCTCGGACCACCTCGCAGATTTTAACCCTGAAAATATGCTTAATATTTTTTATATAGGAATTTAGTAATGCTATAGTAGAGCAACAGCAAAAAGCTAATACAAATCAAACAATTGACATCAAAAGAGTTCACGATTGCATTATCACTAGTTTAATCACAAGATACTCTCCATATTCAGAGAAATCATTAAGAATAACTGTGAATTTTCTGTTTTCATTGAAAGCGCTTCATTTCTTGTTAAATAGTGTTTGAAGGAGCTAACAGAATAACTTTTGCCATCGTTACGTATTGATTCAATACCAACACATACTTTAACTCAATTATTTATTATTAAAACATTTGAACTGATCCAAATAACCTATTCCTTTATTTAAACTATTACCTTTTGTGCTTCTTAAAGTTTTAGATTAGATTAGGTGTTGCTTGGTTTGCTGAGGAATTTTTGATCTTGTGTTAGGTACATTATATGAAAATATGTTGATCACTAAAAGACAGGAGAAATCCATTCAAGACATTTCCAAACCTTTGGAAAGCATCATCAAATCAATCAAAGACGCTTCAAATGATGAACTACCGAAGGTTTTGCGTGCTAATTTGACTTGGGATACATCAAAAGGTACATTGTTAACTTGGATTGATATCTTGAACAAATTTGATTCCATTTTAGAATCAGTCGTCAATAAATACAAATTAGGGGAAGAACAAGCTAAGCTAGTTGTTATGGATAATAAAGATACTGAATTGGTCGTATCAATTCTTGACTTCACTTACATGTTATTAGATAACTCTTCACATAAATCTGCTTATTCAAGTTCACACAGACTTTATGACCTTTTACAATCACCAACTATTCCAGTCATTAAAGCTGTTTTGAGATGTTTTGTCATTTTAGGTAAGAAGTATTCAATTAAATCAATGAGAAGAGGATTTGTTGCTACTAGAAAAGTTTCAGATAGAGTTTATCCTTTGGCTTTACTTTTACCAGCTTCAACCGTCGCAACAAGTACAACTAATGAAGAGAATCGTTCATTGATTGATTTCATCAAGGAGACTGCAGTGGTTCCAAAGAAATGGAGAAACATTGAACATACCTATTTTCCAGAAACTGAATACAAAGAGTCTGTCCATACAGAACCATCTCCAGTTCAGAACTCACCATCAGTTAAGAAGGTTAGAAATCAACAACAACAACAAATCTCACCTACTAAAGGGAAGAAACAACAACAGCAAAAAGGTTCAGATAAAGATCAAAAGAACGGAGGTGGTGCCGCTGTATACTATTTACCAGAGTCTGAAATTCGCAAGTTATCATTGGAGCAAATCTTTGATAAAGGTGTTGAAAGATTACCAAGTAAAACATGGTATAAATTTGCCCTTAAAGCAATTATGACCAAGTCATTCAACACAAACTCATATGAAAATATAAAGTTACGTCAAGATTTAGTTATCATCAAACTTTTGGCTATTTCATTATTAGTTTCTGTTAATAGTGAATTTGAAGTTACATCAAGAATCTTTGAAGCTGATCCAAACTTATTACAGTCTGCTATTGAATTAACCAACTTACAAAATCCAGTCCCATTAGAAATTAGAATGGCTGCTGTTATTTCATTAGACTGCATTTCGTCATTGAAGACTTGGTCAACTGAGATTCTAAAAAGTTATGGTGGTAGTATTTCCCATGGTCTTTTATTACAAAACGTCAGATACATCATTAAGCAGATTAAAAATAAAGATACAAATATCGATGAAGATTTTAACACTTATTATTTGACAGTTATTTCAAACTTGGCAGAAGTAAAATCATTAGGTGCAACTTTGGTATCTGCTGGGTTGATTCAAACACTCACTGAATTTTTACATTTGGAAACTGACTACAAGAAAACAGTTGCTGGTGCTACTCATTTATTAAATACTGTTATCTCAACATCATCAGATTATGTGACACTTTTCAGGGAACTCAATGGGTTCAATACCTTGATTGGTATTATTGGTTATGAAATTGAATTTGCTTTAAACAATCCAGGATACGGTGGTGGTCCTCCAAAAATCACAGCTGTGCATTATTCAATCAGTTTTAAACAAGCAAATTTGATAAGGTCTTTTTTGAAATTTGCACATAGTTTGATTCAATCAGAGAGTGGTGATAGAGTAAGAAACCTCTTTGACTCCCCATTATTAGGCCATTTAAATAACATTTTACAAAACACCAACGTTTTTGGATATACTTTGTTGACTTTGGCCATCAATACAATCTCTGCCATTATCCATAATGAACCAACTTCATATGGTATATTGAAAGAAGCTAACACAATTGATTTGATTGTTGATAATTTTGAAAAATACTTTGGTAAATCATCAGAACTTATAACCGCATTACCTAATGTTATTGGTGCCATTGCTTTGAATACTGAAGGTTTACAAAGAGTCAAAGAAAGTAATTTGATTCATAAATTATTCAAAATTTTCGATAATAATGATTACGCTAAAGCTTTGGTCGTGGATGATGCATCTGATTACTTCGGCTCTACAATTGATGAATTAGCGAGACATTATCCTGACTTGAAACCTATTATCATTAATGAAGTTGCAGAACTTATCAAGAAACTACCAGGATTTGCCAAGAGCCATTTACCAACTCCAAAGATTTACAAATCAGAAGCTGGATCTTTTTATCATTCCAAAGAGGACGAGGTTGTTGACAACGAAGAAGGTTCAAATCAAATTGATGCTTGGGAAACTTTAGATGAAGCTTATATTGTTGAAAATGCTATGGTTTTCATTGGAAATCTGATTCAATACAGTAATGCTTGGATCACTATAATGGATAAATTACCTTTCGAAGACTGGTTGCCATTGCTCACACTTCCAAACTCATCATATGACTACGTTTATTCCAACAGTATGTACCCAGTCAATGGTATATTGAAGTACTTTGATGATGAAAGAAGGGAATATGCTCCTAGAATCCTTATTAGTGAAATTCATAAACAAGTTTCGTCTTTTAAAGACTACATCGCTTCCAATGAATCAAAATCTTTGTTCCAAGTTTATGATGGAAATGCTGAAAAATCTGATGATCTTCTCAACAGAATGATTTCTGTTAACAATATTTTATTTGCATTTGTTGACGTTTATTGCAACCAAACTACACTTTCTCCAACTAGGGTTGGCCAATTGGCAAGATTTTTTAGTGATAAAGAAGGATTGGAATTGTTAGAATTGCTAGGACAACTTTTGAAGCGTGTTACATACGAAGAAGAGGTTATTCGCTCAACTTTACCTGAAATTACATCCAAAGAAACTATTCCAAATATTGCTGACGAAGGAATTCCACCTCTACGTATAGTGGCTGGTAAGGAGAAACCACAACCTGTATTCAACAAAACAAGTGCAAAGTTTAAAAATACACTTCAGGTAAGATTTTTGGGTAACAGAATTCATGGATCCATTGCTGTTATATTCAATACGCTTTTAAGCCTGACAAATTCAGGAAGACAAGAGACTACAGTGGATTCGTATAGAGGATTTAGTGTTTTGGTTACAACAACAGTTACTAAAATCTTGAGTGACTACTTGGTATTAGATACTAGCTTGACAGCATCCTATCAGTTGGTTTTGATAGATACCATATCATATGCTTTAATGGATGCAAGCTCTGGAAAGATTTTAACACTCCCTGCCATCACTTTTATGCAAAATGAAGGGTTCATAAGACAACGTGACATTCTATTACATATTTGGCCTCAATTAGGGAATTTAACTGAAACCCAAATCAAAGAACTCACAGAAGCCAAACATACAATAGATACTTCTGAAAGTATTGTTTTGGAAATTGTTACTCATATTTTGGATCTTTTCAACTTGATAACCAATTTTGAATTATTGACCTCTGTTAGCAATGGACCATTATACTATGAAGGTGATTTACAAGGTGCAGTTAATTTACCAGTACATAATTTATCTGTATCATTTTTGACACAATCAAAATTACTCGGATTTGGTGCACTTTCTGGTATCTTGGATGAAGACCAGTTTGCCTCTATCGATGAAGGAGTGAAATTACCACCATCAGTTGTTTCTGGATTGATCAAATTAGGAAAGCAGCTATACAGTACTGCTGGTGAAAAAAACTTAAACTATACAGATGGTTCGTTGTATAAATTGGATTGGAAGCAAGCTAAAGATTCTCATAATAGAGTGGAATATCTTCAATCTCTTGGGTTATCAGAGGAAGTTTCACTTAGAATTGTTAATCAACATGGTGGTGACTTAACAGTTTTAGAAGAAGAGAACTTACCCGAAGGCTTAGGATCTCCTGATGAATGGAAAACTGCCGTTGAAAAATCCAAGGAGTTGAAATATAATAGACCTACACCAGTGTTGGTTTTGCCTCAATATGCTGATAAACATACATTAACAGATCTTGAAGAGGCTCGTCAATCAAAGAGCGACTATTTGCTAGATCAATTTTTGTTGATTGCTCAAGTTTATCCAGAGACGGTACAAAGTGTTTCTGAATTTTTATTGTCTTCATTTTTGGGCTCATCAAAACATAACGTTGTAAATTTTGAAGCAAACATATTACGTACTGTACTTGATTACATCTATTCATTTGAAATCAAAAATGAAAATTCACAAGAATTATCATCAATGCTTAAATTATTTGGTCTATTACTAGAAAACGATACAGTTTATTTTGGTGCTTCATCAACTATGAAAAATTTCGCAAGCTTCATTATTGAGTCACTGAAACCTGAGTTTGCTGATTGTGATTGGTTTTCTGAGGCCATCTTTGCTCTACATAGAATAATTACTGTGACATTACTGCCTGATTATGAGAAAGTTGATAAAGATATTGCATTTGCTCTTCCAAAGCCTCCTCAAATCACATTTGAACTTGAGCCTACGCTGAGAGATGATTTGTTCAAAATTTTAATAAGTGTAAAGGATTTGACAAAATTCAAAAGTGCACTAGCTGTAACAAGGGCGCTACTTATCTTCTCAAGAAACCCTGAAAGATCTAAAGAAATTTTAAAATCAAATCTCATCCAGTTAATTGTCAAAGTCATTTCAAAAAGCAAGTATTCGGAGGATGAGAAACCATATTCACTTGAATTAGCATTCTCTTTACTTGTCAGAAGCTGCTATGAGACTAAAGACGTTATTTTATCTCTTATTCAAAGGGAAATCAACAGACAGTTCACTTCCAAGAGTCGTTCAGATAATAGTAAAGAAAAGATTAGAGATCTTGTCTCATTGGTTAAAGATCATGCTGGTGTGATTTTACGTTTCCCAGAACTTTACATCGATGAACTATCCAAAAACACCAGATTCAATGACTTTAGTATACCATTGAGAAATTTAAATGTTCGCTATCACCAAGAAAAAGAAGAGGACGTTCCAATGGTCGATGCTGTTACTGGTAATAAGGATGTAAATGAAAAGTCAACAACATTAGATGACCAAACCGGTATTGTTCATTTATTATTGACAGAATTAATGACAACAGCAAAAAAAGATTGGACAACAGAGCCACCTTTATCTGAAAAAGAGCTTGAAGAACAAAGAAAAGAAAAGGAAAAGAATGAAATGCCTAAGGCTCCTAAAGTGGACGTAAACAAGAATGAGAACTGCAGATATATGTTATATTTGTTGAAGGTTATTGTTGAGTTGTTGGCTTCATATAAACAATCGAAATTAGAGTTTTTGACATTTTCCAAGAAGCAATTGTTCCAAACAGAAGCAGATAATGATATATTCAAACCACGCTCAACATCTTTAAACTTTTTCCTCCACCAGTTGATTCAAGGTTCTGTTACAGATTTGACTAAGCCTGAAGACATTAGAAAAAGGGCAGTTTCTGAATTGGCATCAAAGGCTATCGTTGCATTCATTTCTAGTATTGATCAAAGTGACTTGAAGGCAGATGCAAAAAAGGTTGATCCTGATATGACTTTCATAAGAAAGTTCACTGTTGATTCCATATTGAAGGTTGTTAAAGACGTCACTCTTTCATCTCAAACAATGAATGTTAGATATAAAAAACTTATCTCTGTTAATAAAATAATTCCTTCGTTACTTTCTACTTCAAGAGAAAAACTAGTGGAGGAAGGTACTGTTGAGTTTGATGGATTTCATATGGCCAAGAGCATGATTGATGCAAGCATACCACAAGCATTGACAGGTGTTTTAACTGAAATTGATGTCAATTATCCGGAGTACTATTTTGTTCTAGATTCAATAGTCACATCACTACAAGTTATATCTAGTGCCAAATCAAAGTTCCAAGATTTATTCAAAGAATATCTTCCAAACACAGGTGCTGATGAAGAAGAACTAGAAGAAGATGAAAATGATTTCAAAGAGGAAACACCAGATTTATTCAGAAATTCTACATTAGGAATGTATGACGTTGATGAGATTGATTCCGAAGAGGATATGAGTGATTATGATGACGATTTTGATGAGGATGATCCAGATAGATCCTTAGAGATTGTTTATAGTGAGGATGATGATGAAGAGGATGAAGATAATGACGAGGAATTGATCGATTCTGACGGTGAGGAAGTCGCCGAAGTTGAAGATGCTGACGAGATCAATGAACATGGGTTTGAAGACTTTGAAATGGAAGATGATATGTCAGAAAGCGAAGATTCAGGATCTGGCTCAGAAAGTGGCTACTCAGATGATGATGAGCATATGGAAGATGGTTCTGATGTGGAGTTAATTGCTGATTACGATCATTCTGGTGTATCAGATGATGAATCAGAAGAGCCAAGAGCACATAGAAATTCAGCCGGTAGATTTATTGACGTTCTTGCTGAGCAATCTGATTTGGAGTCAGAACTTGACGAGATGGTAGGTGATGATGAAGATGGTGTTGACTTAGGAAGTAGTTCCCCTTCAGGTAATCATTTACACGAGGGTAATGGTAATCTTGGGTTATTTTTAGATGCAGATGATGATGATAGCAACGAGTCAGACCTTGACAGTGATGAAAATGATTTAGATCCTTTCAGTGCTCTTCTTTCAAATCCAAGAACTCACAGAAGATCAGCACGTCCACATGATCATAATATTCGCCCTGCAAGGGTTGTTATTAATGCTCAAGACCTTGGAAGCTTAGATCCTGCATCTATACGTGAAAGTATTCAGAGAGCCACCGCAAACCTCACATCACAACAAATGCGTGGAATGCCAGATCTTGGTCAGTTTGAAAGCTTGTTGAACCGTGAAAGTCTACGCAGAGTGCTACATCCTGGTGGTGTACTCAATAGATCTTCTGAGTCTGAGATGACCTTGAAGTCGACTAAAGAAAGATGGAATGAATTAAACACTTTGTTCTTCGGTAAATCACCTCAATCTTTGAGAGTTATTCCTTCTATTATCAACAGAATTTTTGATCCAAGTGAACAACTATTTCATAAGAAGAAAGCAGAGGAAGATGAACGCAGAAAGAAAGAAGAAGAAGAGTTGAAAAAGAAAAAGGAAGAAGAGGAGACTAAAAGAAAAGAAGAAGAAGCTGAACGCAGAGCTTCTAGAGCAGCTGCAGAAGATGATGAAATGGAAGTTCAAGATGCTCACAATGAAGAACGTGAACCTATTTATGTGATGATAGGGGATCGCCAAGTTGACATTGCTGGCACAGATATCGATCCTGAATTTTTCGAAGCATTACCAGATGATATGAGAGAGGAAGTTTTCACCCAGCATGTCAGAGAACGCCGTGCACAAGCTACTGATTTAGGAACTGGATCTCGTGAGATTGACCAAGACTTCCTTGAAGCGTTACCTGATGCTATCCGTGAGGAAATTTTGGCACATGAAGCCATAAATGCAAGAGTGGCACCTGTAATGGAGAGTCTTAATGCAAATGCTAATCGAGCACAAGAGGCTACAGGTGAAACTACAGAAAGAACTGATGAGCCTGCAGCACGTACAGGAAAGCAAAAGACTTTCTTCACGCCGCTTGTTGACAGATTTGGTATTGCGTCTTTAATTCGTTTTGTTTTTGTTCCACAATCATTTCAAGGTAGAAGATCTTTGTATGATCTTTTGGGTAAAATTTGTATTAATAAACAGAGTCGTGCTGAAGTTTTAGGTTACCTTATTGCTATTTTACAAGATGGTATCAATGATCAACAATCTTTAGAAAAGACTTTCCATCAAATATGCTCAAGAGCAAAGAATACAACAATCAACTTGAATACGGGTTCAAGTGCAAAACCTTCAACACCAAGAACCCCAAACACACCACAAGCAAAGGGTAATACAGCATTGAACCATTTCCCAATTAGGGCTACACCATTTATTGTTTCTGGTCAAGTTCTTGAGGCTTTACAGTACCTCTTGGAATCAGATCCTCATTTAAGATATTATTTTTTGAGTGAGCATGAACCGATCATTTTGGCTAAAAAGTCTTTGTCTGCTAAATTTAAAAAAGAGTTATTAGGAAAACATTCAAAATATCCATTGAACTCCCTTTTGAGTCTCTTAGATAGAAGTCTGGTCAAAGAGAAATCTGTTTTGATGGATTTGTTATCAAGAATAATCCAAATTACTACACGTCCATTGAATGCCCTCAAAAAGGCCCAAAATGAAAAGGCCAAATCTTCTGATGAAAATAATGAAAAGCAAAAGAAGAACATTGATCTTCCAAGCGTTGCAGATTCAAGTTTCAGTAATGTGGTTACTATTTTAACATCGGATGATTGTTCCAGTAGAACATTTCAACAAACTTTAAGCGCAATGCAAAACTTATTGGTTGTTGATTCCAGTCATAATATCTTTGCTTCAGAGCTTTCAGATTATGCATCAAAGCTTGGTAGAGTTATTATTTCAAACATTTCTGCACTTGTTGATGAACTCAAAGCATACACAGTTAATGATTTGGATGCCGAACTTATGTCAAAATTCACATCCTCAAGTTCTGACCAATCAAAACTTCTAAGAGTTTTAACAGCTTTGGATTATCTCTTTGGAAAATTAGAGGAGAACGATACAAATCTTAAGGAATTGACAGATTTATACAAGAAGCTAGCATTGGGTCCACTATGGGGTGCTTTGAGTGATTGCTTATACTTATTGGAGGAAAATAAAAATATAACGCATACAGCTACTGCTTTATTACCATTGATTGAAGCTTTGATGGTGGTTTGTAAACATAGCAAAGTGAAGGAGCTTCAAGCTAAGGATGCTATCAAGTATGAGAACAAGAAATGTGATTTCGCAAATGAACCAATAGAAAGTTTATTCTTTTCATTCACTGACACACATAAGAAAATCTTGAATCAAATGGTCAGGTCTAATCCTAAGTTAATGAGTGGTCCATTTTCTATGTTGGTGAGAAACCCAAGAGTTTTGGAGTTTGACAACAAGAAGAACTACTTTGATAGAAAGTTACATTCAAATGAGAATGAAAAGCAAACATTAGCTGTTTCTATTCGTCGAGACCAAGTGTTCTTAGATTCATATAGAGCTTTGTTTTTCAAATCTAAGGACGAGTTCCGTAATGCTAAATTGGATATCAGTTTCAAAGGTGAAGCAGGTGTTGATGCAGGTGGTGTTACAAGAGAATGGTTCCAAGTCTTATCACGTCAAATGTTCAATGCTGATTATGCGTTGTTTTTACCAGTTGCTTCTGATAAAACAACATTCCATCCAAATCGTACCTCATGGGTCAATCCAGAACATTTGTCATTCTTCAAATTCATCGGTCGTATTATTGGTAAAGCTATTTATGATAATTGTTTCTTGGACTGTCATTTCAGTAGGGATGTTTACAAAAGTATATTGGGACGTATTGTTTCGTTGAAAGATTTAGAAACCATTGACTTGGAGTATTTTAACTCATTGATGTGGATGTTGAATAATGATATTACTGACATCATCATTGAAACATTTGCTGTTGAAACTGATGACTATGGTGCTGTTCAAACTGTTGATTTGATCCCAGGTGGTAGAGATATTCCTGTTACAGAAGAAAATAAACAAGACTATGTTCGTTTGGTGGTTGAATATAGACTTCAAAAGAGTGTTCAAGAACAAATGGATAATTTCTTACAAGGTTTCCACGAAATCATTCCAAAAGAATTGATTTCCATTTTTGATGAGCAAGAATTAGAGTTATTGATTTCTGGATTACCAGATATTGATGTTGATGATTGGAAAAACAACACAACTTATGTTAATTATTCACCATCTTCTAAAGAAATTTCTTACTTCTGGAGAGCTGTTCGCTCATTTGATGCCGAAGAACGTGCTAAGCTACTTCAATTTGCTACTGGTACCAGTAAAGTTCCATTGAATGGGTTTAAAGAGCTTGGTGGGTCTGGTGATAATTCAAAATTCAGTATCCATAAAGATTTTGGTTCAACTGAACGTCTTCCATCATCTCATACTTGTTTCAATCAAATTGATCTTCCTGCATACGACTCATATGAAACTTTGAGAGGTTCGTTGTTACTGGCAATTACAGAAGGTCATGAAGGTTTTGGTCTAGCATGAACAAGAAAGAAAAAAAAAAGACTTAATTAATCATTGTATATTAAAGATTTATAAATAAGATATTGTAATGTGTATTTGATGTTGAAGTAGCTATCATTTGACAGATATAGACCCAGTACAGTGATCATGCATCGATAGGTGAATCATAGTTAGAGTATGTGATCTGACCTGCAAGATATTCACTCAATGGACTTATCATCAATAATAGTCTTTCTTTGATTTTGTATTGTTGTATTGTATTGGTATAGCGCGAACTTGGAGCTGTTATTTGTAGCGGCGTTAATTTTGAAAAAAGTATAAGCATACAAAATTATTTTGATGCGATATAAATATTTCCTATAGTCAACACAACTTGGTCCGTTGAAGATGCCACCTAAAAGACCACTTTCAACCTATATCAATGAAGAAGAAGATAATGCGAAGAAGCAGAAGAATGATCGTGAAGATAGTCCCAAATCTGAAGCTATAAGAAGAGCAAAAGAAAGAATTGCACAGTTAAGAGAACAAAGAAACACTCAAACAACAAGTCCCACTTCAAAACCAGAAACTACTACTGCCTCACATCCAAAACCCGAGAAGCCTGCAAAGTTATCATTAAGTGAAAGAATTGCTATAGCTAAAGCTCAATCTCAAGCTAAAGTCAAAAAAGATGAACCATCAAATAATGTTGAAAAAGGTCGTGGTTTAAATGTTGAATTACATCCACTTTTACAAGGAAAAGAAGATGTTCCAGTGAAGCCAGTAGATAATCCTAATATCAATAAAGTTAACAAAAGAGGTTATAAAGTGAATCCTTATCTTGCTGATCTTGATACTTCTAGGAGAAAACGTGAATTGAAATTTAATGAATCAGGTAAATATATTCAACAGGCAAATGAAGTTAGAAAGGAACAAAGATTAGCTGAATTAAAGAAAAAGATTGAAGCAAGTACAAAGAAAGCTGGTTTAGAACCTGATCTAGCTCTTGGTGAAGATAAATATAAAATTGAAAAACCTCCACAAGTTGAATGGTGGGATATTCCATTACTTATTGAAGGTGATTATAATAAGATAAATTATGAAGCCATTTCACCATATATACAACATCCAGTTCCTTTAAATGCACCATGGGAACGTCATTTACCTCCATCCAAACCAATGTATTTAACAAAGAAGGAAATGAAGAGAATACGAAGAAATGATAGAAGTGAAAGGTATAAAGAACAACAAGACCGTATAAAATTAGGATTAGAACCAGCACCACCGCCAAAAGTCAAATTGAGTAATCTAATGAGTGCCTTAACAAATGAAGCTATAAAAGATCCAACTGCAGTGGAAAAAAGAGTTCGTAAAGAAGTTGAAGAAAGAAGATTACAACATATAGCTACAAATGAAGAAAGAAAATTAACTAAGGAACAAAGACATGAAAAAGAACAAATTAAGTATGAAAAAGATTTATCAAAAGGTTTCCACACTGCAGTTTTCATTATTGATCAGCTTGTACATCCATCTCATAGATTTAAATTGGATACAAATGCTAAACAATTAAATCTTGTGGGGACTATGTTATATAATAATCAATTTAATTTAATCATTGTGGAGGGAAGTGAAAAAAATATCAAATTTTATAAAAAATTAGTATTAAATAGAATAAAATGGACAGATGATGTTACAGTGGAAGGTATAGATTATAATTTATCACAAAACAAATGTGAATTATTATGGGAAGGTCAATTAAGAGATTTACATTTTAAGAAATGGTCACAATATCATGCAGATGATGAACAAACTGCAATTGATTACTTATCAAGATTTTCAGTTGAAAACTACTGGAGAGAAGCAAAGATTAAAAGACAATGATCTCCTCTTTTATTGTGTTTATACTCATGAATTCATGTTCTCATATATAAATTTATTAAAAAATAGTTATCTGAGTGCTATTTACATGTAGATTATTAATTAATATGGTTAGTTAAATTTAATTAGCTTCTTCTCTAATTTTAGCTAAGATTTCTGAATCTCTGAATAAGATAAATTCATCTTCACCAACTTTAATTGGAGAACCACCAAATGGAGGAATTAAAACAAAATCACCTTCAGCAACACTTGGAACAACTTTTTGACCATTTGGATCGGTGAAACCTGGACCGACAGCTAAAACTTTAGCTTGGTTTAATTTTTCAACATTTTTTTCTGGTAATAAAATACCTGAAGCAGTTTTAGCTTCAGCTTTAACACGTTGAACTAAGACACGGTCTAATAAAGGGACAATTGATTTAGCTGATTTTAAAAGGTTTGACTAAGCACATGTTAGTATGAACAATAATATAGAAACATATTAAGGGAGAGGATATAATATTGATTGATTCCCGAGAATTCTACCAGTATGTATCACCCCTCCATTATCAATTGAAATCTTGTAATACTCACCATTTTTGTATTTGTATGTGTATGTTTATCTGATGTAGATGATTCAAAAAGTCAAAGATCTAAAAGTAAATCTGGAGGTGATTCAGCATCTTTATATCAAAAGCACCAATTTTTCCAAAAAAATTCGAGAATAATCTAAGCAGACAGTATAAAAGAAACAGGGGCCCGTAACCACAAATCCGATTTCCGATTCCGATTCTTCATGTCAATTTTCACAGTGTCGATTGGCATTTTCGAAAAGCCGGGTAATGCTAACGGGATTACATAATCTTAAATTCGCGGGCTCGACTTTGGAACGGTAATAGGGTGAATTTATATGGGATTCAACAAGAGTGTGTCAATGATTGTGAGTTCAATTACACGAGAAACATAATAGAATAACACAATGGTTTCATATTACACTATCTTTGGTAAACAAGTTGCTTCTCACTGGGTAAGTGCTGTGAAAATTGGACTTCAATTGATGGAATTGTATCGTGTTGTGAAGTGGATTGTTTAAGGGTATTTATTATTATGGTATATTGGAAAAAATCTTAAATATTTTGATCAATTGAATGAGTTTAATGATAAACTGAAGTGATATACTAACAATTTTGAATCAGGTTGCTATCTCAACCTTAACTTTAGCAGGTGTTGGTGCTACTTTACCAGGTTATTTACCAAAATCTGAAAAAGCTGCTACTCCAGCTCCAGCTCCAGCTCCAGTTGCAAATAAAGAAGATGATTTAGATGTTGAAAAATTAGTAAAGTGAGTATTTAAGTTTATAATTTGGTGTTATTATCAAGTCTTAGTTACTAACCTTTTTCAAGTGACTTTTTAAAAGAACAAGATGCTGAAGCAAAGAAATAGACTTGGTTATCATATATATATTATATATTCACATTAATTCATACGAAAAACATACTTTTAAAATTTAAAGAAACAATCACAATAGAATTGTGAGAGATAAAATCATTAATTCAAAATTTACTATACCTGATATGACAAAAATTATATACACATTCATGATTATGTTTTAGACTAATTTTGATATATTGTAGGAGGAACCTTGTTTTCATAGGGCAAATATTCAAGAATAAACCAACACAATGAAACATGATTGTATATTTCGAGAATGATAATAGGCTTCGAAGAGCCAATGTGGATAAAGAGTTGGTATATATCAAACGTTTCGATTCCACATACCTATTTCTTGATCGTGTAACCAATGATTAATACGCATCGAAATCAAACAGGGAAAGAGCCATGGTGTATTGTCATATGTCCAAAACAGTATTAAATTCAACGATCTTATATCTATATTAATTTCTTGACTTATACTAGATTAATTTGTTGATGTTCTAGTATTGACTATATTTTTATGTCACTGCACTTACGTAATTGTTGTAGAGATGAGCCCGAGCAGGAAAAAAATTATATCAAAACTATAAAGCTTTTAATCTCTTCAACGAAAACTTTTGCTATCTATCTATATTAATAAAATATAATCCTAAAATGAAGTACGTTATTGAACACATGGAAGCTGGTTTCACAGACTGGGTTATTTTAGAATATTCAACCATCATTAAAGAATTAGGTAAAGAAAATTTAATCTTAACTTCATTACCATCAGGAACTACAGATGCTGATATTCCACAACAATTAAAAGATCTTGGATTACAATGGACTACAAAAGAAGTTACTGACATTGGTACTGAATCATTACCTATTGTTAAAGAAAGAGTTTGTTTATTAGATCCATCTGCTGAAACTGATTTAGTTGTTGAAGATTCTAATAAATTTGATTATTTTGTATTTGGTGGTATCTTAGGTGATCATCCACCAAGAGATAGAACTGGTGAATTAAGAAAAAAATATGGTTTCGTTGGTAGAAGATTAGGTTATAAACAAATGACAACAGATACTGCTATAAGAACTACACAATTAATTATACAGAATAAAACACCATTTGAAGAAATTAAATTTATTGATTATCCAGAATTTAGATTTAATAAAATGGAAGCAACTGAAATGCCATTCCGTTATGTTTTAAATAAAGATGGGAAACCAATCTTACCAGATGGTATGTTAGATTTGATTAAAAAAGATTCAGAACAATCTTTAGATGATCTTCTATAGGTATTTGTATAGTAAAAAAATTACATGATTAGATGATTTAATATGGAGTACATTATTTTATCCGTATCTATTGTATTGTATTCTATATAATTTGTCTATATTATTGATCCTTGTTTTTATTTTTACCCTTTTCCACTAATATTTTTGCACTTTTTTCCTTAACCCTTTCATGTTTTGCTAAAATTTCCTTCAATATAAAACCTGCAACATTTTCATCTTCAAAATAACTTATATGAGCACTAATTGAAGAAATTATACTAACATCAAAATAACCTTGTTTTAATTCATAATCAACTCTACCATTATAGTTTAAACTTGATAATTTTGATAATTGTTCATCAGTTAATTTAATTTTTTTCAATTTTAAATTATGATCATCATCTTTCAAAATATCTGGAGTTGCTGATTCTGATGCTGTTTTTAACATTTTTTCAACATGTTTACTACCAACATTTGCAGTAACATTTGACCAAGCATCTGCAGCTGTTCCAATAAATTTATTACTTAAATTTTCACTTAATTCAGCAAATGATGATAATTGTTTATTAAAATTTTCAATTAAGAATGGAATTGATTCAGGTTGAAATTTTTTAAATTCTGGAGAAATTAATGGTTCAACTCTATAACCAACTGGATCACAAGGATGGAAAACATTATAAAAATTTTCACATCTTGGTACTGAAATTTTTTCATTTGAATTTTCATGTAATTCAACTGAACCGATGTTTTTTCTTTTTAATAAATTGAAAACACCAATTGGTGAACCAAGTGCAAAATAATTATCAACTTTAAAATCTAAATGCTTTGAAGTACGATCTTTATGATCTTTTGGGATTAAACTTTTTGGTTGTTGTGATAAAATATCAAATGAAATTGCCGAACCTAAAGAATGACCAATTATACTAATTTTACCATTAAATGAAGGATTTCTCTTTTTAAAAGTATGATATATTTGATTTGCTTCTTTAGTAACTTCATCCAAGATTTGATTAAAATATAATGGTTCATAATATAACAAGACATCCAAAATAACTGAACCTAATAAATTTCTTAAAGGTTTCATTTCTTCCATTGTAATATCATTTAATGTTGGTAATCTATAATTTCCCTGATCATCTCTATCTTCAAATGGTTCATGTGTTGAGAAATCAATCTTATGTCTCCAAGAAATTGGTAAAACTTGAATACGACAATTTTTATCATTATTTAATAATTTTTGAAAATCTTTATTTTCTTCATAAACTTTTTTAATATTTTTACGTAAAATATTTATAGTATGAATAAAATTAACACCTTGGAACCTTGTACCTAATGATTGACCAATTCCATGAACACAAAAAATTAAATGATCAATTTCTCTACCTTTATCAGTTGTACCATCTTCTTGATCAATATTATAATCTTCTTTTATTTCAATTTCCATAGCTTGTTTAGTATTATCAGAATCAGATTTATCAGTGGAAGTTTTAGTCTTTTCACCAAACATTTGAGATAATTCTAATTCAAACATATTTGAAAGACTTAAGGATGATGATTTTTCATCTTTAGAATTTTTTGATGAAAATTCTTGAAATCCTCTAATAACTCTATTTGCACCTAAAGCAGGACCATTTTGTAAACCTTTTAAATAACCAATTTGTAATTTCCCACCATATAATTCATTTAAGATATAAGCAGTTTTATCTTCACTATAAACAACTAATTTCCCTTCTTTAAAACCATGTAATTCATGAATATCTCTTTCACCATCTTCATTTTTAACTGATATATTATTATTTTCCGTGTCTTTAGGGTCAATTGTACGATTTTTTTCAGGAACTTTCTTATAATAAGGTTTAAATTTAGCATAACCTCTTTCTAATTCATCACTTAGTGATTCTCTTAGTGGGTGACCATCAGCATCAAACCAAACACCACGACGAACTTCATAAATAGCACCATCCCAATAAACGGGGTACATTTTCCTTGATACAAGATCAACTTCAAAAAGATAATCCTCATTAACGGGTATTTTGAATTTATCATTTTTTGTTAAAGTTTCATTATCACCATTATGTTTATTTAATAATTGAAATTGTTTTTCAATTCTATCAGAATCAAATTCTGTAAATGCTGCAAATTTTTTAGCTTCATCTTTTTGAACATAACGATATTCTTTTGGCATTGATATTGGATTATCTGTAGCATAGAACCAACGTGGTTTTAAACTTGGAATATCAGATTTGGGGAGTTTTGGTTTTGATTCTTCTGGTAATTTTGGTGATGATGATGATGATGGAGAATCATTTGTAGATACTTCACGGGTTCGTTTAGTCATTCCAGGACAATGTTTCTTCTTGATGAATGAGAAAGATCTTGTAGTTGTTTGATGATGTTTAAATTGATGAATTGTTGATACCTGGGGTAGCTTTACCGCCCTAATGATTGCTGTTTCTGTGAGCAGAGGTCTCAATAGCATGTCTTTTGATAGTTCAGTAGCAGACTTGATTGAAATGGTATCAGCAGTATGGGTATCCTTGCAATTGAGATTATCCGTTGTTTAAATAGCCGCGGTGATGTGTTGTTGATTAATTGTTTTGGTTTGAATTTATCTGTCAAAGTTGAATTTGAATTCTAGCCCAACCAGGAAACGTTGAACTCAACTCCCAACAATCAAGATCTAGACAGAACAGAACAGCAACAACGTGAGAGATGTGGACAGGGATTAGAAGGGAATCAATGGGAAACAACAAGTGATACTTGTAATTGTTCAATTGAAAGGTATCGTTCTTTATATATTCTTGGTCATTTACCTTTGACCTTTGTATTGAAAGTGATCATGGATGTAGAACGTGTTAATTATGTACTAGGTGAGGTTCCATGAGTTTCTGGAGTCAAAGTAAATATTTTCAACAAAGTAACAAGATTATAAACATCAAAGGGAGCGAATCAATCAAAACAAATAAACGATTAATATCTTAATTCTCCACGGTGTTTAGTGCTTTAGTGTTTAGTGTTTATCATCATCAGGTCCCAGCTTAGATCCAGCTTAGATATGACACATGAAAAATACTAAAATTACTTTGAAAGCCACAGGAAAAAACTTACACTTCAACACAAACATCTAATAAACTAACAACCCACAACTTATAAACAATGGCATCTCCTTCTAATTTAAAAAAAGCTCAACAATACATCGATTCAAATAAATTCTTTATGATTTCAAAATCATGGTGTCCTGATTGTCATTATACTTATAAAATTTGGAATAAATATGGTGTTTCATCAAAAGTTGAAGTTTTAGAATTAGATAAATTACAAGATCAAAAAGCTGCTATAGAATTAGAAAAAGCATTTACTGAAATTTCAGGTAGAAAATGGGTTCCAACTATTTGGTTTAATGGTAAAAAATTTGGTACTGAACAAGATTTAAAAAGATTTGAAAGTGAAGATAAAACTGAACAAATTTTTAAAAATGAAGGTTTACTATGAATACACTACTACATGTCTATGCCTGACTAAGATTAACTGCAAAAACGTCTCTTTAAATAATAAATAATAAAAAATATAGCAAAAACATTAAAATAAAATCATAACTTCATTAATTTGAATTCTCTCTTGAAGATCTACTTCTAGTTCTTAAAGGATTCGGAATTGTAGGTACTCTTCTTCTTTGAGCTGGTGTTAAATCATTCCCATTTAACCCACCACCACCAAATATTGGATCTGAACCAAATGTATAATTTTGTTCTGAAAATCTAACTGAATTTGAACTTGTAATGGAATCTTCTAAAATATATTCACTTATACCTTCATCTTTTGATGGTGATCTTGAATGTGAATATTCAATTGAATTTGATGATATTAATTGATCTTCAAATTTAACTGCTGATAATCCACCACGACTTTTCCTTCTATTATGACCTTTCTTAAATGAACTTTCAATTGTTGAATCTTGAGAAATTGGTGGGGTTGATATATCATCATCAATAATATCAAATTCTAATTCTGTTCTTGTGGTAACATCTTTATATAAATCTTTAAAATTTTGATCACCTTCATTCCCATTTTTATTATTATTATATAATTTTTCTAAATAACCTGAATTTAATGATGGTTTAGAAATTGATAAAGATCTCTTCAATTTTTTCTTTTGTGGGGCATTAAGATCATCAGAATTTAAATTATTTAAAATTTCAGGATTTAAATTATTATCAGGATCTAAACCCAGTTCTTTTAATTTCTTAACAGATTGTAATCCAATTTCATCTTGTTCATCATCTGGTAATACACTACCACAAACTAATGCAGCATGATCTTGAGATTTATATTCAACTTGATGTGATAATCTTGCATGATTTAAAAACCCTTGAGCTGAACCAAAATCACACCTTGCACAATTTGGACATTCAACTTTAACTATAACACCATCTGATCTTTTATGAACACAAATTTTATTACCATTTGAATCCAGAACAGGTCTTAATCCACCATATGAAGTTCTATGTGGAATATTTGGTTTATTATCATATTCATCACCATAATTTTTCCTTATACCATAATTTGATTGTCTTCTTGTAATCATTTCTGATTGATCATAAGGATTTATTGAAGATTGATATTGTTTTTGAGTATTTTTTTTCAAATCAATTAAATTTTCAATATATTTAACATATGAAGGATCACTATGTAATTTTTTCATTGTATCTAATTGAGTTTGTATCTTGGATATTTCATTATTAACCAAATTATATTCTCTATGCTTTAGCAATATTTCAATATCTATTTGATTTGAAAGATTTGTCTTTAATTCATGACCTAATGAATCAATTTGATGATCATCTCTTATTTCAGTTGGTGAAAACCCATCAGAATTTGGTGATTTCGGAGTTGCTATTTGTAAATGGATATTATGTTTATTTTGATCATCATTATCATCAACTATGAAATGTTGTTCTCCTTGTGACATTATAATTTAATATATTGATCAACAAGTGGTATAAAAATGCTATGTTTTGCCTTCGGATGTTATTTTTGTTTTTGTTTTTGGAAACGTCCCCCTGCTTTTGAACTCCATGAAAATTAAAAAATGTGTTGAAGAAATCAGATTGTTGCACGGACCGAGTGATGGTGTACTACAAATTGGTGTTGTTATACTATAGTTCTATAATAAAATGTATAATAATCTCTTTCAAACTCATATTTAGATATAATCAGATCATCCCCAGTTTCAGCCATTCAATCATTTTTAATATCAAATCCAAACCCCGTTAGATCGTAGCTCAATATCTCTTTCTATTAAAAGTCGCGATTTTTTCAAAGCAATTTTCATTTTTCAATCATGGGATTTAATGAACTTGTTAACAATAAATAGTGTTATTTGATACAAACAATATTCAGAATAAAAATGTCAAAGATTCCTTCAAGTTTTGATAACAGAGACGTTGCGTATGTCATGTCAGAAATTCATTAAAAAAATGGGATGTTTTTTTGCTAACAATTACATTATAGTGAAGTTGATTTCATAGATAAATGTATCAAAAATTGTAAAGAACAACCATTTGTTCCATTAGGTACTTTAGCTACATGTGTTGCTGTTGGATTAGCTGCTCATTCAATTCGTATTGGTAATAAGCAAGGTGCACAAAAATGGTTTAGATATAGGGTTGCATTTCAAGGTTTTACTATTGCAGCTTTAGTTGTTGGTGGGTTAGTTTATGGTAAAGATAATTATGAAAGAAAGAAATCTAGGGAAGAAGCTATACATGAAAAGGCTAAATTAAGAGAAAAATTATGGATTGAAGAATTAGAACGTCGTGATTTTGAAGCTAAACAAAGAAAACAAAGAGCTGAATGGGCAAGACAAAAAGCTAAAGAAATGGAAGAACAAGAAAAAGCTGGTATTTCTGAATCCAAAATCCTTAAAGAAGTTCAAGAAGTTGAAACTAAATTACAACCAGAATCTTCAAATAATGAAGAAACATCTAAATCTGAATCTGGTGAAAAGGCATAAATGAGGAAATCTCAATTAAAACATAGATTTGATTAGACTTTTAGATACTATGATATTCCAACTTGTCACGAAGCATACGATTAAACTCATCATTATATATATTTTACTTGTATATAAAAACTAAAATTATACTAAAAAATTAAGATTTACTCGTACAAAAACGAAAATACATCAAAATGATATCATAAATTTAAATTTTTATGCAAAACTTACACGCGAAATTACCAAATTTGGAAGATTTTCACCATTTTTCAGGTTTTTCCCAAAAATTGGCGGATGGCGATCATGATTTATCCGAAATACAGAAATTAAGTATTTAAAAAGTCTAAGAAATCCAAAGTTTATAATTTTAAATCTAAAACAACTTTATTCAATTATCAATATCAATAAATTTATTACAAAATGTCAGATCCATTAGATCGTTTAGTTATGATTTCTCAACATGTTCATAATCAAACTATTATAAAAGAATCTATACCAAGAGGAATGCCAGATATTCCATCAAATTTACAATTTAATTTTTCTAGACCTGTACCAGGTGGGTCATTAAAGAATGTTACAAATGGTGTTAAAACAACTCAATAAATATAAACATGAAAACTATTATTCATTTCCAAACTGCTGGTTCAGTTTAAATTCAATTCAATTTGGTTTGATACTTGTAATGTTCTGACTTTGTTTATTGTGTTTGCTCAATTCTAGATACTTCATCATCATCAGTTACATATTTTGCTCTGTGAAAAAAAAGAGGAGTATTTTCAACAAAAAAGCAAAAAAAAAAATTAAATTGAAAAGCTTGTTGGTGTCAAGATAAATCAAATCTGTGTTATTATTAAATGGTTTGTGTTTGTTGAGCGCCCTAGAGCAGGGTTGGTTTAGTTCTAGGTTTATAGGTTTAGAGGTACACACGGATTAATTTTAATCAGCTTATCAAAAGTGCGATATGTAGATAATGGATCAGGCGTGTAAATATTGATCAGTTAGTGATTGATGCAGAAGAAAAAACTTAATATCATGATACCTCATGATCATCCGCTTACTTGGTATGATGTGATCTAAAATAGGTATACGACCATGGTTCTTGATCTAATTAGATCTCGTATCATCTGATCATTTGTTGCATTAGTTGATGACGTGAGCACCTTTAAATGGGATCATGTTAATCACTAATTCTTGAACAAAGTATAAGCCAGTGCGATCCGATGATTGAATCAATATCAAAACTTCAACAATTTTATCGAATTATTTTGTGTATCATGAATTATAGAATCTATCAGCTATCAGTAGTTTAGTGTATACTTCTGTGGTATGTACCATGTCTTTCATACAATAGCCATTACCCGGGATTGTCTTCTAAAGAGATCGTTAATTGTGACGTTTAATAGTATGGAGATTATGATACCAACTAATTAAACAAGTTACTAATATATTCATTTCGAACTTATACAAGATGTTAATTCTAGCTATTGGTGATCTTCATATACCACAAAGGGCAATCGTATGTATTATTTGGTGTCTATGATTGAAGTGAGATTCCGATTTACTAATTAAATAAAAGGACCTACCGGCTAAAGTGAGTTAAGATAAAAATACCATGATCAATTGATGAATATCTTTATATACTAACCAAGAATCTTTATTAAGTTCAAAAAATTATTAGTTCCAGGTAAAATATCACAAGTTTTATGTCTCGGTAATGCTACATCATCTCCATCAACTTTGGAATTCTTGAAAAATTTATCACCAGATTTCCAAATTGTTAAAGGTGAATTTGATGAAAATACATCATTACCATTATCATTAATTATAACTCATGGCTCATTAAGAATTGGATTTACAAATGGATTCACCATAGTACCAAAAGGTGATCCCTTATCATTATTAACTAGTGCAAGACAAATGAATGTTGATGTTTTAATATGGGGTGGTTCACATAAAGTTGAAGCTTATACTTTAGAAGGGAAATTTTTCATTAATCCAGGTAGTGCAACTGGTGCTTTTTCCACTGATTGGCCTGATATAGATTTACCTGAAGATGAAGAAGAAGTAGGTCATGAAACAATCTCACAAAAAGATGATACTAAAACTGAGAATGAAGAAGCTAAACAAGAGAATGAAGATAAACCAGAAGAAAATAAAGATTCAGAAGCGGAAAAAGATGATAAAGATGAAAAGAAAGAATCAAGCAAGCCAGAAGAAGTAAAAACTAATGAAGAGGAAGAAGAAAGTGAAGATGATTCTGATGATTTATATGATTCTGTACCAAGTTTTACATTATTAGATATTCAAGGTTCAGTTATAACGTTATATATTTATACTTATATCGGTGGTGAAATCAAAGTGGATAAAGTGAGTTATCGTAAAGATCAACAATGAAAATTCCAAAACCAATTAACCACTTCTCCTTGAAAAATAATAGAATTGAGTTTTGTATATTAAATTTTAAAAAAGATTCAAAAGTTAATGGAAATTATGTCGTATACCTAACTAAATATCTAAATTCCGACTTTGAGTAGTCGGATTTATCTCTTTGATTTTTCGCGAATTTATTCTTTTCCAAAGAATTTTTTTTTTCCTATAAAAATTTGGAAAGTTTTTTCAACTTTAACTTCTATGTATCACTTTTCTAAATACAACAACAAAAAATTGTAAGTTTTTTTTAACTTTAAAGAAGAATTAACTAAACAAAATGTTAAATTTAGATGATGACTAGAGTGCATTTGGCTCGAGACGTTTTTGTCGATGTGGAAAAACTCACGCTACCTTACTATTTTTTTCTGAAATTTTGTTTTAACTAAATTGTTAAACATTTTGTTTGTTAATTTTTTTCTAATTTATTAGAAGATTATTGAAGCTAATGCATATTCTAGATTAATAAGTTTATTGATATATCTTTTGTTAATACATATATTCCTATTGCTTTTGGATTACTTATAAACGTAGTAACATTGAACCTCAGTATCATTTTCAATAATAAAAGAGCTGCCTACGCTTCTTGATCTTATTCACAACATACAACTTTAAACGTTTCCTACGTTTATATGCACTGGAATTGTTTAAAACTTACGGCTCAAGATTTTCTATTAATATTTACACATTCATTTATTCATCATCTATACCATCTAATAAATCTTGTTCTAAATCATCAACAGCTTCAGCTTTTTGAAATGAACTTGGTAATAATTCATCTAATTTCAATAATTTCTTCATTGAATAAGCATCTTCACCATCAGCGTAATAAGATTTTTCAATACTCAAAACTTCAAATTGTAAAGTATCTCTATATAAATGTAATGCAGCTCTATTAGATTTTCTAACATGTAAACTAACATATTCAGCTTGGAAAGTTTCAGTTAATGCATATAAAGCTTGTCTCATTAATTTTTCAGCAATACCTTGTCTTCTATAAGTTCTCATAACGGATAATGAAGTAACATGTCCATGCGGAGTTTTATCTTCAGCATCTGGATCATCTTCCATTTTAGCAAGAGCATAACCGACAATTTTTTCATTGTGATTAACATAAGCTGGATCACCTTTGATATCTTTAACATATTTGATTTGAACATCTTCATTTTCATCAAATTGTTCAGGTCCATCAGTTGTAGTTGCAACATAACTTGCTTCAGGCCATGATAAAATATGATACATATAATATTTCAATTGATAATTTTCTGGTAAATTATTCAAATTGGCATTTTGCATAGCTTGAATATCTGAAATTTGAGCTTGTCTAATCGTTATAGCCATTATGTTGATAGTTTTTTGTTCTTTTCTGCCAGTTGGAAAAATATGATTATGCTATTAGGAGGGAAATGTGACTTTTTAATGTTGTTTGAAGTCAATGATTGAAAAGCTGTGATACCTCAAGATCACAATTATGATATTATATGAGTATTAAATATAAATATGAAATGAATGAACTGGGTATTAAAGAATCAAAAGGTTAAATTAGACGACTTGATTCTCGCTTTTTTCAAATGGATTGTTGAACTTTTTCGAGAAATTTGAAAAACTATTCTTATGTAAGCACATACATAAAAATCATGATCATGATCCAATCTATATACGTGATTTTAAAAAGAATAAATTAGTACACAAAATACTTAAGATTGAATTTGGATTTAAGAGGTTTTGGTGAATGATATATGGGACAACGATACTGTTTTTCACTGCAAAAAATTTAAGTTAAATATACCGTATTTCTAAACCCTTAAAATTTTATTGTAAATCAAATGCAAAACAAAAGTTCAACTATCTTGAGAATCTAATAGCTTCCCTTTCCAATACCCCATGGTCAAATTTGATCAAAAATACAGTCCTCAATGGATATCCATCAGCTGCCATTGTATGTGCGCTAACATTTGCTTGGAAATATGCAGAATCTAATATACCTTCTATTATACCAGCTGTAAATGCATTAACATTCAATTGATTAAAGTCTTTAGGTACTGATATAAATTGTGACATTAGTGGTAAGTTATCAATAATCATATCTATATGTGTTGTGTTAATATGGTTTTCTTTCAAGACTGGGAATAATTAAATTAAAACTTACATTCATCTTCTGAATCTTGTGATTTTTCCAAACCATCAGCAGGTCTCCCAAATAATGTTTTCCATACTTGTGAATGTATAAATTGTAATACCTCTACTATTCTTGTTTCTCTTTTAGCAGATTTACCTTCTCTTAAAGTGATCAATTCTAGAAATTTATTACCAACACCGTAACCATAAGAATTTAATTTGGCTTCTAACTGTTGTACACCTTTTGAAGTTTGTTGCGTTTGTTCGATCATAGCACTAAAAAGGAAGGATAAAGATGATAAGTTGACCTCTGGTGTTCTTCTAAATACACTATGATCATAAATATTTCTTGATTTTGATGCTATTTGACTTTGGTATGAAGATGGTAATTGAATTGGACCTAATGAAGGATTATAACCTGCTTTCAAGCCTGTTGGTTTTGATGTTGATGGATTTATGATATTCTGGGAAGACATTGCGGCCTTGATTCTCTATAAGTTCCTAGTTTAATTATAGTGTGCTTCCTCTGTTTGTTTTGTTGACTATCTTTCACGTCAATTTTGAATTTGAGTCTTCTGCTATTTTGGTGTACTTTATTTCGCGGGTTGATTCCTCAATATTTGGTGCCATACCCAAGCTTAAGCAATACAATTAGGATGATTTGAAAGCGAAATATTTTCGTTTGTTAACCTTATTTGATCAAAATGGCCTGTGCTAGTTATTATTGTACCGAATATATACAAACATCTACACATTCGCGTGTATAGTATAATAAATATAAACCAAATGACTGTTATAAGCGTACTATATAAATTACTTTAAAACTATAGAGACTATAACAACTTTTCATATGAACTAATTCTTTGTCTCCCTAACCAAATCTCATCACCCACTTTTACAGAGTATCCATATTCTTTATGAATCCCATAATTTCCTAAGAAACTCCCGTTAATATCACCAGTATCAATTCTCCTATACTGTCTCAATGATCTAGTAACTATATTAGTTTTATCAAATTGACCTGCTGATAAAATGACATTTCCAATATTACAACGTGGTGTTTTTTGAACTATATAGATTTGTTTTCCGTTGAGTTTAATATCATACCAATAATCCATATCTATTTTTTGATCTGTTATAACAATATTTGGTCTGAATTGTTTTGCTTCTACTTGTCTAGTGGAACCTTGTTCTGAGATACGGTGGTTTAATTCATCAACTAGAGTTTGTGAAAGAAAATGTAAGGGATAGTAATCATGAAATAATGTTGATTTTTGCTCTTTCAATTCCTGGGGATGAGCTGAGATCACTTTTTTGGAAAGAGAAGTTAATAAAGTTGTACCTGGTCTGTTTAACCCCATTGCAATTTTAAAATCATCTGGAAGAGCTTTCCCAATATTTATTGATTGGAATTTTACTCCCCACAAATCAGTTTTCAAATGTTCATCAGAGATTGAATTTTGTGCAATCCAATCTTGGGTTATATTCATTGGTAATTTAAATGAAGTAAGTTTACCTCCATCTGTTGGATATGTGAATTTAAACCAATTCTCCTCTTTATTGAAGTCAATTTCAACCAATGATAACTTTGGTGCGTTTCTTTGTGTATATGGTTGATATAATGCTTGAGTAGAATCCCAAAATGCCAACATGTATTGTCTATCATGTTTGAACCCAAATTCATCAAGTTCCCAACTGGATGGGGAGATATATGAAACTGATTTTATTGGATATACATAAAGTTTTGATATTTTGCCAGTGAATTTTCGACGTTGAATAAATGAAATCAAATAAAGTCTCAAGTTTATCAAGTTAATAATAGATTGTGGTATTTGTTGATTAGGGGATGCTAATAGAGCTAAGAATTGTGGTAAGAAGATGAAAGCTGTTGTTGAGGTGAATAATAGAAAATAAATTATGATCATTGTGCCTAGGTATAGATAATATTGAATTGACTATACTGGGTCTTATGTTTTGTATTAGTTTATTAGAAAGATATCTCTTTTATATTTCATTTTTTCTGATTATCAAGATGAGCCATAATTATTTTCACAATTTGAGCGCGCCCGCGGTAACTTTTGCAGTATGGGGCAGACTCAAAAAGGTGAAGATAAGAACGTCCCAGAAATATAAACAGACTTTTTTTTTGAATTTACTTCTTGTGCTTGGATAATACTGTCAACCAATTTAATCTTCCTAAAGATCCACTGGGAAATGTTTTATAGCAGAAGGAAGAAGTTCAGTGTCTACAAGGACTACTTTGCCAACGGTATCTAGAGACCCAGTTTACTTCAAATTGTCTTTTTAAGCGCTGGGTATTAATATGTTGTTTTGTCAGATGTATTGTTGAGTGATGTTACATTTAATCAACAGGAAAGCACTCCAAAACAAAGGGGATCAAAAGTGAAAACTGCTGGTAGAGATGGTGACGAAGAGATTGAAGATATATTCACTCTTGGGGATATAACGAATGTTGCTGATCATGTTGTTACTACTAGAAATCAATCACCGTTAAAGAAAGTTGATGAAAAGGATAAGAAGAAAATAGAGGATCCACCATATAAAGTTGTTAAACCACAGCGGTCCAAGTCTAGGTCAAGATCTGGCTCGAGATCAACTTCCAGAGGTAAGAAGGATAAGAAACTGTCCACTAAATCAAGAAAGAAGAAGGAAAAGAAGAAACTAGAACCAAGACCCACTGTATTTGATACCATGCCCAAGGCTAAAGCCAAATCAGTACTGGATACTAATGTTGAACTGGAAGTAACTAAAGATGGTTTAAATGATACACTTATGGAAGAATTTGAAGATGATGCACATGCTTTTGAAATCGGACCTAAATCAAATTCATCTTTAGAGATTGAAGACGTTCCTTTTATATTGACCAAAAGTTCCATCCCATCATTACAATTATCAGAATTTTATCAACCACCACAGTCAACTTCAACTCCATTTAATAATACTTTCCAAGGATTTGGTACCCTGAAACCTCTTACCCCAAGAACAAGTACCCCATTACCAGTGAGACCATTAGGATATTCCACTCCACTATTCCATTTCAGCCCTGATGATATTGATCTTGATGAAAATTCATTATCAGATCTGAGTATATATGGTGGATCAATTTCCAGAATCATAGGTAATGATAGCCCTTTAAGCAATAAGAATACTGGGGATGATGGATTATTTGGTAATATCAATTCTTTATCATATAAGTTGAAGAATAGCATCTCATTGAAAGAATCAGATAAAGTATATAATGATGTTGATATGTCTGATCCACCAAGAGATGATATGGATGAAGATGAATCAATCAATGACTTTAATATATCAGAAGATAAACATATGGATTCATCACATAATTCTTCAAATGTTACTGAAGCTGGTACAATAAGCACATTACCAAACAAGAGTATACTAAAACCTCCAAATTCATCTTCAGATAAACCCAAGAAAAATGTCCGTATCGATGAGAGTACATTATATACTTCACTGCATGATGATTCAAAGCCACAGGTGACTAGATTCAAGAGGAAGGCCGAGAATGATGTGGGTAATTCAAAATCTAATAAGAAAGAAAAAAATCATAATAAAGCTCAATTTAAATATGATGAGCTTTTGGCATTATGTGGGAAAGGTAAAGATCCATTAGATTTGATTTCAAAATAGATATGTCAATACAATTTGATTTTTACTACAATTATAAGTTCCATCTTTTCATGATTCATTCATTTAATCTATAAATTATTTTTACGTTGACAAGCTCTATTGCAAAATGAATTCTTTTAATTCAGCATAAGCTTTATCTAAATCATCATTAACAATTATTTTATCATGAGCACCAGTTTTAGAATATTCAATTTCAGCAGTTGCAGCAGCAATTCTTTTTTCAACACTTTCTTGAGTTTCAGTACCTCTACCTTCTAATCTTTGTCTTAAAATTTCAACAGATGGTGGAGCTAAGAATAAGAATCTAGCATTCAAGTTTGTGTTTTTAACAGATTTAACACCTTGCATATCAATATCTAAAATACAAGTTCTACCAACGGTTGCAACATCTTCAACAGCTTTAATTGTAGTACCGTAATAGTTACCTGAGAATTGAGCCCATTCAATAAAAGCTTTTTCATCAATCAATTTTTTGAAATCATCAACAGTTGTGAAGTGATAATCTTTACCATTAACTTCACCAGCTCTTGGTTGACGAGTAGTGTCTTATTATTGTTAGTAATTCAATTTATGGATAAAAAAATATATTTATACATACTTGAAACTGAGAAACCAAATTTATCTGGGAATTCAGCAAATAATTTCTTCAATAAAGTGGATTTACCGGTACCTGATGGACCTGAGATAACGACTGGACGGTCTAATTAACAAGAAAGTTAGTACTTATTCTTCATAAATAAATAAATAACTTGACACATGTATCAAGACCAAAAAAAGACATTCATATTCATTCAAAACGCATATTCCACACCTATTACTGATTTTCCTTAGGAAAAAAAGACAGAGCAGAATATGACAAATTGAATGAATGCACAAACTCACACAGTTGACTTAACATACTTGACATTATGATCTATGGCTTAACGAAAGAATGGTTCCCTTTGAATTAATAGTATACTCAATCGTGTTCAAAATGTAAACACAATTGTTTTTTTATTTTATTTTCTTTTTCTTTCTCAAATTTTTCCTCGACGCGCATATTCTGAGATTGATACTAGACATCTTTTGACAGGAAAGTAACTATGAAAACTCAGTGTAAAAGAATAGAGTGACGCTGGTTTCGAGGGATAATGAACACATTTGTTAACTCAATCCTTCACAACAATACTACCTTTCCTTGTTGGCTAATACGTGTCTTTTCCCGTTAAATGGTGCCATTTCCGCTGTTTGTAGTGTCCCTTACCAGTCTAGATCTAAATTTCTCTGCTTTTTTGATTTTGATTATCGTTTTGGAAAAAAACACATATCAAGAAAATCAAATTCATTATTGAACGGTTATATTGTGACAACTCAATTGAGGTTTAACTGGGTTTCATCAACAATTGTACTGTTATTCATCCAGGAAAACTTGAGGAGAATTTTATTGATATTATTGTGCATTTTTGAAGACCTGTTGTTTATTAATTATTGTGCTTTTACTTGTTTGCTGGTAATAGGAGAGAGAGGTTTTTGATAACAAAATCAAGTACTACAATAGAGAACCAAAAAAAAAATCATAAATCCAATCATTGAAGTTACTATACACTAGATAGCTCATTAAACAAAGTTATGTCAAACTTGATCATAGGAGCTTCTAATTACCTACTTAAAAGAGCATTATCTGAAGATGATCCAGATTTAACCATACCTGGAGATGGTGAAGAAGGTACAAATCCTGTTACTGAAGAAATATTCAGTTCATGGGCATTATTCATCTTATTATTATTATTGATCTCTGCCTTGTGGAGTAGTTATTATTTACAACAAAAGAGAATTCAAGCAGTTCATGAAACTGTTCTTTCAATTTTTTATGGTATGATTGTGGGACTGATTATTAGAATATCACCAGGTCATTACATTCAAGACACTGTGACTTTCAATTCTTCATATTTCTTTAATGTTTTACTTCCGCCAATCATCTTGAACTCAGGTTATGAATTACACCAAGCTAATTTTTTCAGAAATATTGGTTCAATTTTAACTTTCGCCATACCCGGAACTTTCATCTCTGCTTGTGTATTGGGTACAATTTTATACATTTGGACTTCTTTAGGCTTAGAAAGTGTTAATATTTCATTTGTTGATGCTCTTTCTGTGGGTGCTACATTGTCCGCTACAGATCCAGTTACAATTTTATCAATTTTCAATGCTTATAAAGTTGATCCAAAATTATATACAATTATCTTTGGGGAATCTTTGTTAAACGATGCTATTTCCATTGTTATGTTTGAAACTTGTCAACAATTCCATGGTAGAGATGCCAAGTTCACTTCTTTTTTCGAAGGTATTGGATTATTTTTGATGACTTTTATAATTTCATTATTAATTGGTGTTATTTTTGGATTTTTAATTGCATTAATTTTAAAACATTCTCATATTAGAAGATATCCACAAATTGAAAGTTGTTTTGTTCTTTTAATGGCTTATCAATCATATTTCTTCTCTAATGGTTGCCATATGTCTGGTATTGTATCATTATTATTTTGTGGTATTACATTAAAACATTATGCATATTATAATATGTCTAGAAGAACTCAAATTTCAACAAAATATATTTTCCAATTATTAGCAAGATTATCAGAAAATTTTATTTTTGTTTATTTAGGTCTTGCTTTATTTACAGAAGTTGAATTAGTTTATAAACCAATGTTGATCATTGTTACAACAATTTCCATTTGTATTGCACGTTGGGCTGCAGTTTTCCCATTATCAAGATTAGTTAACTGGGTTCATAGAATTCGTTCAAATGGTCAATCATTACCAGATGAAATCCCATATCAATATCAAATGATGACTTTCTGGGCTGGATTAAGAGGTGCAGTTGGTGTTGCCTTAGCTATGGGTCTTCAAGGTGAACATAAAAGTACATTAGTTGCAACTGTTTTAGTTGTTGTTGTTTTAACTGTCATCTTATTTGGTGGTACTACAGCTGGTATGTTGGAAGTCTTGAATATTAAAACTGGATGTGTTGATGAAGATGTTTCAGATGATGAATTTGATATTGAAGCACCAAAACTTCCATCAACTAATGCAATTTTATCAAATAGACGTTTTAATAAAGCCGTACCAATTCAACCTTATTCAGATAATATGAGAAATAGATCTAGTCCCAACATTGATGATCAACAAGATTTATTAAAAGATGATGATGTCCCTGCTGGTATTGATGAAATTCCTCCATTGGTTGCTAATAGTGCAAATCCTATTGAACGTGTTGGTTCTCCATCTATTGTGGGGACTGTACAAAGTATGTTACATACAGATGATAGAGCTAGATGGTTTCAAAATTTTGATGAACAAGTTTTAAAACCTGTTTTATTAGACTCTGATACACAATTCAATAATAAAAATGGTGGTTCACATGTTTAGAGTTCTATATGTCACAACAATTCTGTGTATACAACTACAATTAAAAAGGTAATTTGGTGTTTTAAATGATACAAGTATTTTTTATTTTATATTAATTTATATGTAGCTAACATATTGGAGTTCATATATTATCCATTTCAGCTTCTTCTCTAAGAGCAGTTTCAATAGTCCAATTAGCCAAACGGAAAACATCAGGTGGTAATACAATATCATTTAAAACATCACTATATTTCAATGTAACTTCAACAAATGCATTTAATGATAATTGATGTAATAAAGTAATTGGATTTTCGTCATCTTTACCTGTTAAATATGCAGGTGGATTTTGTGCAAATTCACCACAAGTTGCAACTGATTTTTCTAAAATATCTAAGATTTCAGTGATTGTAGATGAAACGGTTCCCTTTTTATCTTCATCATATGCATGTGTTGCCATCAATGAAATTGCAATGATTGCATTACTAACAGTGATTGCATTTGGTGACAATCTTTTGGATTCTCTAAGTAATGTATATCTAAATGGTGCACCTATATCTGATGTAACAAATTGTGTGTAATATTCTTTTGATAATTCAACTGCATTTTTGATATTTGATGTAACAATTTTCCATAACGTACCATCGAAATATAAAGGTTCATTTAATTCATTTGTGATTTTGGTTGGTCTTGGTAAATAATCATATTTACGTTCTGATTCTGTTGAATGATATTCACGACCGAATAAGTTTTGAGAATCTGATGATTTATAAGATGGTTGTGGATCATTTGAAGTGACTATTGATGTTGATTTAATGCTTTCAACAAGTGAAATATTGATATTTGAATTGTTTCTATTAATTACATCAGTACATTCTTGTAAAATTTCACCCCAGATGAATTCTTTTCTATTGTTTCTATGATATATTTGTTGTCTTCTATCTGAATCTTCTGACTTAGCAATAAATGCTAATTCTTGAAATGCAGTCATTCTGGTGAATTGTTTATCAGATTTCAAACCTGTTAACAAAGTACCTAATGGATCAGTTGATAATTCTGATAATGTATTACCACGATGTAAACAACCGATGGATAGATAAGCGTTAAACGCAATATTAACAATTTCCCAACTGTACAAAAGAACAAAGGATATTATTGACAATTTGAATAAAAATCCAAATGAAATACCTAGTGCTGGTTGATTATGATTTAACGAATGGAATAACCCAACAGTGTTGAGGATGAAGGCATATATATACTCTCTGACAAATAAGTATGCAAATGGTGATGATGATATAACAATGATAGTCAATAAGATACTATTGCTAACAGCTTTTGGAATATTTTTTATTAATGATTCTTTTGGATGAGAATGGAATTTGTGTTGTGGTATAATCAATCTATCGTAATCAAAAATTGAATGTTGAATAGCATAAATGAATGCACTGTATGCAGATAAGAAGTAATAAAACACATATTGGTCATTGACTGGAGGGTATTGATGTTTCTTTGGGATTGCTTTGAATGTTAATGAGGTGAATTGTAAATGTAAAACCCAAAAGAACAGGTATGATGAAATTGAGTAAATACCCAATGTTATCAAGAACTTCTTAGAGATCAACTGACCTATGTATTGGTTTGCCAATGTTTTATAGCCCAAATAGTCAACATGTAAGTTGTTTTTCTTTAAGCATGCTATTAGAAATAATCCAAATGCCAAAACAGCAGCCCTCAAAGGAAGTATTATGTTCCACCAGGCTAATCCTGAAGGTAAAGCAATGGCAAATGAAATAGCCCATGAGTATGTAAATATGGCTTTTGCCAGTTTCTGAAATCTAGTGGCACAAACGTCACCAAATATTGAATGGTAGTGGTATGCTGTACTTGATGATGATGTTCTTTCTCTAACACTTGAAGTGAGACCTATAGGCGCTCTCGTCGTATATGTTGTGCTCATGATCAATCTTTTGAACTACTCCTGAGACTTTGAGTCACTGTATTCACTATACCGGACGTTCTTCGTAGTATCAATTCCAATGGAAAGTAGTAGACTCCTCAGAGATGAATTCTTTTAGATCAAAAGCTTTGTTTATGGTTTAATAGAATTTTAACTTTTTCTTTGATGGATCTTGTGGTGTCCGGATGTTAATATGGATCTGAAAAGTAAACAAAACGAATCGCGATAGATCAAATTCGAAATGAGTGCAATCAAAGTTGCAAGTGTGTTACTCCAGACGATAAAGGACAAATTGGTGGCTTTTTCCCTAGCTTGTTATATATTAGCCTGATCGTTCTTATCCACACCTGATAACTACGCGTTTCATTTGATCGTTTTTCCCGCTAAGTTAACGTGTTTCCTTCAGGATCTATTCGATTGGAAGGCAAATTATCATTAAGAAAAACAAACATGGGTAGTAATGGATGGCATCAAGGTCATCTGATGGGAAGTCACATGAAGAATAAAGTCAAGAGTGAAGATGCACCACTAGTTCCATTTGAAGATCAAGAGACTGAAGAGATCCAAACAAAATTGGACAAACAACTTGGTCCTGAATATGTTTCTACGCGTCCTGGTGCTGGTGGTATTAGAGTTTCATATATTGAAGGTTGGAAAGCCATCAATTTGGCTAATCAAGTTTTCGGATTCAATGGCTGGAGGTCTGAGATAAAGGATGTTCATTTAGATTATATTGAAGAAAGAAATGGTAAGACAAATTTATCTGTTTCAGTTATTGTTAGGGTTACATTGAAAGATGGTACATATCGTGAAGATATTGGTTGTGGAAGTATAGAAAATTCCAGAACAAGAGCAGCGGCTTTCGAGAAAGCCAGAAAGGAAGCTATGACAGATGGTTTGAAAAGAGCACTTAGATGTTTTGGGAACGCAATGGGGAACTGTCTTTATGATAAAGAATATTTAAGTAAAATTTCAAAAGTTAAATGTGCTCCACCAGACTTTGATGAAACTAATTTGATGCGTTTCACAGATAATATGAGTGTTCCGCATAGTAGAGCTTCCACAATACCCCCAAATGTTGCGTTGAATGTCCCAGTGCAACAACCAGCTCAACCACAGGCACAACAGTCAAATATTCCTCATGAACCCGCAACTTCAAATACCAATTTCATAGCACCACAACCACGTCCTATTCCTAATCCAAGAAATCAACCAATACCTAAACCAAATCAAATACCTCCAAGAACAACTAGTCATGCTACTCCGAACAACAAACACAATAAGAAATCAGCTGAAAAGGACAATGATGATTTTGATGACTCGATTACATTTAGTGATGATATAAATCTGGAGTCGGAAGATTTTAACGATGAATTAAATGATATGTTAAATACAAAAATGAAAACACCAGCTCCTGGTGAACATGGTGAGCAACAACATGAAAACCCTACAGATGAATCTATATCACAAGAAGCAACAACTAATGATACACCATCTACACAACCTACTAAAGAAAATGAAATACGGCCATCACAAGTAAGCTTCGTTAAAGCAAGAGTGGCTGAAGATTTACAAAAGAATGGAGATGTTGCCAAAACACATGCTTTCAATCCAGCTTTTATTAGTCCTTCAATAAGAAGAACTGTTGATCCAACCAAGTCAACACCTATAAAGAGAACATCTGCTCATGAGCTAAAAACTGTGCGCTATGATAATCCAAAATTAATGCCAAATAGACAAATTGGTAAACCAAGATATCCACCACCCAAAAGAGCTAGAGTTGATTCTGGTAAAGAGAATAATGTTATTGATAATAACGGCAAACAGCCATCTCAGGAGAACACTAATACTGCTAGCCAGCAACAAACCTCGTCATAGTAAGATTTTTTTAATACATTTTTATTCAAAGTAATCGCTGTAGATATTATTGTTCTAACTTCTGTATTACATTAATGTACGTAAATGATGGTTGGTCGGCCCTGGTTCGCGTACATAAAAATTATGTCAATACTTAAAAATTGATCCACTACATCAAACATTACTTGACACAAAACATACTAAACTATTATATTTTTGCTCAAAAGCACCATCAATTACAATGTCTAGAAGGTATGCTGATCTATTGATATCATTTTTTACCAATCGCTTACTAACATGATAAAGTGACGTTTCCATTAAACCATTTTTATTTCAAAAAGGACCTTATGCTGACGAGGAGTTTGAACCAGGACAGGCCGTCCTAGATACTATACATAGTGCTAAAATATTGTGAGTACAAAGTCAAAATTTCAAACAGTATTTATAGCTGTCACTAACACTGATCATTAGAGTTTTAGGAGCTGGTGGTTTAGGGTGTGAAATACTCAAAAATTTAGCATGTTCAGGATTTAAAGACATTCACGTTATTGATATGGATACAATTGATCTATCGAACTTAAATAGACAATTTTTATTCAGACATTCAGATATAGGAAGATCAAAGGCTGAAGTAGCCGCAGAATTTGTGATGAAAAGAGTCAAATCAGTGAAAATAACTCCATATTTTGGAAAATTACAAGATAAGGATGAAGAATACTATAAACAATTTACATTAGTCATATCAGGGTTAGATAGCATAGAGGCAAGAAGATGGATTAATGCTAAATTAGTACATCTTGTGGATCCAGATAATTTTGAAACTGTTAAACCCTTGATTGATGGTGGTACTGAAGGCTTTAGAGGTCAGGCCAAAGTCATTTTTCCAACATTTTCTGCTTGTTATGAATGCTCTCTTGACACATTAAGTGGACAAACAACATATCCATTGTGTACAATTGCTAACAACCCAAGGTTACCTGAGCACTGTATTGAATTTGCAAGTCAAATTGAGTGGCCAAAGGCACATCCTGGTGAAAAGATTGACACTGATGTTCCTGAGCATGTTACATTTTTATATGAAGCCAGTTTGAAGAGGGCAGAAGAATTTAATATCACAGGTATAACAAGAAGCTTAGTTCTTGGTGTTGTTAAAAATATCATCCCGGCTATTGCGTCCACAAATGCTATTATAGCAGCTTCATGTTGTAATGAAGCTTTCAAGATTGTCTCAAGTTCAAATCCAACCTTGGATAATTTCATGATGTATTCAGGTACTGATAGCGTTTTCACCTACAGTTTTGCTTATGAACGTAAACCTGATTGTCAAGTTTGCGGTGGTTTATGATTCTTTTGGTGTATATCAATGTTACGTATAATTAAGAACAAATCTATATACAGAATATACGCCTATAAAATAAATCTTGTAAACTTTGTACGAGCAGAAAATAGAAACCAAAACTCATCATAACAAACACAAAGCATTAAAAACATCAAAGTAAAAAAAACCAAAGCTATAGTAAAAATCACTTATAACCACTGTTGGTTATTGCTACCAGAGCCACCAAACATTGAACGAGCAACTTGCATTGCCAAATCATGATCATTTAATTCAGGTACAACATTTTTGAGAATTCCATCGGTTTCATGTAACAGATCATTACCAGGGTAATTACTGTTAATATCATCTTTCATTTTATCCGCTGGGTCACTTGTAATACTTTGAGGAGAGACTTCATCAGTATGAACAGAATTTGTAGACTTTGAAGCAACGCCATTGAGATCGCTCATTAAATAATCAAAATCTTGAAAGTTAAGTTCACCTGAAAATAATGCATCACTCATGAATGGATCATCGATACCGTCATATTTATTTAAATCTGGTGCCAAATAATCAAACTGTGATTGATTTGCAGAGTCTGTGAATTGATTCCAGTATGCACCGGCAGACGCATCATTTGATGTTGTTAAACCTAGTTCAATATCAAGATCTGTGTTCAGTGTTTCATAAGCCTTCTTCACTTTATTATTGACCTCCGCAATACGACCAGGATGTTGATATTCTAAATAATCATGAACCATTTTTTGCATGAATGTAATTCTCCAACATACGAAATACTTCTTAGATAGTTTACCACAAAACTGTGTAAATTCCTCAACACGGAATAATAATTGTTCACCGACTGTGATACTTGTAGATAACGGTTCAAGCCAATGAACTAGATCTTTGGAATCTGGTAATTGGTAATGTTGGACAGATATTTGAAAATTGAACAAATTTGATAAATCCCTGACACATAATGAACAAATTGCTTGTAGTGTTCTTTTAGATATATCAAATAAAGTGGCTGAAAAGAAAGATTCAAAATTCAAAGGATGATTGAACTTTGTTGGATTTTGAGCATAATCGTGAACAAGTTTGAATAAAGTCAAAGCAGATTCACTGGTTGCATTTGAAAATCTTTGGATCATTGCAATCTCACCTTCTTCACATGACAACAGCAAGATGTAATAAGTAATATAATGAACATTCAAAAGCATCACTTTATTAACTAAATCCCGAACTTTGATTGTTTTAGTTATAAAATCATCATTTGGATCATCAAATGTACACAACTCTTTTATAGTTCTATATTTCATTAACAAGAACTCGATGTTTTTGACTTTCATCTCCAGCTCTGATCTCTTAGGATGAACTTTAATCTTTGAACATGATTGTATAATATCTCTAATTGCCAATGTAACTTCATGCTGTTTTTTAATATTGTCAATACATGATTTCTCTAACGGGGAGTCGTTGAAATTTGCAGATGGTAACAATGTGTCATATTCATCATCTATCAATAGTGGGCAGCCAAAAGCTAACGCTTGCAAAGCATCTAAATACATCAATTGAGCCCAAATCTTTCTCCACATATTAATAGTGGCGTGACTTGATATCATGGAGAATCTTGTAGCATCCCTATGTAACCCATGGACTTTGGCCATTTGAACGATCAATGATAACAAAATTGTTGAATCAGTACCTTCATCTCCATCTTCTGGTGCATAATATCTGTATAATCTTAGGATCAACAAGGCGTTTATATGTTTCAACGTTGGTTTTCTCATGACACTTGCATTACCCATACAAGCTTTGGCATATTCAATGTAAGAAGGGCCTATATGGACACCACTTTTCAAAACTTTTTCACCAGCTGAGGATGGTTTTGCATCTTGTTTATGAACTGGTAATGAAATAAATGCTAATCTTAAGACACAAAGTAAAACAGCAACTGTGGTTAATAACAGAAAATTTTCCATTTGAATTTTTGCCTTACCATTTTCATCAACAACTAATAAATCATCAACATTCTTTCTAAATGAGACTTCATCGACAAATGGGATGAAAACATAAGTTTCTGTAAAGAAATAATCAATAAGTATTCTTATAACGTGAATTGAGGGTAATATTCCATTAATAGAATCGATCAATTCTTGATGATTCTTGCGAACATCACTTTCAAAAACACTTGTACCATCGGTTACAGTTTTACCAACTATGGTACAATTCTCATCGGCATGAAGAGGTCTTTTTTGATCATAAAGGAAAAATTTATCAAAATTAACTCCCAATTTCTGTTGATCCATATAATTTTTCATTACACCTCTTAAAATTGGGTCTCTTGAAACAGCAGCCATATAACTTGTTGACCCATAATGTGCCATTTTATTTTCTTTCAACATTAACACATCAAAATCTTCTGTAAGCTCCATAACAGGATCATTTATAGGTTGATCGGGTAAGATAAAATTGAAGTTTGCACTGAAGGGGCTATCCATAAAGCTTCCACTTGAAGTTGATGAGCTAAAACTTTGACTGTTCTTAACATTGAAACTCAACAACTTTTTCAATTCATTATTTTGTTGTTGTAATTGAAAGATTTGATCTTTCAACTTTTGTTGCTCATTACTAGCAGCCCATGGTTGTTCTTCGTAAGAACAAAGGTTTGTAGTGTTATTCTTAACACATGATGAACAATGTGGTTTGGCTTTGTCACATTTCATTTTACGACGGCGACATACCGTACAAACAGTTGGGACTCTATATCTTGTCTTTTTAGCTTTTGAAGCTGGATCCATCTTGTTAAGTTATGCTATTTGAATTTTATTGCGATGTATATGGATATTGGATGATCAAAGTAAACTGGGTGTAGGTGGCAAACTTATATTCAATTGATATGAAATAACACCAATCTGAGCCAGAAAGAAGTTCACGTCTATATTAATTAACAGTAGAAGAACTTGGTTAAATTGTACGGAGAATAATATTTATATTGGAATGTCTGATAGTGTTTGGTGGTGATAAGTTTTGAAGATGAGTGACTTCAGCTCTTTCTAGTTGTGATAGTTGTCAATCTACTTGGTATAGCCTTAATAAAGAGCTGCCAAAACACTTTAAATGTACAACATAGTGTCAAAAATTTGATTAAATTTGGACTTCCTCATTAACATGAGTATAAAATATGATTATCAGATACAGTGAGACTTTAGCCCAAGCCCCGGTGCTCAAATGTTCGTAGCATGTGAATAATGAATTGGTGGTTGAGTCTCTAGTTTGGCGTAATTCTTAGAACGCTTTCATAAGCTGCAGCGGGTTTAAGGGATGTAAGGCCCTAAATACGCTGAGTTTCACAAAACTGTATATGATGTTACTATAGTAACCATAGAAGCCAGGCCCCCAGACTTTAAAATTCACCTAGAAGAAACAATAGTGATTAAATTTCTATCTTCATTCTAGTTACTATCAATCCACATTGATATAACTGAAAGGTCAGGAAATTAATCCATACTTCGCGTTGAATAAGTAATACTTGTCAATAGCTCTTAGCTCAGGGTGAAAATCTGCTACAAAATTAACTGTAAACTGAATTCTAGCTACAGTAGGCCGCAAATCAAAGTTCTTTATCACAAATTACAATGTTATTATATAATCAATTCTCGCGAGTCGCGACCCGCGAACAAATTATTGGAGAAAACTGAAAACTAATTTATAATTCGCGATCTTTTAATCGTCAACACATCGCGAATTTCTGTCTAGTTAGGTGTCATTCCTATAGATCAGTTGAGTATAGGTGTCATTAATAATTGTAATTAATCGATTCATTATCCAATACTCTAACATAAAACACTATTGTGAAAACAAGGGGATAAATATGGCAACTAGAGAACCTGATATATCTCATGAACTTTCAAATATCGCTGTGAAATTACAAGTGTGGTCGTCAGATGCTATAAACTTCAAACTTGAAGATAATGTTATCCGAACAACATTGAAAAACAATGTCTATGATATCAAAGAAATTATTAGCAAAAGATCAGTTGGTCATTCTCCCCTTCACTTGAATCCTAGGGCGCTTACATTCATTTATAAAAATCATGAACATAGGGACCATGAAGAGTTGGGACAATTCTTAGTACAAGAACAAGACCCTATCAGAATAAGGTTGGAAATTATACATGCTAATGTTGGATCTTTGGATTTAAGAGAATCGTTCCTGACAATAAACTTGAAATATAGTAATGGAAAGAAACTAGTCCTAAGAGAATCTTTAAAGACAACTATAAGATCTTTGAAATATTCAATTATTGATGATTTAAAATTAAGTGGGTTACATGATATAACAACTTTGGAATATAACTCTGGGAAGGATTTTCAAGAGCAGGATGAATTGAACATTGGTCAACTACTTGACTTGGATACTGTTCCACCATATGACTTGAACATTTATGTTAGAACTAAAGATGATTTTATAATTAGATTATCTTCACCAAATCAAGAAGTTTTAAGATTGAATAAAGTTATTGTTTCATTAGACACGTCAATAGGTGACATCAAACAATTCATGATCGATCAATACACTGGTAATAATGATATCACATCCTCACAAATTAAATTAATATACTCTGGTAGAGTCTTGGGTAATGATCAAGAATTGAGTGACATATTAAATGGTGCCTCTCTATCAGTCACTATGATAACTTTCCATTTTGTCATAAATGAACCAGAGCCTCCAAAACCTTCAGGTGGATTCTGGAGTGATTTAAGAAATGGTCGTTCATTGTTTGAGTTTCTTCCAGTAGAACCTAATCCAAATTTTGAAGCTGATTTAGAAAGAGATCGTTTATTAAGAGAAAGACTGAGTGGAGGTGTTGAGCCTCAACAAGAACAAGGAACACAATCTATTAATGATCATTCACCCTCACAAGCTGAGAATCATCGAGACCAAGAGCAAGAGCAGCCACATTTGGATCATATATCACAGCAACCACAACAACCACAACAACCACAACAACCACAACAACCGACTTCATCATCAACAACATCTATATTCAGAGATCAACATCATAGCTACAAGAAAGTCCCAAATCACCCACCAGAAATAACAAACCTTGAACTAACAGGTAATTCTTATTACAGTGTCACTAAAGATGGAAATGACGAAGAAGTTTTGGTTGATCAATTAGAAGTTTCACAGTGCAATTTTGAAATTACACTAAATACAATTGATGGACCACAATCTGTTCAATTATCAAGCTCAGACGTTATTATTAATGACTCAGATCCTCAAAATCCCTATTTAATGGCTTCACCATCAGGTTTTGCTAAATTGAAGAAATTGGGTATTAGTATTGAACCTCCAAATCTTTTAATTGAAACTAATGAACAGCCAACAACTACTACTTCTAGCCACGCAACTCCTTCTTTCTATTCAAGACCAACAATTACAAGAAACACAGTTCCAAACATTGCATCTTCCACAACAGTTCCCTTAACAGCTACACAACCACGAACAGGAACAATTCAAAATCAACAACAACCAGGGAATAGACGCAATGTGTTTCCAAGGGTACGGAGAGAAGGTAGTAATTTAATTGTTAACTTAAGAAGATTTAGTGGACAATTGAATTCTGAGAATTTCACAAGACCTTTAAGACTATTGGGGAAATTATTATATCATTTAATTAAAATTTCATTATTTTATCACTTGATTGTTGCACCAATCCAAGATAATTTTCAAAGATATTTCGCTATGGGATTATTAGGGCTATATTTATATACAAACCAGACATTGAGATCATTATTAACTGAAATTCATACTTTATTACCAAATTCCACAAGAGAATGGATTTCAAGATATATCATAACTCCCGAGTCATGGATCTCATCAAGAATTTCATATCTAAGGTTCAATTTAATCAGTTCAATTTTGAATATGTTACCATCAACCAGTTCTGATAATACTTGGACAAATATGATTGATAGATTCATTAGAAATGTTACTGTTTCATTTATTTTATTTTTCACCAGTTTTGATCCAACTTTACATAGATCATTCCATGAAAATTGGCATCATAGAAGAAGAGCAAACCAAGCTGCTGAAGCAGCAGCTCAAACACTTCAGGAGTCACAAGATGCTCAAGGTACTTCAGATGTTCATGAAGAAGAAGCTCAGGAATCTCAAGAACATGAAGGAAATGATATAGATCAAGAAGCTGAAGTCCAAGCATCATCAACTGGGCATGTTTTAGGAACGTCTGATGATACTGTTGAAGAACAAATTACCAGGGGTCCTGATAATGCAACTGGTGTGCAAGTTCATCATGAAAATTAGATTAGAATCATCAAATGGCTTTTTTAAATATTTAGTTCTATATTTATATTAAAAATAATGTCATCTTACGGTATATATCTGAATGATACGTAGCGTGCGAAAATTAGATCGATTATACTCAAATTTAATTGTCTGGCAACATGTATTGATTCATGTTCATCAGATCTCTGTTCATCATATACTACAGCGCGCGCGCTAATCAAAGTGGGTTACATCAGTGCTTACATAACTCAAGCACTAAAAAAAAAATTCTGCACCAAACTCCAAAATAGGAGGCATTCCTTACAGAACGATTTTTGTGTCACTTTTGTACTTGATTTCTTTACCAATTGAAGCATAACACTATATATTCACACTGATTATAGTGACCAGCCAATAAGTAGACTCTTCTTGATTATTATACACCTTCCACTCTTTAAAATTACCAAACTTTCCACCCTTTTGGATAAAAAATCCAACGAAAAAACTGTGGCGTTTCGTTTAGGTTCTACGGTTTGTGCAACATATTTTTTTATTCCCTTTGGGGCATTCGTGGCCTTTGGTTTTTCTGGAATCTTTAGTAATTTAGATAAGGCTAGACAGATCGAATTATTAGATTTTTTGTAACGTATTGAATCGAATGAATTGCACTAGATTGAGCTGATATGTAATCTAAATGTATTGTTAATCAAATATGACATCGGGCGGCGATATAGGAGCTCCCACTTTGTAATCAGTAACTCTCGAACCAGAAATCTGGTTCAAATCTAAATTACCTTGAATCGAGCTTACGCGTTGAATCTAAACTCTGAAGAGCTGAGGAGTAAAAGAGGGAAAATTTAAGCTACAAATTTTGTTAAGTAGATCCAAAAGATAACTCAATTGTATTATTATACTACTCTAGATAGTATTCCATTCATTATCTGTGTATTCTGATACTCAATTGACCAATATTCACTGTAGTTTATAACCTCATGTGTTAATCGGTGCCCTCGGTGGTTTTTCCAAAACGGTGTTGCTTATACTTTTTTGTCAGCTTTGGCATTTCTGGACTTTTGGATCCGTATCTCACTATGGATATAAATATAGTAGGAAATCCCCTATAATTTTCAAAAATCTCAAGAAACACGTTTATATAAAACATCAAGTTATAGATTCAATTGATCTTATACATATACAAAAACACATTATAGATATACACAATGGTCGCCCAAGTTCAAAAACCAGCTCCAGAATTCAAAAAAACTGCCGTCGTTGATGGTTTATTCGAAGAAGTTTCTTTAGAAAAATACACTTCTCAAGGTAAATGGGTTGTTTTAGCTTTCATTCCATTAGCTTTCACTTTCGTTTGTCCAACTGAAATCATTGCTTACTCTGAAGCTGCTAAGAAATTCTCTGAAAAAGGTGCTCAAGTTTTATTCGCTTCAACTGATTCAGAATACTCATTATTAGCTTGGACTAACATTGCTAGAAAAGATGGTGGTTTAGGTCCAGTTGATATCCCATTAGTTGCTGACACTAACCACACTTTATCAAAAGATTACGGTGTTTTAATTGAAGAAGAAGGTGTTGCTTTAAGAGGTATTTTCTTAATTGATCCAAAAGGTAACTTAAGACAATCAACCATCAATGATTTACCAGTCGGTAGAAACGTTGAAGAAACCTACAGATTATTAGAAGCTTTCCAATGGACTGAAGAACATGGTGAAGTTTTACCATGTAACTGGCAACCAGGTTCCGCCACCATCAAACCAGGTGTCGAAGAATCAAAAGAATACTTTGCCAAAGCTAACAAATAAGTTTATAAATAATGTTTAGAAAAAATGGTTTGAAACTGTTTTAATGTTAATGAGTTAAATATTTAATAATTGAAATTGTAGTTTTGTAAAAACTTTTGAAATACTTGATCAAAAGCAGAGAGATCCAGAAAGGTTGGTTAAAACTCAATCGCGAATCTATTAAGGTTTTCAGAATTCAAGTGTTGGAGTAATTTATCGTACCACCATCTATTGAAGTTCTATGATCTATCGATCTATCCCATTAAATCAATAAGAGGTTTCATCAATTAACTACTCAGATAATATGACTAAAGCCCAAAGTATAATTCATTTTTCAAAGTTCGTTGTTAATGAACAAGTAAGTCACATAGCATAACAATTTGAATCTTCCTTTACTAACAATTTCTGGTAGGTCTTTTACGTATGTTATTCAAAATAGGAAATTAGATCTCCACACATTTACTAACCGCTATGGTAGAAAACAAAATACACATATGCTCTTGTTAATTTAAAACCAATTGTTCCTGGTCATGTCCTTGTTGTCCCATTAAGAATTGTTCCAAGATTAAAAGATTTAACAGATGAAGAAAGTATAGATTATATGAGAACTCTTCAAAAAGTTCATAAATTCATTGAATATATCTATAAAGCTGGATCATTAAACATAGCAATCCAAGACGGTCCAGAAGCTGGTCAATCTATTCCTCATTTACATGCACATTTGATTCCAAGAACTCAAAAAAACAATATAGGCGATAAGATTTATGAAAAATTAAATAAAGAAGATCTAGAAGATGAATTTCATAAAAGAAAACAATATCAGAGAGAACACGATGATTTTGTTGTTAAACCTGATTCAGAAAGATTTGATAGAACTGCTGAAGAAATGAAGAAAGAAGCGCTTTGGTTAAGTGAAGAAATTACAAAATATTACAATGAATAATTTTGAGCTTTTTCAAATTATTTTGACTTTATGACTTTAATTTATTTATTTACTAATGTTGTGTGTTTTTGAAACTATAGACATGATTTGTATAATTTTATATTCTCAATACTTGAAAAATAGCATGATTATGATGTTGATCCAAACTTTTAAAATGTTAATCTTTTTGTTTTACATGATATGAAACAGATTTATTCTCCTCTGTTTGCTTTATCTTCGGCTTCTAATAATTCATAACGTTGTTTACGTTGTTCAGCCCATATCTTAGCAGTAACTTCTTTTCTCTTATATTCACCACCAAAGTAAGATTTTTTACCTTTTTTGAACTCTTTAATTGGTTCACCACATCTATATTTTTCCAACATGTTTATAATATATCTTCTACTTTGTACATCAATACCTTTTTCTTTCATTTGTCTTGATGTGGTATTGAATAGTGCGTGCCATGATGGGAAATGTTCTAAATGTTCTATAGTATTACGTCCTATTTTATTTAAGAAAGCTTCTGGTGTTGGAATTTCTGCTGATGGTTTAGGTTGGGCATTTCTCAAAAGAGCTGATTGTGTGGAAAATGAAGCACGCTGTATTAGTGCATTATTTGATCTTATGATTCTAGAAAACATGGCCGATGGAAAACGATCTATATATGATCTTTTAATTATACGCTTTTTAATATTTACCATTAATATCGTTGAATTTTTCAAAAATTTTGTTCCAACAGTGAAGGAAAATTCGCGAAATTTTATTAATGCTGCTCGAAACAATAACTTCCTTAACAAAATCTCGAAACTTGTATATGAAGCTTTAAATTATCAACAAAAGACGATTCAAATAAAACATTAATACTTGATTTATTGAGCATTGGATTTCACGATGACAGATAGCACACCTTTAGACGAGCTTCAATGGAAATCACCAGAGTGGATCCAAGCATTTGGACTACGAACAGATAATGTTCTAGAGTATTTTTCACAGTCACCATTTTTCGATCGAACATCAAATAATCAAGTTGTCAAGATGCAATCACAATTCAATGAGAATATCCAATTACATAGTTTAAATATTGAATTTGAACTGAAGAAAATGAAAGGTATTGAATTTGTCATATTACATCGCCGTGAACCTGATTTTTGGATTATTAGAAAACAATATAGAACAGGTCCAGAACAAGTTGAATCATTATCTGATTATTACATTATAGGTGCAAATGTTTATATGGCACCAACTGTGAAAGATGTTGTTTCAACAAGATTAGTATGTGTAATGTTTTGCTTGTTTTGGATAATCGTAACAATTTATTAACAATTCACTTTTATAGCTCAGTTCTGCATTATCACTAAAAAATTCATTAGATAAACTACAATCACTAGCACAATTCACACCATCAGATGGTCATACATATAGACTCGAAGCTAGTGAAACTCAACCACCATCAAGATCGAGAACTTTGGGGAATACACCTTACAGTCCTGCAACTCCCACAGTACAAGGTTCAAGTCCAATAACCAAAAATGAATCACTTTCGACTGCAACAATAGATAACCTTTTCAATATTTCATTAAAAGGGAATATACAGTACTTGGAAGAAACACCTACACAAAGTACACCACAGATTCCTGCACAAAAATTACCAACAAAGCCTATACCTGTACTTGATGGTGATCAACAAAATATTCAATATTTAAAAAAGGGTAAGAAACCATTGAGATAGACAGAGAGAAAAAGAATTAATGATTATGAGATGAAATATGATTCATATTTGTAGATTCTATAGGAAGACCCACAAATCAAGCACCCTTTTCTGGGTTGTCTGATTTTAATTATAATAATAATTCTTCAGTAATTAGCTACCCTCTTGGAAAACATTTTTGTACCAGACACGTAAAAATTCAACGTAGTCAATTTCCCGATCCACACAATTCATCATCACTTCTTTCAACACCCACTTAAAATCAATTCAAAAGATACGAATCATCGTGGAATTTCAATTGACCAGATATTAACTCAAAGATGCAATTATTTGGGTCTGTTTTCGCATTTGTTGCGACTTTTTCTTTATTTATTAGCGCTGTTTTAGCCGCTGATCCCCCAGTTACTCATAAAGTTTACTTTGATATTAAACAAGGTGAAGAAGATTTAGGTCGTGTTATTTTTGGTCTTTATGGTTCTGTTGTTCCAAAAACTGCTGAAAACTTCCGTCAATTAACAGTTTCTAGTGATCCTAAATTTGGTTACATTAATTCAATTTTCCATAGAGTTATTCCACAATTTATGATTCAAGGTGGTGATTTCACTGATAGAAGAGGTACTGGTGGTAAATCAATTTATGGATGTAAGTATCAAGACTTTTTTAAGGGATTAGTGACCATTTGACAATATTTTGTTCTCGCTTCAATAATCTTTATTTGTTTCATATATACTAACAAAATATCACTTTAGCAAAATTCAAAGATGAAAACTTCTTAGTCAAACACGACAAAAAAGGTAAATTATCAATGGCTAACGTTGGTAAAGATACCAATGGATCTCAATTCTTCATCACTACTGTCGTCACCCCATGGTTAGATGGTAAGCATGTTGTTTTCGGTGAAGTTTTAGAAGGTTTTGATATTATTGAAAAAATTGAAAAAACCAAGACCAACTGGTCAAACAAACCAGATGAAGATGTTGTCATTGCTGGTACTGGTGAAATTGATGAATCTGGTAACATTGTCACTTCTGTTACTTTAGATTCCATCAAAACTGATGCTGCTAAAGAAACTATCAAACATGATGAGCTGTAATCAATTGAATTAGTAGACTACTATTCAAAACGAAAAAATGGAAATGAAAAATCATACCATATATATATAATATTATATAAGAAATGAGATAGTTTTCACAAAAGTAATAACCTCATTATCTTGAGTTCTGTTAGTATTCGAAAGTTCTTGGGTTACTCTTTCCGATTTATAGAATTAATTCGCGGTGTCAATATTTGGGAAATTCGCGTGTTGATTTTGGATAGAAAAGCTTATAGAAGAACTATATAATCAAGTTTTGAAAGCCCAATATCAACGACAAAAATCGACTAATCGTTTTCAGTTGATACCGCAATGAGTGAAAACGGGGTTTCTGGAAATCCTGATGAACCAGTTGTTCCAAGAGATGTCAGAATTTTGCATCTTATATTGGCATCTCAGTCAATCCAAAGTTATGAAGATCATGTACCATTACAACTAATGGATTTTGCACACAGTGAGTTTGAGAGAACTAGACTTCCCGTCAATTTTATACTAACGTTAAGTAAGGATACACCGCTGGTATATTAAAGGATGCAGTTATTTATAACGATCATTCACGCTCTTCAAATGGATCTACTACAGTACCGGGATCTAAAATAACAACAGATGATATAAGATTAGCCATTGCAGCAAGAACAAATTACCAATTCAAACCAGTCACTCCAAAAGAATTATTATTAGAATTAGCTGCAGAAAGAAATAAGAAAACGTTGCCACCAATCATGCCTGGTTATGGTATTAGACTACCCCCAGAAAAGTATTGTTTAACTGCTAGAGATTGGTCTTTGAGTGATGAAGAAGACGTAAGTAGATGATTATTAAAATTACATGTTTTCTGGATCAAATATTAACTTTCAATTATAGGATGAAGATGAAAAAATGACTGATGCAAAATGATTTAACTTCTGTTGTGTATTTTTAATGTATATTATTGTTTTTTATTTATCATAGAGTAGCCGAAAAAAGATAAAAAACTAAATCATATAAAATTGGTCGTCTCAGATGATGTAACAAGTTCTTTCGATGCCGAATCTTCCAAAATGACATTGTTATCTTTAATTTACAACCTTTGTCATTGTTCGGTATATTTTGTTCTTGAAATTTCAAGCAATAATATTCGCGAACATTTTTTCTTGATTTTGCAATTTGTGAACGACCTGTTGTTAATTGAGGAAAGGAATTCTAAAACTTTACCATTCAAGAGAATTTGAACTAATTGAATTGGTGATAGCCGCCTCTTAGATTGAAAAGAACTCATAAGCACAATCATGATTACCTCTCAAGGTTCAATTCCTGAGTATGTTTGGACTATGTTCTGTTTTTTGTGCCATGTTGACAATTGTCGATTGTTTTGGGCATAAGCCTCGAAATACCATTGAGTACTAACAATAGCGCTATAGAGTTAAAGAAGATATACCAGGTGCTTCAATTGATGAAAGATCACACCGCTTGAAAACATTTGTTGATCTTGGTCCACCAGATCTAGTCGCATTGACCAAACAAGTCCCAAATTCAAAATCACCTGAAGTAAGTAACTTTCAAACATTTAACAGTCATCAAGATTCAATATACTAACATACACATCAATTATAGATCGGTACATATTTATATTATACAGGTCTAGAAAACACAAGTACTTCTTCAGTGGCTGCCCATTTGAATTCATTGGCCAATGTTATCGGATCATCCCCACAACATTGGTTTGGTAAATCAAAACCATGGAAAGTTACAAAAGCTGTCTATGTTTCATATAACGCTTTTTCAAGAGTTGACGTTGTTGTCACAGCACATATACCAGGTGCTGTTAGCTCCTATGTCATTGATGGGTATAGAGAAAGAATTCAAGAAAATGATAGAATATGGTTAGAAACATTCGCAAGTGGTATAATTAGATCTTTATTAACTAGTGAAGAAGATGAAGAGCAAGTCAATGCAGTTGTTGAATCAAGAAATTTAAATCCTTTCCAAAATGTTGAAACTGCCAAACAATTTTTTGTGGCCTTTGAAGAATTATTTGAACAAGGTCCAGATGTAGGTTCAGCTCCTGAGATCCAAACACCAACAATTATTTCTAACTATTTAGTTGACGCATTCTTGAAGGCTGTTGAACTTACCGGTCTTTACGATGATGCATTGAGTATTCTCGAAAGATTAAGAGAAAAGGAAGAGTTAGTTGTTAGTCTGATTGTCAAAGTCTTACTTTTGAAAGACGAAGAAATCAAAGCTGTTAAATTATTACATGAAGGTATCAAGAGAAACCCAAGAGATGCAAATCTATTGACTATTCAATCTCAATTTTTGCTAGAGAAAAATAGATTAGATCTTGCTTTACCATCTGCAGTCCAAGCTGTTAACTCTGCTCCATCAGAATTCAACCCATGGGCAAATTTAGCTAAGGTTTATCTGGAATCAGGAAATGTTGAGCAAGCTTTATTGGCTTTAAACTCATGCCCAATGGCTGCTTATAAAGAAAAATTCCACCTGAAGAGAATAATTCCAACAACCGCTGAGAAGCTGCACTTACCATTACCAGTTGATGTTACCTTAGATGATGTTTCAAGCCTGGATTCTGCTCGTGTCGCCCAAGAACATAACTCTGTTGACCAGGCTTTAGTCAATCTTCAAGCTGCCAATCTAAAATCAACATTTGCCAAAGCTTATGATATTTTGACCGAAATTGTTCATAGAACAGGCTGGGAATCACTATTGAAATATAGAGCTAAAATATTTGTTATGGAAGAAGAATATAGATCTAAATCTTCATCACAAACCAACGTTTTAGAAACTGCTGCTAACGGCAAAGCAACTGATGGTGAAAATAGTTTCAAAAAGAAAAGATTATGTGAGAGATGGTTGGATAACCTATTCATGTTGTTATATGATGACTTAAGAACATACACAATGTGGCAAGCAGAAATGATACATTTCCAAGCTCAAAAGACACAATATGAAAAATTACCAGTTGAATGGGAACTTTTGGGTATGGTAGCTTTTAGATTACATCACTACAAAGAAGCTGCTAATGCTTTCCAAAGAGCATTGGAAATTAGATTTGCACCAACATCAACTAGAAACTTACTTAAATATTATCAACTTGAAATTAAAAATTTGAAACAGAAAGCTGATAAGTCACACCAACTCAATGGACATAATAACAAATCAACAACTTCATTGGATCATGGAAATCTATCACCTCAACAATTATCCAAAAAAATTGCTAAATTAGATGAAAATATATTAGATACAGTTGTTAGATTATCGGCTTGGAACCATAGATGGTACTGTGAATTTGCTCCATATTTATTAACAGCTTTAGCTAAAGTTATTGGAAGAGAAGGTCTTGTCAAGATACAGAATGAAGTTAGAGCAAATTATCCAGATACGGGAGTTAATGAATTATTAGATGATTCATTTGAATTCTTTAGGCACTTTGAAGTGTTTGGATCAGAAACATAGATTTTTTTACAAATTGGACGAACATATGAACTACAAATCTAATATAAAACTCTTATCATTACACTTGAATGTATCTAAACATGTAAGAAATTTTTTGCCTCATAATATTAACCATATTAATGCTGATATGATTGATCCTCCAATTACTATTGTAATGAATGATGCACCAGCTTTGCTACCTGGTGTTATATTTAAGTGGGATTGTTCCTCTTCCTCAAAATGATACCCTGCCATATCACTTCCTTCTGAAGAGCCACCATCTTGTGCTGTAAATGGTGGTGGTTTGTCCTTGTACCTCAAATTTTGTATTACCTCCAAAGCTGTGATCTGCTCCCCCAGACCATACATACCATCCCATCCCCCTTGCTGCCAGTTGAGGCCACATGTTACACCATCAGTTCCACCTGAACATGATTGGGCTGCAGCTTTTGCCGATTCCAAAAGATACCAATCTATTATATCTCTTGTACCAGGTACGAGTTGTGCAGTTAAACCTAAAAACCTTGAGAAAAAAGCCTTGAATGATCTTTGATCATTATTGCAATTCATGGAACTTTGACAGGCGGCTTCATACATGATCCCATCCCTGAAGTAGACACTTATACCCTGTAATAGTAAAAAGAGTCTTTCTTCCCAGTGTGGATTTCCTGTAACATTATAAAGGAAAGCAGCACCACTTAACATTAAACCAGCATTATAAGTCCACTGGACTGCTATCACTTTTGAACAGTCATCATTTGTAGACGTACCATCAAATACCACAAGATAATTAGAGTTACCATCTATGAGATTAGTTACATTCATCCAATCCCAGACACGTTCGGCCCATTCAACATATGTACTATTCCCAGTATATCTTGCAAGGCGAGCAGCAAGCTGAAAGAAACATCCATTGGATACCGAATTTTTGTAGTCATATCCAGAGTTCCATTGGAATATTTGCCATCTTAATCCTCCTCCACACTCTTGCTCATCCCATCTATAAGACATTGTATTAAATACCGATTGTGCTAGATAGAGCCATTGCGGTTCATGTTTCTCAGGATTAGTGAAGTTTCTCTCAGCTGCAGACATTACTGCAAGTCCCCAAAATGCTTGATCATCATTACCTTCTGTTGTCGATTGATTAAGTGGTACATAGTCCCATTTTTCTCCAACTTGAGCCAGCAGTGATTGTTTTATCAAATCATCATATTGTTTGTCTTCAGTATAGAATGAATAGTCTAGCATCGAGCCCCAAACTCCCCCTGACTCCCACCAATAATAAGGTGGCTGAAAAAGACCAATAGGTTTTCCATAGTTATATCCATCATAGTAATCTAGTACACCTTTTGCTATTGAGCCAGTGGCACTTTTTATTGATTCGAAGTCGTAAGGATCCAATTCTAGACATGATATGCACAGTAAATTCAAAAAAATACTATATAACACTATACCAACAATCATTTTAGCTCATTTAGCTATATTTGTGATGCTATTTGTCTGCTTTTTAGGTCGATATTAAAAACTTTCAAGTGAGAATATTAGCTGATTTACTCAAATTGTGACACTACAGATAAAATTTGAGAAGAAAATGATTAGAGATTATAAAGCATAAGTCCAAAGAGACTAACCAGTGACTGAACAGTATGTGAAAATAGTTCTAGATGAGCTCCCCGTGTTTTGGATTGCTTGATTCATATGAGGTTAAGCTTGTTTGAAATTTAAAGAATCAAATTGCTTGATTAAGCATAACTGTTGCACTAGGTACGGATTCCATAGCAACCATCTATAAGTTACCGCGGACCGTTATTGAATTTGCTTAGGTAAGCGACAATATATTATAACCTCTACAATTTGAATTCCACATTATATATTTTGGAATAATACTATTCTTAATATGTATCTTTTTGCTTATTATTTCTTATTCTTACACTGGATTAGCATAAACAAGCTAAAAAAATTTTCGTTTTTTGGGGATTCGCCTAATTTGAATTCTATTTTGAAGTGTCATGATCCACAATCTGAAAAATCCAAAAATTTTAATTACCATATATTCGATATCTCTATTATAGTTGCAAATAGAGCAGCAATAAGATTCATTTGAAACATATTTTCGCTATATTTATAAGAAAAAACTCGAGGATTTCTCTTGGGTATCATAATCATTGACAATTCATTGTTGTGTTGTCCCTACCATTTTACATAGACGTATAAATTGTAATAATAAATATTAAATACACTCTCAAATTTCATTTCATTACTATGAACTGTTTTAAACTATGAAAATATTCCAACCAACCAAATTGTAATACATAAAAAGGGCTTAAAGCTATAAAAGTATGGTAAAGTTTACGTTCATGTGAGAGATATACGGCTAATAAAAAGGGCAGGCATGTTGGAAAGTACTGGAAATAAAAAAAGGGTACATAATGTATTACACGATAAAAATATTAGATTAGCTGTTATATTATAATGAAATTGTATTGAAGCTGAACTACAGTAAGATTTTGTTTTCAAATACAGAAGAATATATAAATATTTGAATTACGACTATATACTTGTGAGTTTTAAATTCAGTCAATCAAGCTGCAACAGCCCAAAATTTCTCCCACATATTCTTTGGGGTTTCATCTTCCCAAACTATCGCATCTATTTCTCTTCTGTCAGAGTCAAGATCGAGGTCTTCTAATTTTATTAGTATTCTACCTCTGAAGTAAACGAATTGAAAGAATAACCACAATGAAACGAACAAAATGACGGATATATAAGCTGTGAAAAATGAGCTAACATTAAAACCTTTAATGAAAGCATCAAACCCATTGATTAAAATGATCAACGCAATGAAAAATGAAGCATAATAAGCAGCCCATGGCATGAAGTGTGCTTTAAAGGGTAGCTCATCTCTAGAGATACCACGAGCAGATAATGATTGCATAAATCTGATATGAGATAAGGAGATGCATAACCATAAAAATAGTCCAGCAATTGCTGTACTATTTAATAGCCAGTTGAAGACAGTCCATGCATCATTAGATACCACCATGAAGCCCAAAAATCCTACCGAAGCTGTAGAAAAGACACCAACAATTGGAACACCATACTTGTTTGTTGATTTGAAAAGTTTTGGTGCTAGACCATTTTGAGCAATTGAATATAGGATACGTGAGCTAATATAAATATTTGAGTTTGCAGCTGAAACAATTGTCATCAAAATAACAGCATTGAAAATGTGTGGTAATATTGGTGTACCTGAGTTCTGAATGGCAATAATGAATGGAGATGAAGCCACATAAGAAGCATTTGAGCCTAATTTTGGGTCATCATATGGAACTAATAGCCCAATGAAGAATAATGATAATAAATAAAAGAATAATATTCTAAAAAAAACCTTGTTGATGGCTTTTGGAACTGATCTTCTTGGATTTTTAGCCTCACCTGCTGAGACAGCCACCAATTCAGTACCTTGGAATGTAAAAGCTGCATTGACTAAAGAAGAAACCCAGCCCAAAAATCTACCTTTCGCAGTACCAGGAAACAGATAACCTGGACCCCAGGGACCTGGATTTCTCCAGTATCTAAATCCAATTGGACCTTCTTTACCACCACCACAAACCATTATGAATGAATAAATAATAAAACCAACAATTGCGATAATTTTAATTCCTGCAACCCAAAATTCAACCTCACCATAATATTTGACAGGAAACATATTTGCTCCTACTAAGATCACCCAGAATATAGCTATCCAAGCGGGTAAAGGAACTGCAAAAGTCCAATATTGAATAATTTGTCCAATTACTGATAGTTCCAAAGCAAAGTTCACACACCAAGAAGCCAAATATAGATAACCACTCGTAACGCCTAAAGCTGGTGATAAAAATCTTTGAGTAAAGACAGTAAATGATGAGGTAACTGGTATATATGTTGTCATTTCTCCTAAGGATTGAGTAACTGAATAAGCTATGGTGGCCATGAATAAATATGCAATGAATGCGTTGACTGGACCCGCATTTGTCAAGGGGGTTGCAATACCAATGAATAAACCTGTACCGATGGTACCTCCAAGTGCAATCATAGTAACATGACGAGGCTTCAGTGTTCTTTTGACTTGTGTGTCTTTCACGCTTCCTACCTCCTCTTCTGATATATATATTGGTACTTCAGATTCGGATTCATTTGCTGGATTCACATAAACACTAGCATAGTTATTCTTTGACGAAGAGTCATTCTCTAAATTCTGCTGTTCATAAGCCATGTGGAATGGATTCTTCGAAGACTGTGTTGAATATGGACTAAGCAAATTCAGCAAATCGATGGTTGATGTATTAAACAATAGTAATGATGGAGAATCAAATAAATTTGACAGCCATCAAAGTTTTCAATCGGTGTTATAATTATCATCCATTTGTGTGCGAGCCGACGCCGGTTGAATGCAACCAAAGTATGACTCGAGAAGCAGCACTTTTTTGGCATTTGTGGAGGACAGTATCAAAGTAAGTCCATTGTATCTGAAGAAAGAGTACTTTCATTATTCATTAATAGGGAATTTGGGATCTTCAATAGTAGACCCAACCGAAGAGTTTAAACTTTACGAATTTAATCTCGGTTTGGTGTTAAAGTAGTATCAGTAGCACACCGATGCAGCAAGACACGCGGGCGGCGGGGGTATATGGAGAAACGCGAAATTTGAATAAAGCTTACTTTATTTAAAGTTTGATTGTATTCAATTCAAGTACAAAAATTCGTCATTACCTCAACTTTCAACAACATACGAGTATGCTTTTAAGTTAATATTTGACAGAAAAAATAAGATAAGACAAAGATATTTAACTCAAGTAGTGATATTGGGCCCACCGCTAATAAGGAAACACAATATCCAAACATGTCTTCTGCAAGTTTTGTATAAGTACCAGCTCCTGATAAACCTACTATAAAACTATACTATTGCATGATTTTAGAGTATTACTGGGGGAGTAAAGCTCCTATTCAGAAAACGAATGATTTTCATTTATGTTCATGGTACAAATTCCCAGTTCATAGTCCATATAGTGATTATGTATGTAATAAATCATGTACATGGTGCTAAACTATTTAAATTATAACTGTCAATTACTCTACTCAAGAGTCGAAGCTAAATTAATCAAAGTTGAACTCAAATTTCACTAGAAATCTCTAAAGTAATTTTAATTGACATTTGCCAACAACGTCGAAGTCTTTGTGTCTCAAAAATTTATCAAAAGTTGAAATCTCCTAAAACCAAAGAGGAATATTATCATTGATCAAGCATATTGTAAAACTATCAGCAGAGTTTGGATTGAGAAAGCTTGGGTAATTATGCAGATTGAGAGCTATTTTATGATGCATCCCAAAACATTTAAGAAGACTTACATAGCATTTTAATAAAATATATTTGGGTAAATGAAAGGAAATGTCTTATTAAAAGGGTTGGTGCCAACTTCTCTCAAGCTCCACTAGCAATGAAACTGGAACTCATCACGCACCCCAAATAATTACCATATTATTATAGCATATAACAGAATAGCTAGTATGAACAAATGAACTTTCGTATATAGCTCGACTTCAAGATATATACTCTCGTACAGTTCGATTGTGATGCATCTCATATTATTATATTTAACAATAATATGCTTCCTCCATCTCAATCACAGTACTTCACACAATATATAACTAAACGAATTTTAGTGTAAATAAATATTTACAGCTACTCGTACAAATGCTTGAGCAGAGCCAGCTTGAATGAAGCACACGTCTCTGCTATAGGATGGTATATCGTCGCAACAGCTGGATCGAAAGGACAATTGATATATATGTAATTAGCTTTTTATATAATACAATTTATATAATATAATATATCATAGCAGATTAAAACAAATGTATGTCTCATGAGGCTTACCCATGTTAACCGCTCTCATTAAAGTTCAGTGATTAAGAACTACGATACTTCATCATGGCTCCATCCCTCACCTGTAGTTACGATACTAATTCAAAAAGAAAGTTCATGAGCTCGTTTTCACACAGCTCGCCTAGCACAGCTGTCTAGCAGCTAGAGATTCGAGATCCTACATGGAAGCTTTACGCACATGAGAGCACATAGGTGTACACTGTACAGCATGATCTCTGTATTTAAATTTTATGTACTTAATAATATTATATTAAATTTATTATGCTTTAGCGACTGGAGCCTAGCCTTTTTGGTGAACGTTAACCGCCTGAGCCCTTAAGGGTTTAATGCACGCGTATATCAAGATTTAAACTTCGACTTACGAAAGTTAATTTTGAATCTCAATCGATGGATTTCCATGGGAGACGACGATCGGTAATATAGGTATATATGAAAAAAGCTCTATTAAAGAGATTAATTATTCAGGGCCGTATGGTTTTGCATGCGGGGCCTTGATGATCATTTTTACACTGCAAGCTGCATTACTTTTTATATTACTTATATTAATTATATATTAATATATGAAATCAACTGACCATTCGATCTATCCTAGCTGGTACTGTTTTATAGATCTCGAGTTTCTAGTCTTTAAATAATATTGTTGAATTATTTTAACGGTTCATACATAATTAACGTCGACTAATTTACTATAGTATTAAATTTTAATTATTAATGTTCGCAGGCTATAACAGCTACCCACCGCACAGCTTTCAAGTGCAACAACCAAATATTAATTAATATTAAATTATATAAAAATTATAATGCTAGTAGTACAGCTGCCTAACTTAATTTTTAACCATATAATGCAGTATTGGCATTAACATATTTATAACTTATTGGCTGAATGATCTGAGTTTCGAAACAGCCTGAAAACTGTTAATATAGGAGCATAATTTGGCTTAAATGCTTACATACATACAATATATACAATAATACATAAACAATGTATGCAAGCATATCAATATAACTGTATAAGCATAGAAATATATAATATAGAGTTTAAGACGAATAAAGCTGGTTCAGGTGATAAATATATTAGCTATATTATATATGTGACTACTAAGTTGCACTTTGATTAATTTAGGGAGCTAAGCTGTATGTAAATTTACTTGATTAGTTTAACTCTTCTCTAGACTATAGAGTATACTTATATAATTATGAAAAATACATGATCGATATTTCAAACGTTTGTGGTCTTAAGAATTATAAGCTCCATCGCCATATCAATAATTAGATCTCGAAATTAGAAGAAGCAAGATCTAGTATAAACTATATCGAAACTCATATTGGCTATTAAGCTGATGGATTCAACCTGAACCTGACATAGAAGACTCCTGACTTCTAAGCTTTTCTGATCCCTAACTTCTAAGTCCGCAAGTGACCACATTTAAAATCCCAATAATATTATTATTGTCCATAATATAATTTGTGACGCAGAGTCCAGAGTCCAGCGCCAACTTCCAAAAGCCGAAACTCATTCGAGAATCATGTATTTACACTTCACTTGCAGTAAATTGCATAAACTTGGTTATATTTCAAGTTGTAGGCCCAAAATACGTTAGATGCTGCTATATTAATTAAAAATTAAAAGAATCAATTAGATTGTACGTTCTTAGGCTAGTTTATTTTTGACATTGAAGTAATATATTTGCACAGCTCTTTCATTTACTACATTTCAGAGAACATAGGCTGGATAAACACCGAGTTGAAATGTTTCCTGCTTGAAGTAGCTGATCATATCCTGATTCGTTGATAAAGTCAGTAGCCTGCTAAAGGCTTTCGGTACTTTCTATTACCTTCACGCTGATCCCTTATACATCAGGGTTATTACAGGCAAGTCATGAAACCTATTATAGAGTGACAAAGTATCATATCCTCGTAACGAATCTGTATAGCTCGTACTTCATTCAAGGCTTTAATTTTGAAACGCATGTTTGCGGACTCACACAATTTAATGCTTGATACTTCAACAGTACTTTTCGTTAGAGCTTAGAGGTTAGAACCATGTTAGCTATATGTAAGGCAGGGAAAGTCGAGAATCATAATTTACAAATCTTGATTCTTTAGATAGATCTGAGTTATCTGCTTGGTGGACCTCAAGTCGTATGATGTAAACACTTCACTAGTTGATCAGTAGCCACAATTACTATGCTCAATTATGATGCAAGTCTTCACACATTGAAGTATCATGGTCCTCTTCAAAACTCCAGCTTCGAGATATATTATATAGCAGAAAGAAAAAGCCTTAGTCGTGGTGCTCTTACTCCAATCAATAAGTTAAATTGGCAAAGATGTATGGCTCAACTAATTATTACCTATATTATAAAATATTGACTGATCACACGCTAGTACCCGCGATTAACTTTACAATTGAAGTAAGTAGGTGCTTATACACAAGGTTTCAAATTAATATACATATAATGATGTACATTGCTGATTATTAATGAAGTCAATTTAAGGTATATAATACACCTATAACAGTAAAAGCCTGCTGATATTTGAGATCTGAGATCAGCTAAGGCGCGACTCACTGCGAGCGTATTTGAATTAGCTAAGCAATTTACACAAATGCTCGTAAGCGAGACAGCAACTTGCATAACGTGCGCAGATCCATGAAAACTTAACGCATATACCTACGTATTATAAAGAGTAATAAAATTAAAAAAGCTGTTGGTAGAAAATATCGAAATTATTAATGGTGAATGTGGTACCATTTCATGCTATGAGTGGTTAAGCGGAAACACTAAATTGGAGCCTTAAGGGGGATTCTGATCTGAATTGTAAGTGACACCTAGGCGTCTATATGTCTAGATGTGAATGTCAATTCCTGAAGAAGGATGTTTATAATGTACGGGGGTGTTCTAGAGCCCATATACGCGAGCTACTCGTATTCATGAGTTGAGTGACCTCCTACGGTAAAAAGCATTCAAATTGAAACGGTTTATCAAAAAACAGCTACTACAATATTTTATTATGAGCTTCTAGAATCCTATACTAGAACAGAACTAGAAAGATCATAGTATAGCCTATACTATAAGACGTACAAATTTGAAAAGTCGCCTATCCAATGGACACAAGAAATGAATTCATCGATATATTAATATTTAATATGGTAAAAATTAGTAAGGCTAATTACTCCACGTATAGTTGATCATGGTCGAAATAAGTTAGACTAGCTGTATCGCTAATTATTAAATCATATAATTATTACAAAGTATAATTTCTGAAGCTATATATTATTGTACACATTAATGTTTCGTATTGATTTCCTGTTATAACTATATTATATAATATTACCTTACACAATATATCATGATGGGTTACAAATGTTAATATATAATATATAATATTATTAAATTTTGTAGTATATAATTCAATCATAATATTAATGCATTCAATCATAATGATATATACAGCTCCCCAGCGCACTAATTCTTAATATAATATTATAGCTGGTTAATTATTATGAGTAATATAGTACGTAGATGTACCAAATATTAACCGTACTTAAAATTTCAGCGTATATAGCAGTAACCTTGAAGGTTTTGAATTATTATTTGTACGACATAATTATAGCGCTACAACGAATTGTGGTTAGACATTCAAATTAGCTTATAGTACGGCACCAGCTAGTTGATGTGTATGTGCATATTTATCTGCTCGCACTTTAGCTGGAGTCAATGTTGAATAATTAAATAGACGGAGTATTAGCGCAGTACAGATCATAAAATTATTCTGAACTGTATGGTAGACGTTTTATGCTCAATGTATGCACTTTCCATGAACGAAGCCTGAAAGCTGATATGCAGGTCAGCGCCGTTTATGTACAAGATGCTGAGATCTTGATCAAGGCATCTATCTAGCGACTAGTATCTACGTAAAGTCTGCGCTTCAGGCTTCAGCTTCACGTCGTATTTATCAGACGATGAAGCAGTTTCTTTTTGCATTTTTGACTATGGAGTACTACATAGGTACCACACATAGAGTGATCTTTCGTTTCTAAAAAATCCAATTAAACACTCTCATACAGAATTTCCAGCTGCAAATTATATAGGTGTTAATGTATAAATGTTTATCTGTTCCCACAAAATTATTATAATGTCTAATTAACAGCTCTTTTCATATTCTAGATTAAATCATTAAGCTTTATCAAATTAATTGCAATTTCATTTCATAATCAGATATGATTCATTCAGGCCATAAATCCATTTGGATATGGTTATCACTCCTATTGACTATATTAAAGCCTTCAATTGCCGCTGAAGTCACTGGTGTGTTCACTGCTATCAACTCAATTATCAAATATGCTGGTGACTATCATGATTCTCCAATGGATTTTTTCAACACAACAGTTCAGTGGAAAATTGATACATCAAAAGTTTCCACAGGTGATACCTTTAAGTTAAATATGCCTGATGTTTTTGAGGTTAGAATTCCAGGCCCAGTTTCAGGAACATATGTCAATTATTTTGATTTAAAATTAGGATCAACAACAATTGCAAGTTGTAATGTTGATCAAGCTAGTGGTCGTGCTCTTCAATCCGTTGCAAGCTGTCAAGTTACAGCAGACCTTTCAAAGTACAAACAAGTTGATGGTACTATCAGTTTGGGGCTTGTGTTTGATGCTGGTGCCAGAGATCTAACAAGAGCAGCTGCCAGTAGATGGGTTATTGGTACCAATACCGTTACATTCAATGGTGATATTTCAGGTAAATTTACTCTTACCACAGCACCAACTTCACCACCACAAGGTTATGATCATTTCTCCAGATACAGATTGACAATGAAAGGTGACCAATATGTTTATTTTATGCAAACTGATAATATTTGTTCTGGAAAAGGTATCCAAAAAGGGACTCTTCAATATGATACCTCAACCAATAAGGATGGTGATGGTGTTATTAATACAGCAACACCAGAGTTTAGAATCACTAAAAAATCTGATTTAAGTACTTTCTTGTTTCCAAAAGTTGCAAGCCAGGTTTCAGGTTCTTCATTTACATATGCTTTGAACAATCAACAATTGACTTATACTTTTGGTGCTGTACCAGCTGATTCAAGACTTTCACTATCTCTTTATACAGCTGTTAGCACACAGCAGTCCCTCCATGTGAGCCATTGGCGTATGAAAGGTACTTGTGCTGATGGTTCCTCATTCAACTATGATTTTCAAGATAACATTTCAGCAGTAAAAGGTATCAATGATGGTTCAGGTACAGGTGTGGGTGAGTATTTTTCTGTTTCGCGTTGGATTATGAAAAAAAAGAGGATCTTAATTACTAACAAATAATCCAGATGTTCCAAAAACAACTACAATAACAAAAACCGGTACAGCATGTTCAACTGTCTATGCTTTCAACACCGGGTCAGACTCAACTATTACACAGGTGGTTAATGTTCCTGCTGCAAGCTGTTCAAGCTCAACCACATCAACGAAACCAAGTTCAACGACAAGTTCAACGACAAGTTCAACTACAAGTTCAACTACAAGTTCAACCACAAGTTCAACCACAAGTTCAACCATAAGCTCAACCACAAGTTCAACCATAAGTTCAACAACAAGTTCAACAACAAGTTCAACAACAAGTTCAACAACAAGTTCAACAACAAGTTCAACAACAAGCTCAACCACGAGTTCAACAATAAGCTCAACCACGAGTTTAACTAGTTCAAGCACAAGCTCAAGCACAAGTTTAACTAGCTCAACAACAAGTTCAACAACAAGTTCAACCACAAGTTCAAGCACAAGCTCAGCAACTAGTTCAAGCCCAAGCTCAACTACAAGTTCAAGCACAAGCTCAGCAACTAGTTCAAGCCCAAGCTCAACTACAAGTTCAATTAGTTCAACCACTAGTTTAAGCGTAAGCTCAACAGATAGTTTTGCCTTAAGTTCAAGCTCAGGCTCGAGCGCAGGTACAAAATCAAATGAAGGCTCAGGCACTACATCAGCTTCACAGGATATAAGCTCATCATTACTTCAACCAAGTGTATCGAACTCATCATCAGATTATGGTTCATCGTCAAAATCTAGCTCATCATCAGAGTATAGTTCATCATCAGAAGCTAGTTCAAGTTCACCTTTAGATTCTAGTTCATCATCAGAAGCTAGTTCATCATCAGGATTTAGTTCATCATCAGAAGCTATTTTATCATCAGACTCTAGCTCATCTTTAGACTCGACTTCATCGTCAGACTCTAGCTCATCTTTAGATCCTAGTTTATCATCAGAAACTAGCTCATCATCAGAAGCTAGTTTATCATCAGAAGCCAGTTCATCATCAGGTGCTAGTTCATCATCAGACGCTAGCTCATCATCAGAATTTAGCTCATCATCAGAAGCTATTTCATCATCAGGATCTAGCACAGAATCAGGAGCTAGTTCCAGTTTATCATCTGACTCTAACTCATCATCTGAATCTAGTTCATTACCTGACTCTAGTTCATCTTCTGATTTTAGTTCATCATCAGAAGCTAGCTCATCATCAGAAGCTATTTCATCATCAGGAGCTAGATCAGAAGCCAGTTCATCATCAGGTGCTAGCTCATCATCAGAAGCTAGCTCATCTTTAGATTCTAGCTTATCACCAGAAGCTAGTTCAAGTTCATCTTTAGATTCTACTTTATCATCAGAAGCTAATTCATCATCTGAATCAAGTTCATTTCCTGACTATAGCTCATCTTCTGATATTGGTTCATCATCAAAAGCTAGCTCATCATCAGAAGCTAGTTCATCATCAGGTGCTCGTTCATCGTCAGACGCTAGCTCATCATCAGAATTCAGCTCATCATCAGAAGCTACTTTATCATCAGAAGCTAGCTCAAGCTTATCACCAGAATCTAGCGCAGAATCAGGAGCTAGTTCAAGTTTATTATCTGACTCTAGATCATTGTCTGAATCTAGTTCATTACCTGACGCTAGCTCATCTTCTGATTTTAGTTCATCATCAGAAGCTAGCTCATCATCAGAAGCTAGTTTATCATCAGAAGTCAGTTCATCATCAGGTGCTAGCTCATCATCAGACGCTAGCTCATCATCAGAATTTAGTTCATCATCAGAAGCTATTTCATCATCAGGATCTAGCACAGAATCAGGAGCTAGTTCCAGTTTATCATCTGACTCTAACTCATCATCTGAATCTAGTTCATTACCTGACTCTAGTTCATCTTCTGATTTTAGTTCATCATCAGAAGCTAGCTCATCATCAGAAGCTAGTTCATCATCAGAAGCTAAACCATCATCAGAATTTAGCTCATTATCAGAAGCTAGTTCATCTTTAGATCCGAGCTTCTCATCTGACTCTAGTTTATCTTCAGATTCCAGCTCATCAGCAGAAGCTAGTTTATCATCAGAAGCTAGTTCAAGTTCGTCTTTAAATTCTTGGCTCTCATCAGAAGCTAGATCATCATCAGAATTTAGTTCATCATCAGAAGCTAGCTCGTCATCAAAAGCTAGCTCATCATCTGAAGCTAGTTTATCATCTGAATCTGGTTCATTACCTGACTCTAGCTCATCGTCAGAATTTAGTTCATCATCAGAGGCTATTTCATCATCAGAGTCTAGCACAGAATCAGTAGCTAGTTCAAGTTTATTATCTGACTCTAACTCATCGTCTGAATCTAGTTCATTACCTGACGCTAGTTCATCTTCTGATTTTAGTTCATCATCAGAAGCTAGTTCATCATCAGAAGCTAGTTCATCATCAGAAGCTAGTTTATCATCAGAAGCCAGTTCATCATCAGGTGCTAGCTCATCATCAGAAGCTATTTCATCATCTAACTCTAGCTCATCTCCAGATTCTAGCTCATCATCAGAAGCTAGTCTCTCAACAGAAGCTAGTTTATCATCAGAAGCCAGTTCATCATCAGGTGCTAGCTCATCATCTGAAGCTATTTCATCATCTGACTCTAGCTCATCTCCAGATTCTAGCTCATCATCAGAAGCTAGTCTCTCAACAGAAGCTAGCTCACTATCAGAAGCTAGTTCATCAACAGAGTCTAGTTTATCATCAGAAGGTAGTTCATCATCAGATTATAGTTCATCATCAGATTTTAGTTCATCATCAGAAGGTAGTTCAACATTAGAAGCTAGTTCACCAACAAAGTCTAATTTATCATCAGAAGCTAGTTCATCAACAGATTCTAGTCTATCAACAGATTCTAGCTTATCATCAGAAGCTAACTCAATATCACAAGCTAGTTCATCATCAGAAGCTAGTTTATCATCATCATTTAGCTTGTTGAGTTCGTCTTCAGATACTAGTTCTTTCAACCAACTTCGTTCGTCATCAGGCCTCTCACTAGACAGTCATTTAGCATCTGAATCAAGCTCAAACCTAAATTCAATATCGCTTAGTACCACTGTCTCTGCGTCAGTTTCTTCGTGGTCTTTATCAGAAATTTCAAGTTTGATCCCATCAGAAACAATATCATTATCATCACTACCAGCAGAATCCACTGGATCCATATTTTCTTCGGTGTCATCTCTTAGTGCAAGCTCTTCAACTGGTACTATTTCTTCTAGTAATTTTTCACATTCAACTTCAAAGTCCTTTTTTGACTCATCAAAGGCTCTGGAATCTTCCTGGTCATCACCATTTAATGGATACTTTAACAGCTCCTCGGATTCAAGCAGTTTGATCTCAACAGTTGTCAGCACCTATATTCCAGACTCTAGCTCATCTTCCATTGTTACTTTGGCTTCTGACTCATTTATTTACTCTTTTACCCAAAGTTCTGATATTTCTTTAGAATCATCAACAGGTTCCACTTATAAGTCAAGTCAGCTCTCTCTATCAGAATCCCAAACAACTGTTTCACAGAGCTCACTGGGTGCTGACCCCTCAAGTTCAGGGTTGTCAACTAAAACAGACTCTGATACAGTCTTATATTCAAGTGATTTAGCATCATCAATCGGATCAAGCTCTGGTATGGTAGGTTCTAGTTCCGCTTATACTTCTTCAGGTTCATCATCATCATCGTCTGTTGTTTTATCAAGCTTGAACTCATTGGTTTCATCATCATCATCATCTGTTGTTACATCAAGCTTAAACTCCTTGGTTCCATCCTCATCATCCTCATCATCATCATCATCATTATCGTCATCTGGAACATCCTTATTGGCATCATATCTTTCTGGAAGTTCAATCACAAAATCATCGTTTACACTGGCACCAGGGCGTACATCCACCAGCATAGCGTCTTCCTCTGTCTCCAAATCTAATGATTATTCAAACTTGAGCAGTGGTACAGCATCGGGATCATTATTGTCAAGCTCGATTTATTTTTCCAGTCGAAGTTCTAATAAGCCAGAAGCATCTTCAGTTAGTTCACTTGCTTCACTGTCATTGCCTGATACATCATTAAGCACTGATATCCCAGGATCCAGTGTTATAAGTAATAGCATTATTACTGAAGCTGAATCATCTTCATCTGTTACTGTCTCCATTTCAAATCCAGGCTTCACCTCTTCAGAGTCGTCCACATACGTTTCTGTTTCTGAATCAACTTCACCATCATTTGAATCAAATCCATCATCATCAAATACTCAAGTCTCGTTTGCATCAGATGCTCAATCCTCATCAGTTTCTAACATCCAAATGTCATCAGTTTCAGATATCCATCCAGAATCTTCATCATCAATGTCAGATTACCAAACATCTACATTATTGTTACTTTCATCTACAAGTTCACCTGCTCTGTCAACTACAAAATCTACGGAAATTTCACAACTTTCATCTTCATTAAATGTTTTGAGTTCAACAAGTCATATCGCTTCATCAATTACTACAATTACGATTGCTCCTATCAAGACATTTACATCAACTGTGAAATCATCTAATACATCATCTGCTAAAGCAAGTGAAAATGATGTTTCATCAACATCCGATGTTGTTCACTCAAGTTATTCAACTGCTTCTCAATCTGAACCAAAATCTGCTGATTCCTCATCAGATCAATTGTCATTATCAAATTCAATTAGTATTGAATCCACATCATCAAGTTACGTTAGAACAGGAACTGAGTCAGAGATTATTGCTTCTTCATCAAGCCCATTACTTTCAGATATATCATCAATGACTCAAATATCGTCCATGGCTTCCAGCATTGAATACCCTACTTCCACCAACAACAATGGAAGTAAATCATCATCTTCATCCTCATCCGATGAAGCTTACTGCTCAACATGTGTTTATACCCCAGATCCTTCTAACACAGGTGTTTCCGAAACATCAAGAGATTTCTCTTCAGGAACATTATCTGGTGTTAATTCAGAAAGCTGTTCCACATGCTCCACTGACGTTGTTACTGCTTCATCTTACATGGCATCCACTGGCTCAACACTTTCATCTTCTACAGATTCCGCTTCATCATCTTTATACTCTAAAGGGACACCTGGTACCTCTTCAAGAAAATCTGGAGCTGCTTTCACTGCTCATCCATCAAGCACAAATGATATTTCAGAACATAGTACTGAAAGTATTTCCAATACATTGGTCTCCAGTAAAATTGCTTCACAAGTGTCAACTGACTCTCATAGTGGAATTCCAAGTGTTTCTCAAGACTTCTCAACAGATTTAAAATCTACAAAATCACTTGAAACCAAATCAGATGGCTCTTTGATAACTGTTACTTCAACTATTACCATTCTTCCAAATTCCTCAAAACATACCAATACAGATACCAGTTCAAGTGTCAATATAGTCCAAGGATCCAATACAATGGTCTCCACAATTACTATTACAACAGTTGTATCCCCATCCCAGACAACAGCCGTTGATATACCCGCTGCTACTACAAACACACCACCATCGGGCACCAATATTGTTCCACATGCTACAGGTTACACTAATTCAAACGGTGGTATTGATAATGGTACTGGTAATGGTAATAATTCAAAGCCTAATGAAAGCAATAGTGATTCAAACAATCATCTCTATACACAATCAACTCCAGCTACCTCAACGTCAACACCTTCCAATGATAGTCTCAACAATGGTTCCAACAATAGTTCCAACAATGGTTCGAACAATAGCTCTAACAATGGTTCCAACAATAGTTCCAACAATAGTTTTAACAATGGTTCCAACAATAGTTCCAACAACGATTTTAATAATGTCTCGAATGGTGGTTCAAATCTCAATAATTTGGGACACCAATCCTCTACATTCACTGAAACATTACAATCACAAGTTATCAACACTCCAAGTCCTCAAACCTCATCAAGTAGCTCAAATACACCTTCCACTACAATCACAGCTATTCCAACCACATTGTCCACTTCAGTCTCACAACAAACATCAACTTTTGGCTCAGGTGAAAAAACCATTGTTTCTGTCAGTTCATTTGAAGGCTCAGCATCTACATTTAATATCTCTAAGTTCTTCTTCTTAGTTTTGCTCTTTTTAATTTAAACACGACCTTTTCATTTGGTTTTGAACTTTCAACTAATTTTATTTTACTTTTCTTCTTTTGCACGCTAATTATAATTATAGATTTGTTTTTTTTTGATTCATAATTCATCTCTTTGACCATATGTTTTTTTCTGATTTCACCTTTACATTTTGCACTATTGTGGTGCACATCTTATTATATATTATATTATTATACATGATTACTTTTAATGACACAAATAACATATATGTTCAAAGTATTTTACCTCCTCTTTTACATCAGATCATCGGTTTAGAAAGTAGATATATATAGCTAATTCACGTACTAGAGTTTGGCATTACCTTTCTTCACTTGGTACAAATTTATTGTTAGACGTACGTATTCTACTTCTACCTAGGAATTTTATACCTGTCAAAAGCGCATATATTTTTACTTACGTACGGCCATTTCAATTAAACGCTATTTATCTTGAGAACTAGGCTCTTTCCTGTTATACTGTTAGTATATTGGTGGTTAGGCAGAAGTACTTCGGTCAAAGCTCCTTGCTCGTGCATAAACCATATTCGTACAACATCCCGAACAAAAATAACAAAAATGTCAACTAACTATGATCAACTCTTCCCCTATAAAGCAAATATTCTTAGACGGTAATCAATTAATTCAGTCAGGATGGATTTCAGAAATGATGATTTACACATAGTCACTTATCTCTCAAGGTGTTTAAGCGAAGCGCTTCAAAACTCAAAGAATAGAACTTCTAAAATTGAAGAGTCGTTAAAGAAAATTTCCAAATATACAGATTCTAATACAGATCAACTATTCAGACAAGAACCTGATAAAGACCGTCTTCAGGATGAATCAAACATTGAAAAGCTTAGGGTGGAGAATTTGGAGTTAATGCTTGAGATTGAATGACAAGACTACATCTCTAAGAAATGGGAGCAAGTTCTTCAACAAAATGAGAATGTGCTTGAAACAGTCAAGGAATGGATCAATGAAAACCCTGAACTACTTACGAAAAATGTTCTTGACCTAGAAGATCAATTGAATGACCTAAAGCTCCAATATAGAAACAGCAGAATAGGTGTATTGAATGATGTCAAAATCTCTGAACATAAAATTGAGCTAGTCTATGGTGCTTTGCAAAGCATTTTAAAAGAAATGGAATCCAGTGAAAGCACCAAGCAACAATACATTAACAAAAGAGATGAATTGGTCAAGGCTATAGCAAAATTAGACCGTCAGCTGAACATATAAATGAACTATACCACTGGCTTCTCATTAAACCTTTGGAGTTGTTGCTAACGGATCAGAATGGTACCATTGACATTGAAGGATATAGAGGATTATTAAGGGATTAACATTAACAAGAGTTCAATTAACTTTTTGCATCATTAGTGGAGATTCAAATGGAATTGATTTGATGCATAGTTATAAGATCTCATGATTAATAAGGCTTTCTTTAAGATTCTTCTGATATCTATCTACTATTACTATTTTGAGACGCGAACGCCACATATATGAGCCATAGTCAAAGATTAATATTCCCTTCTCGAGGTACACACCCAATTGATGAAACATTGATAAAGAAGATATTTCCCAGAATTTAACATTGAGTGCCCATTTTATCTTAAATGGAAACTTTCTACTGTGACAAATTGTGTTTACTTCAAATACTCATTTCAAAATGTCAGAACCACCAACAAAGAAAGCTAGAAGAACCAAACGAACAGAACCATTGATTATAAACTTCTTTGAAGCTTTAACACCTGTTTTACATGCACCAGGTCAATGGAGAAACCCAATAGATCAATCAAGAAACTATACCAAACCTGAATACTGGATAAAGATTGCTCAATTAGCAGAACGTGGTAAATTACATGGTCTTTTCTTTGGTGATAGTTTAGCTGTTTACGGTGGTTATAAATCACAAGGTCTTGGTGGTCCATATAATTATGAAGAAGCTGCTAAAAGTGGTAACAATTTTCCAAAAAATGATCCAACAGCTTATATATCAGCTCTTGCAATTAGCACCAAGAACATCTCCTTTGGAATCACTTGTTCCACATTGAGTGAACATCCTTATCATTTTGCCAGAAGATATTCAACATTAGATCACATCACTGGTGGTAGAATGGGTTGGAATGTTGTTACTTCTTTCTTACCATCAGCAGGAAGACAATTAGCACCAGATGGTAAATTGGCTCAAAAGGAACTTAGATATGAAAAGGCTGATGAATACTTGCAAGTTTTTTATGAATTATTGTTATCATCGTGGAGAGATGATGGTGTTGTCTTTGATAGGGAACGTGGTGTCTTCTCAGACCCAGAAGCGATTAGAGAAATCAATTTTGACGGTACTCATTATAGAGTTCCTGGTCCCCAAATCTCTGAACCATCACCTCAAAGAATCCCTGTTATCATCCAAGCTGGTGCTTCACCAAAAGGGTTGTTATTAGGTGCTAAACATGCTGAATTGATTTATGTTGGTGCTAGACAACCAGAAGTTGTTAAAGAGAAAATCGACGCTACAAAAAAATTAGCCAAAGAAAAATTTGGTAGAGATCCAAGCCATATCAAATTCGTAACAAGAGCTTCCGTTGTTTTAGGCAAAACTCATGAAGAAGCCATTGGTAAATATGAAGAGATAAAAAAATACAATGACCCAGAAGGCATTTATGTTCAGATGGGTGGTGGAGGTTTAGATATTTCTAAATTTTCTGATGATGAAGATTTGACTACAGTTGATGACCCACAAGCAAAGTCCACTGCTTTAAGTTTTCATTCAATTTTTCCAGGAGAAACCATTACTAAAAAATTTATTGCTGAGCATTATCATGATCATAATACCTTATTTGTTGATACAGCAGAAGAAGTTGCGGATCAAATTGAAGATTTTGTTGAGAAATCAGGAATTGATGGATTCAATTTCACTAATCTTGTTCTACCACAAACTTTTGAAGATATTGTGGATTTATTAATTCCAGAATTACAAGAAAGAGGTTTAGCCCAAAAAGAATATGCTGTCGATGGTGGTACATACAGAGAACAAATATATAGAGAAAAAGGACATACATTTGTTCCAGAAGATCATTATGCTTATCCATTAAGATGGAAAGCTGGTGTTTCTAAAGAAGAATTTGAAGAACATGTTGCGAAACTAAAAGAAGCCCAAAAGAAGTATGCTATCAAGGCCGATGAGTAACTTGTGTACACATATACTAATTCTATATAATCCTTAAAAATCAACGAATAGACGTGTTTCTCATACAAAGTTTCATTCGTAAATTGAGCTTTATTCGATCTGTCGTTCTATCGGGTGTATACACAAAAATGGAAACTTTCCGTATTTGGAAATATCATGAAGTTTTTTTTTTTCAAATCCACATCAACTATTAATATGAATTGGAATTCGTAGTACTTGAACAAACTCAGAGATATCTTACCAGTAGCTAGCTTGAAGTTGAATCGAATACAAGTTCTCAACTGATATCAGGGGATATCACGCAAATGCAGCTTCCTTAACCACAGTTTATGAACTGATAAATAAATTGATAGATGTTGTTCTATACTGCTGATTAATTACAAAAATGCCACAGTTCTGACATTATTAGGTTTTAAAATCCACAGTTAGATCAGACTATGATAAGTTTCTGGTGAAGGTTCGATTTACAACGTTATTTCGGTTTCGGGACTGACATCTGAATTATTGTTGAAATTTTATAAGCTTGAAATGTTTTCTTACTTGGAAACAGTTAAATACGTCTTAAGCTGCTATTTTCATTCAATTGACCATTACAAACAAGTTGAGATAAAATAGACACAACACCACACGATGACTGAACCACAATCAAAAAAACTAAAGAAGACCAAAAGAACAGAGCCTTTGATTCTCAACTTCTTTCAAGCTTTGACACCTGTCTTACATGCTCCAGGTCAATGGAGGAATCCAAGAGATCAATCAAGAGATTATACAAAACCTGAATACTGGATCAAAATTGCCCAATTGGCTGAAAAGGGTAAACTTCACGGTATTTTCTTTGGTGATAGTTTAGCAATTTATGGTGGGTATAAATCCCAAGGTCTTGGTGGTGCATATAACTATGAAGAAGCTGCTAAAAGTGGTAACAATTTTCCAAAAAATGACCCAACAGCTTATATCTCAGCTTTAGCCATAACTACAAAGAATGTTTCATTTGGTATTACTTGCTCTACATTAACTGAACATCCTTATCATTTTGCTAGAAGATACTCAACCCTAGACCATATCACTGGTGGTAGAATGGGTTGGAACGTTGTCACTTCTTTCTTACCTTCCGCTGGTAGACAATTATCCCCAGATAATAAATTACCAGAAAAGGATTTGAGATATGAAAAAGCTGATGAGTATTTACAAGTCTTCTATGAATTGTTGTTATCCTCATGGAGAGATGATGGTGTTGTTTTCGATAGAGAAAATGGTGTCTTTTCAGATCCAGAGGCCATCAGAGAAATTAACTTTGATGGTAAATTTTTCAAAGTTCCAGGTCCTCAAATTTCAGAACCATCACCACAAAGGATTCCATTGATTATTCAAGCTGGTTCTTCACCAAAAGGTCAAAGATTAGGTGCAAAACATGGTGAATTAATTTTCCTTGGAAGTCCAACCCCAGAAGAAACCAAGAAGAAGATTGAGTTTACTAAGAAATTAGCAAAAGAGGAATTTGGTAGAAATCCTGATAATTTGAAATTCGTCACTATTGCATCAGCTGTCTTAGGTAGAACACATGAAGAAGCTGTTACAAAATATAAAGAGTTAGATTTATACAAAGATGCTGAAGGAATATATACTCAATTGGGTGGTGGTGGTTTTGACTTCTCCAAATTTGATGACGATGAAGATTTGAGCAAAGTTGATGACCCATCAATTAAGGGGTTTGCAGCAAGTTATGCTACAAAATACCCAGGTGAGATTATCACAAAAAAATTTATTGTTGACAATTACCATACTGGAGCTTTCGTTGGTACTCCTCAAGAAGTTGCAGACCAAATTGAAGATTATGTTGAAAGATCTGGTGTTGATGGTTTCAATTTTACAAACATTGTTTTCCCTGAAAATTTTGAAGATCTTGTTGAACTTTTAATTCCTGAATTACAAGAAAGAGGCTTGGCTCAAAAGGAGTATGCAGTTGATGGTGGTACTTATAGGGAACAAGTCTATAGACAAAAAGGTCATACGTTTGTTCCAGAAGACCATTATGCTTATGATTTGAGATGGAAGGCTGGTGTTTCCAAAGAAGAGTTTGAAGAACATGTTGCCAAAGTCAAGAAGGAACAAGAAAAGTATGCGATTTAATGAGCCAATATCTTGTCATTTAATCAAATTATAATTAATAAAACAATACGAAATGGATAACTCACAAAAAATTGTAGTTTTTTCTTTTTTATATCTGATAGATCTGAATTGATTTATAATACTCGTGTATGTTGTTGCCTAGGTTTCGGATTTAAATATGATCTATATCGAACGATCATTAATTATATAAATGGTAAGCCACATTCATGATATTTAAAACACTTACAAAGGGTTTATTTCTACCCTTTATAAAGCAGAACTAATTAAAGACTTGGAGGCCAATAAATAAATGGCATTTAAAGAGATTGCAGTGATAGGGGCAGGTGGTATTGCAGGCTTAGCTAGTATATTCGAGCTACTTCATGTCGACAACAATGGGACATCAACAATAGGAAAAGGGCGAGCTCAAGATCCAGCGTTTACTAAGATTGTTGGGTTCGAGCAAAAGGGTGATGTTGGTGGTGTTTGGAATGTGGAAGGTTATAAAACTGATTCAGAGCTTTCTTCTCAAGACATTTTAGATACTGAACATTATAATGATGTTAATACTTTAAGGCCGAAGCATAAACTTCAACCTTCATTTGATAAATTGATCAATACAAGTGTTGATAATTGGGTAGAAACTGAAAAGGATGAGTCTTACCTACAATGGAAAGGTAGTGCAGTATATCCCAGATTATACACCAATACACCTGAATTCTCGTTGAGATATTCAACAATGGAGAAAGCGAATGATAGGGTTAAGGATCTAGATCCCTTTTTAACTCATCAAGCCTTACATCAAAGACTTCAAACATTTGCTGATCAAAATGATCTGAAGCAAAATATAAGATTCAATAGTGAAGTGGTCAAAGCTGATAAGATAGACGGTAAGTGGAGATTGTTAATAAGAGTAGAGAAAGACGCTAAAGATTATTGGTATACTGAATTTTTCGATGCTGTTATTGTTTCACAAGGTTTCTTCTCTGTACCATTCATACCACTTATCAAAGGCCTTTCTGAGTATAATAAAAGATATCCAGGCGCTATATTACACTCAAAATCTTATAGAGACCCACAAAGGTTTAAAGATAAGAAAGTCGTAATTTTGGGTGGTAATATTTCCACAATTGATATTGGACAATATTTAGCACCAGTTGCAAAAGAAGTAATCATAAGTAGAAATACATCAAAATCGGCACCAGCACCATGGATGGATCGATGTGTTCAAAGTTTTCCAAATGTGTCAAGAATTAAAGAATTTTTACCAGATACTAAAGAAATTGTTCTACAAAGTGGTCATAGATTACAAAATGTTGATAATGTAATCTTAGCAACTGGGTATCATGTTAAATCACCAATATTTGATGATGATGTCTTGGAGTATTCAATCCCATCAGGTCAAGACAGTGCAACTTCAAGATCAAGAGCAAGAAATAATTACCTTCATACATTCAATATTGAAGATCCTTCAATAGCATTTGTTGGACGATTAGTTGTTCAAGCTGCTTGTAGAAATGCTGAAGCTGAAGCTGCAGCTATTGCAGGTGTATGGAGTGGATATAGTAAGTTACCTTCTAAAGAGGAACAATATGAATGGGAACTTCAAAAAATCATTAGTGCAGGTGGTGAAGAATATTTTCATTGGGAAGATTTTTACACTGTGAAGGAAACTTTTTATGATGTTATAAAGCAATATTACCCTAAAGATAGGCCAGATCCTATTGGTAATGAACTTGATGATTTCAAAGATTATGAATATTCTCTGAATTCTTTTGAAAGACTGTTCAATGATTTCAAAAATGGTAAAATAGAAGTTGATCATGAATTTTAAGTATTGCATTATTATGTACATTTGATTCATTTTAATTAGAACTTAAAAATTAGACATTAATATACAATAGATTTTAAAAAATGGCACTGTGACATAATGTCCGATTAATATCTACCACCATAACCACCTTGATTATTACCATAACCACCTTGGCCTCCATAACCACCTTGACCACCTTGGTTACCACCATGGTTACCACCTTGAGATCCACCAGCAAATTGGTTTATAATACCACCTAATCCACCTAATCCAGATCCACCAGATGATGATCCACCATAACCACCTTGTTGACCACCATAACCACCTTGATTACCATGTTGACCACCACTTGAACCACCAGCAAGTGAACCTAGTAAGCCGCCAAGGCCTGAACCACCTGAAGAACCACCACCGTAGCCACCACCGTAACTACCTTGTTGGCCTCCATAACCACCTTGACTACCATGTTGACCACCACTTGAACCACCAGCAAGAGAGCCTAATAAACCACCTAATCCTGATCCACCACTTTGAGAGTTACCTGAACCTCCATAGTAATCACCGGCACCGTTACCACCTTGATTTGGTCTACCACCACTTGAACCACCAGCTAAACCAGATAATAACCTACCTAACCCACCAGAACTTTGTTGTTGTTGTTGAGGTCTACCACCACTACCAAATTGTGAAATTAAAGAACTCAATCCACCTGATGAACCACCACCACTACTACCACCTAATAAGCCTGCTAATGATGAAGCACTGAACCCACCAGAACCTGTTTTAGAGCCACCCATAACAGAGGCTAGAAGTGCTAATTTACCAAATTGACTTGATCCACCTGAAGAACCACCACTTAATAATCCATTTAATAAAGTACCTGAAATATCTCTTGAATTTGAATCACCTAAATCTCTTGAATTTGTTGAATCCAAGTTATTAACAACATGATGTGAAATGTATTCAATTAATTCATCAATCTTGGAACTTTCTTGAGGTGATGGGTTTTGATTTGAAGCTTCTTTCAAATCTTCAACAGCTCTTTCATGATCATTATTACCGATATGAGCAACTGCACGAGTAATTAACGCTCTTGGAGATGATCCTGAACCTAAAGCTTGACTTAAAACACCAACTGCTTGGTTATGTTGACCTTGATCAATCAATTGTTCAGCTTGTCCAATGGCTTGTTCTAATGACATTTTGGTATATTACTTTGAATTTATCAATTGGATTTTAATTTGAAAGTTGTTGAAACTATTTTAATTTGAAACGAATTCACTTGGTGATATTTCATCTTTGATCAAAGCGTATGCGCAACAAAATGTCAACAAATTGCACATAATATTTGAGCATTTCCAATTTCAAAGGGGAACTTGAATAGAAGTGAACAATTTAAATAAGATATTATCACAGTATTGAACTAATAGTTAATCGTTAAAGTCTTCTCATAACTTTATTGTCATTTTCCACTTTTTTATACTAAATTTCAATCATTATGTCTCGTGAAACCTTGTAATTACACCATGAATTTCGATAAAACACCACAGTAAAATTTGGAAAATACCATAATTTTTCCAATAAACAGCATCAAATAACCCCATTTCAACTATAAAACCTCGATAATAACAATCTTTATACATAATACTACACAATATCACCACTTATTACCCCTTTAGGAAATCAAGCCTCTGCTCCGAAACAATCAAATTGATTGGATTTTGGAAAAAAAGCGAAATTTGGAAGCTTTAATCCATAGTAAATAAAACAAAGAGGTGAATTAGATCTCAGTTGAAATAACAAATAAAATCATGTTCCGTACCACTGTTGGGAAGACTGTGCTCAACTTAACCTTGGCCACCAGTGCTATTTATGGTGGTGGTGTTGCTCTTTCACTTAAAAATGATGCTTTTAATGAATTGTTTACTGATAATGTCCCATTAGCTGAAGATATTGTTGATTATATTCAATCATTTGAAACAACTAAAAAAGATTATAATATTCAAAATTTTAAAGAAAAATTTGGTGAATTAGAGAAAACTCTTGATGTTCCAAAATCTGGTTTAATTGCACAAAAAGTTGATAGTATTAAAGAAAATTTAACTAAAAAAGTTTCAAAAGATGATGAAAAATCATCAACAAAACAAGTTGAAAATGTTATTCAACCAAAGATTCAATTAAAACCAATAGAATTAAAAGCTCAAGATCCAAAATTACAAAAAGTTATTACTGAATTCAATTCATTGATTGGTAAAATCAATAATGGTTCCACATCAAATGATGATTCATTTGTTAAAATTGTAGAATCAATTGGTGATTTAGATAAAAATTTAAATGTTTTACAACAAAAACAAAATGAAGAATTAACTAGTCAAATTAAAGAAGCTATTGCTAAAAAGGAAAAAGAAGTTTTAAATTCATTTACTGATGAATTCAATTCAATTACCAAGAGAATTGAAAAACAACATCAAGATAAATTAATTGAAGAAATTTCTCAAAAAACTAAAGTTATTTCAGCTCATTATGAAAACATTGTTAAGACAAATCAAATCAATGCAACAAGACAATTTACCGAATTAATTGAAAAAACTATTGAAAATGAACGTGAAGGTAAATATTCAAAATTTAATGAATTAAATTCAAAATTAGAAAATTTACAAAAATTAGTTTTAACAATTGATTCACATTTAAATAATTCAGAATTAAAATCAAAATTACAATTATCATTAAATAAATTGAAAAATAAATTAAATTCAAATAAAAATGAAAATTTTACTGTGGAAATTGCAGAATTAAATAAATTAGCTAAAGAATCTGAGAATAAAGTTATTGCATCAGCAATTAATTCAATTGATCCAGAAACTATAAAGACTGGATTATTAACAAATTCACAAATTATTTCAAGATTTCATTTATTAATTCCTGAATTAAGATCTGCATCATTATTACCACCAAATGCTGGATTATTAGGTCATTTATCATCATTATTATTTTCAAAATTTTTATTAAGTAAAGAAGGTCATGTTGAAGGTAAAGATATTGAAAGTGTTATTTCAAGAGTTGATAATTATTTAATTTCAAATCAATTAGATGATGCAGTGGAGGAAATTGCAAATTTAAAAGGTTGGAATAGAAAATTAGCAGATGATTGGTTAATTGAAAGTAGAAAAAGATTAGAAGTTGAATTTTTAGTTAATTTGATTGATTTAGAAAGTAGAACTTTATTCTAGATCTAGATAAATATATAAAAATAGATATTCATTCATATAGCATATGAGAAAATTAAAAACAAAAAACAAAAAAGAAAACAACTAGCTTTATATAGTATTTAATATAAATAAAACTTTGATATTATGGAAATCATTTTTGTAGATGACAGCTACATGTATATATGTTTATGCATATTGTAAAAAAAATTGATTAAATACCGATAAAATACGTTATAAACACCATATGAAACACAAACTATTATAAAAAAAAAATTGAAACGCAAAATTATTGAATGAAAAATTGTATATATCCGTTATCATGACTTAACCTATACTATATTTAGCTATTGGTATTTAATATACTTAGCTATTTTATGAGATGAGGTTTTTGATGGCAAAATAAAATATAGTTTATCTTGATTAAGAACAACATGAATTTTTTTGATTATTTGTACTTGGTCTTTGTAAATCAACACCTTTATTTTGTAATCTATTTGGTTTTAATTGAGATTCTAATGGTAATTTTTCAGCAATTTTAGTGAAAATTTCTTTAATACCTTCACCAGATTTTGCACTAACTTCAAAAAATAATAAACCTTCTTCTGATGCAAAAGTTTCAGCAATTTCTTTTGGAACTTGTCTTTGAGATTCTAAATCTACCTTGTTACCAGCTAATGCAATAACAATATCTTGGTTTGCTTGTCTTTGTAATTCTTTAGTCCAAGCTTTTGCTCTTTCTAATGAAGATTCTTGAGTAATATCATATACAACAATAGCAGCATTTGCATTTCTATAATACATTGGAGCTAATGATTTATAACGTTCTTGACCAGCAGTATCCCAAATTTCAAATTTTATGGTGGTAGTATCATCTAATTGGATTGTTTGTGTTAAAAAGGCAGCACCAATAGTTGATTCTCTAAAATCATCAAATGAATCTTTAACAAATCTATGAACCACAGAGGATTTACCCACTGCCGATTCTCCCAAAAGAACTAGTTTGAACTGGGCAAAGCGTGTTTCTGGAGATGTGTTGGTGGCCATTATTCTGTTGTATTCAGTCTGTATCTCTGTGATGATCTATATCAATAACCTGATCAATATGAATCTAATCAAATGGTAAAAAGCATTCAAAAGTTCACAATTTTGATACAACAACTCATTAATTTTAAAATCAACAATTCCAAATTACGTAATCACTTCGCGAATTGTTTTGATTTCCATGAAAAACATCTTTTATTTAAACAAAATCCACACATTTCAAGAAAAGTTCACCATTTTAACAAACCATACGCTTTTATTTCCTCGTTTGAATTCACTGTTTGTGTGCTGTCTGATTGAATTGCTGCTCATTGTTTTGCTTGCTTTCTCTTTTACCGCCAAAGTGTGTTTTTGTGAGTATTCTTTTTTTTTGAGATCTTAAACGATCTCAATAGCACCACGTCATTGATTATGATATTTCAACAACATAATTGAGTCTTGAACAAGATATACTAACAATTACGTGTTTCCAGTATCCATCAGAGCTGCTTATACTATCAAAACTCCAAGAAGTTCTGTTTTTCTCTCCTGTTTGAACGTCGTTGCTATCTCTCTCTGTTTGTCCAAGAATGTCTGCTGAATTAGATCAAGCTCATGTCGAGCCATCCGTTGATGCTCAAGAATTGAACGGTAACAATGCTGTTTCTGATGCTGTTGATCCTACTGAAACTGCTGCTACCTCTACTACTGATGCTGGCGACGCTACCGTTGATGCTGATGCCAGTGATGCTGAAGTTGATGCTGAAGAATCAACCAATACCGAATGGGTTCCAAAAAAGGAAGAAGTTCCACCTCCATCAATCAATGATGAAACTGCATTCCCTGCCCTTGGTGGTTCTTCTGGTGCTTCTGCTTCTCCAATCTCTTGGGGTCCTTCCATGAAAACTAGTCCTGTTCCAGCTTTAGCCAAAAAATCAGCTACAAGAGCTAAAGGTTCTACTATTCAAGATGCTTTTAATATTGTTTCTGAATTAAGTTTAAACGTTTCTAAAATTGAATTTTCCAAAATTATTAATGAATTGAAAAAAAATTATGGTGTTTCAATTGAATCAACTTTATCTTCAATTACCAAAACTAGATCTTTTATTGTTAGTGGTAAACCAAAAGATGTTCCAGTTGTTAAAAAGGAATTAATTCGTCGTTTAACTAAACCAGTTCAAGTTCGTTTCAAAATCCCTTCAAGAACTAGATCTGCTGTTATTGGTTCTTCTGGTAAAAATTTAAAACCAATCATTGAATCTACTCAAACAAGAATCAACATTGAAAGAAATTCATCACCAGCTCCAGGTCAATCAAATGATAATGATGAAGATGATGAAATCGAAGTTACTATCGATGGTGATGTTGAAGGTGTTGAAGATGCTAAATCACGTATCTTACATATTGTTAATGAAGAAACTAAAAATTTAACAACAAGAATTAATGTTCCTGAAGAAATTGTTAAATTTGTTGAAAATTTTAATGTTAATGAAGATAATTTAAAAATTTCAGGTCCAAATAAAAATAATGTTATTTCTTTACAAGGTCTTAGAGATGATGTTTTAATTAAAAAAGCTGAAATTTTATCACAATTGGAAACTTTAAAAATTAAAGTTAAATCTGAAGTTAAAATCATTCCAAAACAATTCCATGATGCTATTTTACCAAATGAAATCTTGAAACAGTTTAACGTTGTTGTTGAATTACCAGATCGTGATGCTGATGATGAATCTGTTTCATTTATTGGTTTACAATCAAACATTGAAAAAGCTATTGCTTTTGCTAAATCTGAAACTGGTAAAGTTTCAATTGAAATTTTAGATATTTCAAAAGCTCATGGTGGTAATGTTCATCATGCTGCTTCTTTAGCTGCTTATTTTGCTTATTCAGGTTTAATTAATAAAATTGGTACTGAAAATGATACTAAAATTTCAATTCCAAGTTATAAAAAATTAAGTACTCAAGGTTTAAGATCTGTTGGTATTACATTAACTTCATCAACTGATAAATTAGATTCTAAAAAAATTGCAAGAAAACAAATTGTTGAACAAGTTAACAAATTACCACCATCTCGTGTTCAATATATCACTGATATTAGCTCATTCTTTAGTAAACAAGTTGGTTCAGCTGTGGAAACTTCTTCTAAAGCTCAAAATGTTGCAGTTGTTCCATTCTCTCATTTATCTCAAGGTAATACTAATGAAATTATCTTAATCGCCTTAGATAATGAAGATGATGAATTTGCTCCATCTCAAGATGAAATTAATGAAAGATTATCAAAAGTTAATGAATCATTAAATGAATTAAGAAAACTTCAAGCTGATTTGAAAACTACCACCTTAGATGTTTCAAATGATAAACAACAATTTATTGAAGGTCCAAAAGGTACAACTTTAAAAGCCCTATTAAAATCATTTGAAGAAGCTTCATCTTCAATCATTATTAAATTACATTCAAATGGTGAATCTGAATCATTAGATCAAGTTTATTTACAAGGTAATAAATCAGATGTCGCTAAAGCTGAAAAGGAAATTAATAACTTATTAAAAGATGCTGAAAATGTTAAAGATATTTATAGTTATTCAAATGAAGTTTCAGTTCCAGCTAATGTTTTATCAAGATTAATTGGTAAAAACGGTGCTAATTTAAATGCTTTAAGAGATCAATTTAGTGTTTCTATTGATGTTGAAGATAATGCATCTGGTGAAAAAGCTTCATTAAAAATTACCGGTTATAAATATAATGTTGAAGAAGCTAAAACTCATATTCAACAATCATCAAAAAGATGGGCTGATGAAATTACTAAAACTTTACATATCCAACAAAAATACCATGGTTCTTTAATTGGTGCTGGTGGTCAATACGCCAAAAGATTACAAGATAAATATCATGTTAGAATTATCTTTACTCAAGGTTCAGATGATGTTGTCATTAGAGGTCCATCAAGAGGTGCTGTTAAAGCTGAAGAAGAAATTAAAGAATTATTAGATTATTTAATTGATAATGGTTATACCAAAGAATTACAAGTTCCAACCAAATCTTTATCAAGAGTTATTGGTAAAAGTGGTGAAACTATTAGAGGTATTGCTACTGATGCTGGTATTGAAATTGATGTTCAAAACCAAGGTGATAAAGCTGGTGAATATACCACTATTTTATTAACTGGTACTAGAAAAGGTTTGAAAGAAGCGGAATCAAGTATCTTAGCTATTGTTAAAGAAGTTGAAGACACCATTACTGTTGAATTAGAAGTTGAACCAAAATACTATAGAGATATTTTAGGTCCAAAAGGTGTTACCAAGAATGCTATTATTGCTAAGGCTGGTGGTTCTGAAGATCAACAAAGACGTCTATTACAAATTCCAGATCAAGGTTCTTCAGATAAAAAAATTTCATCAACTGGTTCTAAAAAAATTGTTGAATCAATTATTGAACAAGTTAAAGCATTAGTTGCTGAAAAAGAACGTTCAATTGTTGAAACATTATCAGTTCCAAAAGATAAACATAGAGTTATCATTGGTCAAGGTGGTTCAGTTCGTCGTTCATTAGAAACTGAATTTAACGTTAATGTTAACATTCCAAACTCTCAATCTGATTCAACTGATGTTAAAATTACTGGTTTACCAGAAAATGTTGAAAAAGTTAAAGCTAAAATTAATGAATTAACTGCTGATGACTGGAAAGCTTCAGTTGATGTTCCAGCTTATTTACATGCTGCTGTCAGTGAAAGAGGTGCATTTACAAGAAAAGTTAGATTAGATAACAATGTTGAAATTGAACATGGTAATTTATCAGGTCGTGCTCATAAATTATCATCACAATTCCCAACTCCACCAAAAACTGTTATTGGTTCTGATGAAGAAACTATTAAATTCACAATTGATGAAGAATCTGAAGTTAAGAAAGATGATGTTGTTATTCCATGGAGATTAAAAGGTGAAGCTGAAGATGTTGCTAAAGTTGAATCTCAAATTAAATCAAGATTAGAAAAAGTTTCCAAAGATGATACCTCAGCTTTCTTATGGGTTAAAAATCCACAAGTTTTCCGTAAAGTTGTTGGTCCTCAAGGTTCTCGTTTGAATAACATTAGAAGTAAATCAGGTTCTCAAATTTACGTTCCAAGAAATTCTGATAAAGTTAATGATGTTATTTATTTAAGAGGTACTAAAGAATCTTTAGAAAAAGCATATGCTTTATTGAAATCTGAAATTGAAAAGAAATAGAAAGATTTAATCATTTCTTTGATGTAGATGATTCAGTACCATTTTTAAAAGAAAAAAAAAAGATATCCCTGAATTTTTGCATTTCCGTCATATACATACATAGTTATTTAATAATAATTTAGTTAAAATAAAAGAAAATAGTTTGTTGTTTAAAAGTTAAATTCCTTGTAGTTCATTTGATATTTGTGAATCTAGAATGAATCCTGAAATATTTCCTATTTGGGATATTACTCCTTTAGGCTTTTATTATTTTTATTTTGATTTCGTGGAGCTGCCACCAAAATGTTTCATTTTGATGCCAAATTTCCAATAAAGCATCACGAGATAAAGAATTTATTGAAGATATCAACCATCCACATCCAATCACATATATCCTGAAAAGCTACAATCAATTACATCATGTCTGATTCTGGAAGAGAAGAAACTCCATCATTAATTGGTGGAAGTGTCATATCAGGTCAAGATCAAGAATCCACACCAATCTCATCATCAAGATCCCCATCAAAATCTAATGTTAAGAAGGAAAACTCTCATAACAAGGACTATACTTCTGTTAGTGAGTTAAATGATGAAGGGGTATTGCTTCAAGACGATAAAGAGTATGACGATCTGCTTGATGAAACTGGAAAATTGAAACCTTCCGTATCACAGACCTCTACACCAACTACTGAAAAGCCAAAGAAGAAGACTAAAGCAAAACGTAAACCTCCTGCTGCTGAACCAAAAGAGTCTACTGGTGAAAGACCTCAAGATGCTGAAATTTCCTTAGAAGATTTAATTGACTCCCAAATTGCATCAATTTCAGAATTATCAATTGATTTTCAAAAAAGAATTAGTGATAAGAAATCAAAACCAAGAGCTTTAAATTCCTCAAGATCGAGATCAAATAAAAGGAACTCAAAAGTTCCTGAATCAGTTATTGAAAATGATTCATTGCATCAAGTTCCAGCAGGTGCTCCAGAAGGTTCAGATTCACCATTGATTCAATCAAGATCAACTTCAACTGCTCCTAAAGAAAAGAAAAAATCTACCAAAACTTCAGCAGAAAGACCAAATCTTGCCGGAGGTGAATCATATAAAGGTATTAGTTCAGAATATAGACCTGGTAGAAAAGCAGCTCGTGATGATAAAGAAGATGTCTCCTCACCATTAGCTCATACTTCTGAAGATTATTTACGCTCAGTTTCAACATCAAGATCAAGAGTTGCAGATCATCAACCAGATAACAATGAATTATATGATGAGGGTGCCTTACTTCATGATCCTGAACATAAACATGAATTAGATGTTGCTCGTGATGATGCCATTGATAAACTTACTGAGAAGCCAACGAAGGCCACAGCTGTCACTGATGTCACTAAAGATGATGTTCAAGAACAAAAGGAAGAACCTAAATTACCAGTCAGTAAAGATAAAAAGAATGTTGATGATGCTAAAGAGAGGTTAAGAAAACTTTCACAAAATATGCAAAATAAATCTAGAAAATCAAGTGGTAAAGGTCCTGTATCTGGTTCAAGTGAAGGTTCTAAGAAAGCAACTGAACCTGTGCAAGATCCAAAATCTACTGAATCAAATAAGAAACCAACAGATTCTGTTGAAGATGTCGAACCAGAAATTAAATCTATTGTCAAAGATGAAAAAGTTGATGCTGATGCTGATGAAGATTATGATTTTGATGATTCTGTCGTTATTGTTGATGAAAGAACTATCCCTAGTCAAAAGTCACTTGAAGATTTGTCCAAAACATCTGCAAAGCCAAAATCGAAATCAAAATCAAAAGCTAAATCTAAATCTAATTCTAAATCTGAAAATGCTGAACCTAAAGATAGTCATAAAACTAGTACCGCAGAAGCAGAAAGTGATAAAGAAGTTAAACAAAGTGTTGAAGCTAAAGATACTATCGATGAGACTGCTGAAAAGGATATCAAAGTAGAAGAGCCAGTCGTTTCAAAAGATGAGGATTTATTAGAAGCGAAAACTGAACCTGAACAATCAAGTAATGAAAGTGTTACTGATCCAGCAATTGTTCCAGAGATTGAGGATTTGAAAATAGAAGATGTCAAATCCAAAGATCACAAAGCTACTTCAGACTTTGAAAAGGATGATGAATCAAAAGTTTCTAAAGATCTAAATACCGAAAAGCATCAAAAAGATACCAAACCAGTTGAGGTTGAAGAAAAGGATTTGGCCAGTGAAAAATCAACAACTGAGAAAGAACCATCTTCTGATGTTGATTCCACCTCAAAGGCATCAGCTAGTACTGAAAAACAAGAATTAACCAACGAATCACCTGTTGAAAAGAAAACATCTGAATCTGAATCATCTCCATCATCTAAAGATGTGAAGAAAGAAGATTCAAAATCCAAAACTGAAGAATCAAAGACGGTTGAAACACAAACTGGTGATGAAACTGAAGTTCCTAAAGATGTTGCTACTGTTGCCGATGTCAAACCTGTTGAAAAACACTCTGATGTATCTCAAAACGATAAAGACTCTGAACCATCTGAGTTAATCAAGAATGATGTTGTTGAAAAAGAAGCTGAAGAAGCCAAAAAGGATGATGTCAAAGCCGCTGATATTAAAACTCCAGAATCTATTGATAATGAAACAACTTTAGATCAACAGCTAGAAACTGTTGAAGCTTTGGATGCAAACATTAATAAGACTGCTAAAGCTGAAGATGCTGAAGGGTTGAAAGCTACAAAAGAGATCGAAGATAATGATGGCTCAGATGAGGCTCAAGGTCCTAGTGTGACAGAATCTGTAAAAGAAGAAGCTACTAAAGGTGGTGATAATGAAACCATTGAAACTGCTTCTGCTGAAAAGTCATTATCAAAAGATGACAGTGAATCAGTGAAAGATGATCCAGAAGTCAAATCCAAAGTTGAATCAGAATCAGAAACTTTGTCGAAGGATGCTCCAGGTAAAATTCAAAAAGAATCTACTGCTAAAGAGGAAATTGAACAAGAGCTCAAAGATATTACCAAAGATACCAAAGCAACTCTTCCAGATGTCTCTACTTCAAAAGAAGCTGATTCAGAAGATACAAATCTTACTGGCGACACTGATAATACTGGTGTTTCATCTAAAGAAAAAGCTTTAAAGGATTCAAATACAACATTAGAAATCAAGGATAAAAAAACTGAAAAGAATGATAATAAGGATGAAGAAAAGGATGAAGTTGAAGATAATGCTCCTAAATCTGAAACCACAAAGGAATCAGATGATAACAAACCTGCTGACGAAGTTCATGATGATGACGACGATAAAGCTGATGAATCTCATGAAGCTGATGTATCAGCTATTGAAAGTATTTCAAGAGGTGTCAAAGATTTAAATCTAGAACCAAAATTTAAAGAAACTGAAGATGATATCAAAGTTAAGGATCAAAAATCTGAACCAGAATCTTTGAATGTTACAGCTGAAGAGAATTCCGAATCAATAAAAGAACCTGAGGTTCCAAAAGTTGCTGATCCAGCTTCTGAAGCTGAAAGATTAATCAAAGAACTTGAAGATGCTATTGAAGGTGATATTTCTACCGACTCTATTATCAAAGATGAACCAGAATCTTCAACTAATGTGGAAAAAGATGTTGAAAAAGTATCTAAAGATATTATTCCAGAATCTAAACAAGAATCTGATGTCAAGGCTAAAGATCTTGGTCATATTATTGAAAATGATAAAGCTACATCTGAAGTTAATGTTATCCAAGATGATCCCCCAAAAGAAGTTAAACCAGATACCCCAATAACAAAAGAAGTTGAACCTGAAACTCCAAAAATTGAAACCAAACCAGAAGTTCCTTCTGATGATATTGATATTGACCATGAACCAACAAAAGAAGAAATCATGGAATTATTAAAAGATGAACCTGTATATTTATACACTTCATTAGCCGGTGGTGGGTTCCATATGCCACATAGAACAAATAGATTAGCCACAATCCTTACAGGTAATCAAATACCATTCACATATAGAGATTTAGGTACAGATGAAGAAGCCAGAAATGTTTGGCGTCGTTATAGTAGAGGTCGTTTATTACCTGCTGTTGTTAGAGGTAAAGATGATATTATTGGGAATTTCCAAGAGATTGATGAAGCAAATGAGGAATATAGAGTTAGAGAACTTATTTATGAAACATTATAGTTTGATATTTATATAGTTTAATTAAATTATTATTAATTTGATGTTGATTTATTTGAATTTTTATCATGTAAAAGTTGAAAATCACTCTGTCATTGACCCGGTTCAATAACATCTCGACATTATCATCATAAGTAAACATGAAAAGTAAATTGTAACCTCATACTATCAAGATTATACTAGACTTAGATCTAAACACACCAACTCCACATTCTTTTCACCAAAAAATGACAATGCTCCACTCCAGAAATATCCAAGATGTCCTTGAACAAGGACTCAGACCAGTACGAACCACAAATAAATCCCTATTGGCAGTTTCATTAATCTTACCATCAGGAGCACCATTATCATCATATATAAATCCTTTAAAACAATCAGAAATAAGTATAACACAATTGAAAATGTATTCCTTGTATGCTGCTAATGCTCTTTCTGGACAATTTGGTAAAGCGGATGAAGAAGATGCTGGTGATGATGATAAAGATGATGATGAAATTGATAAAGATGTTGTTAAAGTTGAAACTGATGATAATACAATTTATTTGAAAACTATAAAAGAAACTTCATTTAGTGTTGTATTAGTTTGTGAAAAAAATTATCCAAAACAAATAATAAAGTTGAAATTAGATAATTTAGTTGAAGCTTTTGAAGAATTAAAAGATTATGAATATTCACAAGATGATTAAATTTTACTACAGACTTCAAGATATTTTTTTTTTGCAATTAATTTATTGATGATTCATTAAAACTAGATATGTTGCAATAATAATGTTGATTTTTATAATATATATATATATATAAGCTTCTTTTTTCACTAGCTTCAACAAAAATTTGACCCAAAAGGAATAAAACACATATTAAACCGAACTCAACAAAACTTTAAAAAACTAACAAAATTGATATCAAAAAGAGTTGTAATATAATAATCAAATATGAATATTCAAAAGTATTATTGCTATTTATATAATTCCATCAATGATATTGATAAAAGTTGCTCATGATTATATTTCCAAAATTATAAATTATTTGTATATGTGTATAATAAATGATAAAAAATGATGTTAAAAAACAAACTCCATAATGTAAAAAAATAATAAAACCCAAGTGTTATTCATATGATTACTTTATATATTGTTGATATGTTGATAAAAAAAACTATGACGATTCAAAATGGAAATAATCTGAGACTTTTTGAAAATATAAATTGATGAAACTTTGAAATTAAATTTGACACTATAAAACAACAGAATAAAAAGGAATGATTTGGGATAAAAAAAGTCGTTATGCTGTAAAAATGGACATTATAAAATTCTTTGCTCATAATGAAGATTATTAATATGATTATGAGCTTTAAAAATAAAAATTGATGATTGATTAAAAATTGGTGAAAGGAAAAAAAAAAATTGATGCAAATGAAAAGAGAGTTGATATGAATGATTTCATTCATCATTTATCTTCATCATCAGATAATTCTTCTTCTTCATCTTCATCTTCTTCATCGTTACCTTCAGCGTCATCCATTATGCTATCATCATCATAACTTTCTTCTTCTGAATCATACCAAAAATTTTCATCAACAACTTCATCTTCCATTGGAGTTGCATTTGAAGAAACATAAGCACTTTCAGAAGTTGGCATGATAAATCCTGGTGGGATATCTTGTTTTGATCTTTCAACTTCTAATGCAACTTTTTTTCTATATTGATCTTGTTTTTTTCTCCAATCAACAGCAGCATCAACATTAGCAGGAGATGAAGGATTTGGATCTTCTAATAAGGAAACAATAGAAATCAAAACAGTTTCCACAGTTTGAGCAGGAGACCAAGTTTCAGCATCTGGTTCATCAGAAGTTGGATCACCACCTTGATGTAAGATTGAAATACATAATCTACCATCACGATAAACATTTGGATGATAAATAGCTGGAGTAAATCTAAAAGTTGGTGGCGAGAATGGATAATCAGCAGGGAACTTCATTTGAGCTCTAAAGTAACCGCCATGATATGCAGATTCTTCATTCAACACCATGACCCCGATATTCCACAGAAAGATGTTATCTTCTTCCAGTTCAATATGAAATGATGGAATGGCCTTTTTAGGGTCTGTGAGTTCACGAAATTGCCGTAAGAGTAAAGCAGCAGCACTTGATGAGGACATTTTTGTTGTGGATGTTGTTCTTGTTGTGTTTCTTAAAATAACTATGGGACTATGGAAAGAATCAAAAAGTTTTGTTGATGTGGCGGATTCCTTTCTTTATATAATGGAAGGGGGACGGTCTTTTGAATTCCTTATAAACAGAAAACAAGGTCTGGAGACTGAGGGAAAACTGGATCTGAGTGGTTTTCAAGCGTAGATATGAGAGAACTTGTGAGTGTATATTCCCTTCTTCCTCTGTGAAAAGTTGGTTGTAGTCGTAGTGGTTCTTATTTGTGATTTGTGGTTTTCCAACCCTTTCAGTTGTAATCTGGTGAACTTTTTACTTTTTGCTACAAAACAAAATCAAAGTCGAAACCTTTTTTACAAATACAAAAAGATTCCCAAAAAGATTCCACTTGTTTTCCGCGCTTTTCTTTTGATTTTTAGTGGGCTCAGAACTCAGAACTCAAAACAGATACACTGCGCTGGTTTTGGTGACCAAAGACGTCTCAAGTAGAAGATAAGTAGACATTTATAAAGACATGACAATGTATTACTTGTCCTTTTAAATCATATCTAGATCTCTTCTTTTATAGTTTATTCTTTGGTTTTGTATTCGATTTTATGATCTTTAACTAGTTTGTATGGTGTGCCTCTTACCACTTTCCAGTTTTTTTTGCAAAAGTTCACGAAATTCACGAAATTCACGAAAAGGTCAAAATTGTAGCGCCAAATTGTAGATTTGTATGGTGAATTAAAGCGTATTCGAATAAGTTTTGTATTGAACGATTGTGGTGTCAAAAGCTCAAAGTATCATCAACATGGCCAATTCAAACTCCATTTTGCAAGTCTACGGTGGTGGTAAGTAAAGGTCTAATCTTGATGTGTGTGTGAGGATAGATACTAACAACTGACAATTATAGATGAGGTTGCAGCTATAGTGCTAGATCCAGGTTCTCAATCAACAAAAGTCGGTTACGCAGGTGAAGATTATCCTAGAATAATCACTCCTTCCTATGCCAGATTCGATACTCAAACTGAAGATGCTGTTGCTGCTAAGAAAAACATTGATGCGGATGGTGATATAGATTTGGAAAATAATAATAATACTAATGATGATGATAATAATAATAATAATGATAATGATGATGATACTTCTTTTAAACCAAATATTCCCAAGAAAAGATCTTATACATATTATTCAGAAAATTCAATAAACTTCCCAAAACCTCATTCTGAAATAAAACCAATATTAGAAGATGGAATAATATCTGATTGGGATACCGCTGTGGAACAATGGAATTATCTTTTTGAATCATTAAATGTTGATTATAAACAACAACCTTTATTATTAACTGAACCTGTATGGAATACAGCTGAAAATAGAACAAAATCATTAGAAATTGCTTTAGAACAATTTGAATTTCCAGGTTTTTATTTAGCTTCTACTCCAACTTGTGTTTCATTTGCCCTTGGTAGACCTTCTGCTCTTGTTGTTGATATAGGACATGATATAACAAGTGTAACACCGGTGGTTGATGGTATGTGTTTAACCAAAACAACTTTGAAAACTCATTATGGTGGTAGATATCTTTCAACTCAATTACAACATAGTCTTCATTCAGTTAATGAAGATATTATACCATTATATAAAGTTAAATCTAAAGTTTTAACAAAACAAAATGAATCACCAAATTGGGTACCAAAACAATTTGAAAATATTACAAAATCTTTTGAAGAATATCAAATTGAAAATTTATATAAACAAATTAAAGAATCTATAATTAAAGTACCTATAGATCCAATTGATCATAAGGCAAATTATGAAAATGAAGATGAATTATTCCCTAAAAGACCTTATGAATTACCAAATGGTCATACTTTTGAATATGGTAAAAAAAGATTTGAAATTGGTGATTCATTATTTGAACCAAAAAATTATTTATTAGATGAATTCCCTGCTGAAAGTGGTGAACCAGAAATTAATTCTAAAATTGATTATGTCCCATTGAAAAGAGCTAAAAAACCAACTGAAGAAGAAGAAGAAGAATCAACTAAAACTACAGGTAGTAAAAGACAAAAAAAAGAAATTCCAAAATATAGAGGTCTTGGTGACTTAACTGCTCATGCATTATCATTAGTTGATGTTGATTTAAGAGCCCAATTAGCACATAACATTATAGTTACAGGTTCATCATCTTTAATACCTGGTTTAAATGATAGATTAATGTCTGAATTACAAAAAGCTCATCCTGGATTAAAAATCAGAATTCATGCTTCTGGTAATACAGCAGAAAGAAAATTCCAATCTTGGATTGGTGGTTCTGTTTTATCAAGTTTAGGTACTTTCCATCAATTATGGGTTAGTAAAAAAGAATTTGAAGAAGTTGGTGCTGAAAAATTATTAACTGAAAGATTTAGATGATTTTAATTTAAATATTTTGTATAATATTATTGTATATTAATAGACCAAAAAAATGAACTTTTATATAATTTTAGTTTGCGTATAATTAATGATCTTTAGTATGAGTATACGAAGAGATGTTGAGTTACGAAATTACAGCTTGGTCTGGATCTCAGTACACGAGATATGAACACACTACCAGTCTATATCGAAACTTCAGGAGTATTTATATAACTTCACATTAGGCATCGTGTATCACATAATATAATTCAACTAATAAATATATGTTCTAATTTAATGTTTAACTTCATGAGACAAGCTGTATATTGTATTTTTCAAATTATGTACAACTCGTTATTAATGTTCGGAAATCTTCGTACATTTATCCGAAATTACAAAAGACTATAACTACTCTAAAATTGAGTAAATTTATAATAGAAAGATAATTATAAATCATAAAAATTATCAGAGATTACAATGGTACTAAATGCTTGTCATAAATCGAATAAAAAAAAAATTGTCATTTTCAAAAATTCTAATTTCGAAAGAAATTTTAGCAAGTATACATCGTTAGATTAAAAAGTTGAAAAAAATTCAAAAATTCAAACCAGCTAATATGAAGCTTTTGAGGCTTCAAAGGATGAATATCATTCAAATATAAGCAAAAACATCTTCAATTTCAACACAATATTTGAATATGGCTCGAATTATATATTTTATTAAAAACAGTCGGAAAATTGGGCCGGGCCGCGGCAAAATATATATAATTTTACATGTTTTGAAATCAATACATTGTTAAGGAATTAAGCTGAAGTTTCAGATGAGACAGTTGACCACTCATATGCTATTATAACGAGCTTTCATGTACATTTTTGCCGAAAACTGATCACGAAATACTAATATACCCACTATATAATCTACAGCTGTACATTATATACGTGAATTGTTCATTATAATCTTCATTCATAAAACATAATAAATAAGTTAATATATAGTAATACCCAGCTTAAATTAGCTTAATCTTTACCTGAAAGGCATCCATAATCAATAGATTCCAATGTACAAGAAATCATAGCTTTTTGACGTTCTTGTAAAAAATGACTCTTATTTAAAAATTCTAATTTATTTCGTACAATTTCCAAAGGATCTTCAATTTCAAATAATTTACTTAAATTTTCAACAGATTCTGCTAATTTTGCTTGAACTTCTTCAAAAATATCTAAGAGACCTGTTCTGTCACAATAATAGGCAAATGCATAAGACCATTTAAGTACTTTTCTAGCTTTCAATAATGCTTCTGCACTTTCAACAAGAAATTGAGCTTCAATCCATGATATACCTGAAGTTTCTTGTAATTCACGAACTTTTTCTTCAACAAATTTACATCTTTTATCATCTAATTTTGTTGAAGATTCATGAACTGCATATAAATTATAATAATGTAAATATTTTTTCAATGAATTTTTTGTTAGATTTCTTAATTTTTGTTTAGCAGTTAATTCTTCTTTTTCTTTATTCTTAGCTTTGTCATTTGGATTATCTCTAAAAGCTGTACATTGATAATAAGAGGTACCATGACTTGTCCAATCTTGTGAACAAATCCAACAAAACTCATAACGACATTTTTTACAAGTCATATGATTACAACCACCATTTTTTTCAATTGATGAATCACATTTTGGACATTGTTGAGTATTGGACATTATCCAATTTGCAGTTTCTGAATCATCTTTACATTTTGTTACCCATTGTTTGGCAATTCCACAAGGGACAGGTGTATGATTTTCAAATGAGCATGAAACACAAAATTGATGATTATGGTTACATGTAACAACTGGGACATGGTTTTCAGAAACAATATTGGGTATATCTGCAAAGTTTAATATTTCAACAACATTTGGACAATCAACGGATGGACACCATTTATAACTTCGATGTCTTTCAACATATTCCTTAATTGAACTTTCAATTAATTTGAAACTTTCACCTTCACCAGCTATAAAATCTAAATCTTGTGAATTTAATGCAACATCACAGTTTGGACATTTAATAACTTTACCAGATGATGTTTTGTCTTTAATATATTTACTATAACAATCTAAGCAGTATTCATCACCACATGATAATTGATATGTTTGAGTCTTTTCATCACAACAGATAAAACACATGAATTCACCTTTATTATATTTTTTAAACGTTGAACCAGCTTTGGTAGAACCATCTACTATAACACCAGCAGCTGTTTTAACTCTATCAGGATCATCCATATATTCTTCCATAAGTCTTTCAGAGTTCCATGAATAAAATTGTAGCAACGTTAGAGCATTATCATCTGTCAATTCCAAAACGCTTGAAATGTTTTTTGTTTGAGCGCTTAACTTAGCTACCAAATCCTTTGTTGAATGAGCTTTATATTCCACCAAGTCTTTCTTTGTTGATAATGTATCTTCTTGTTTGAAATCACTGGCATCACCAGCATTGTCATTTTCATAATCTCCTTCTTCAAATTCTCCATCTCCTTCATCATCATCATAATCATCATCAACCACCCCATCATCTGACTGAGATGCAGAAGCGACTTCCACCACTTCATCATCGTCTTCATATTCAAACTCAGCGTCCGACTCAAACTCATCAGGGGAATAGTTCATAAAGCTCTGATCATCAGACATTTCTTTTGACTTTAGTTGTTATTTATTTCTCTTTTGCTATTGTAATAATATTAAAAGACTTCTCGTTATTATAAATATATGAAGCTTTCTTTTTGTACTTTTGCCACTTTTAAAAGATAATTAATTGTTCTTGAAGAAATATTAAACTATTTATATGAAATTCCCAAACAGATAAAGTCAAATTCCTTGTTTCTCAACTAAATGCAAAACAACTCAAATCAACTCAATCAGTTCACGCACTTTATCTTATTCAATTCACGCTTTCTCTTCTAGAACCGCAGACGCGGATATGACATAATCGCTGACAAAGACATATAAGCTACAAAATCATTTGAGAGATTTATAAGAGAAAATAAAAAAGTTTGAAAGGAACTCATTTCAAGTCTCAAAAGATCTCTTTATATGAGGATATTTATAAACCTTCTAATCTATCTAATGCTGCTTTAATCTTCATACCAACTCTAGTACTTAGCTCATAATCATCAGAATAAGCTTGTGCTCTTTTCAACCATTCTTTAGCTTCTTCTAAACCATCAGTTCCATATTCTTTCCAAAGAAATAATGCCTTTTCATATAGTGCAGTTGGATATAGCCATGGATCTTCAGCATGTCTAATAAATCTATATGGTTCTCTTGGATTTGACTCATCCAATTCGATAATGTTGAGTAATACTTTTTCATCTAATAATTGAACACCTTCTTCAATTCCACCTAATCTTCTTAATGTAATTGATTGTAATAAATTACGTAGCATTGATTGATTTTCAACTTCTGGAATTTTAGCATGTTCTGAAACACTATAATCCAACAATTGTTGTGCTAATAATAAATGATCTTCTGGCATTCTATTATATCCATTCCAAAAATATGCTAATTCATGAACAGGTGATGTACCGATAGCATCAATAAAATCAACATTGTATTTTTGTGCTGAATGTTGGAAATGTGAAATTTTTCTCAATAAGAATTTATCAAATGGCATTTGTTTTGAAGTTTTACCATATTTAGCAGATACTGGTGCTTTTAAAATTAATTTTTCAGCTTTATTTCTAAATTCTTCTTCACGTTTCAATTCTTTAGGATCTTTAATTAATCCTAATTTGCACATACGATATAATTCTAAATAACATGAACCTGCAGTATATGTATAAAGACCTGGTGACCAACTATTAATTTCCACTAATTTCATGAAATCATTAGCTGCTCTTTCATATTTATGTAAAAAGATTAAAATCATTGCACGATCGAAAACCAACAATGCTTCAACTTGTTTCATTTCAATCTTTCTATCTAATGAATCCATTAAATTTAAAGCTTCTTCTAGACGACCTCTTGATGCTAACATACGAGATTCTTGTAATAACCAAAGTGCTGAATGTGGGAAAAGAGCTCTTGCATATAATAACGCATCTTCTAATTTTTTACCAGGATGTAATAAAGTTGGTTTCCCAACTCCTTGGTATGCATTTGATTCAGATCTCATTCTTCTTTCACTCTTAGTTTTTGTTAATGATAAATTAGTTAATTCAGAATTCACAGTGGAAGTTCTTGTATGTTGTGGAGAATGAGTAGAAGAAACATCTGGAATATCAAAATCTGCATCAGTAAATTGGAAAGGACCATCATAGAAAACCAATAAAGCTAAAAGACCAATACAGCCATGAACATTTCTACCTTCAACTGATTTCCAAATTTTTCTTAAACCATCTTCTCTTGAACCTCTAAAACCAACAACTGAAAGAACTTTACCAATAGCTGGTGGAATTAATGATAAAACTAATTGTAAAATACCAAAGCATAAATTAGCACCTGATATTATATATTCATCAATTGTTGATTGTGATTCATCAATTTCCTTAGTCTTAATACTAGAACTTGAATCTGGATCAATTAAACCTTCTTTAGAATACCCCAATTCTGATCTTAATCGATCATTAGCAGGCGAATTACCAATATGAGCACCATTCAATCTTGAAGATCTCATTGATGCAACATCATCAGCAATATTTGATAATTTTGGATCTTTTATTAAATCTGGATTTATTGAAAATGGAACATCTGCCCATATTGAACTTGTATTTGAATTTAATGTTGAAGTACTTTGGTTCGGTAGATTATTTAAACTTCTTTGTTGTTGTTTTTGCTTTTTTTCATATTCTTTTATTAATGTGAAAACTTCATCTAATGTATGATATGCTTTTCTTAATTTATATAATGCTTTAGCACTTTCAATCATACTTTCAGATAATAACATGATCAATGCATTTAATAAATTAGCTTCAGCATAAATAACTGCATATTCAGTACCAGGAGGGAAATTAGCAGAAGTTGTTAATTTTAATCTTTGATGTTTTGAACGATCTCTTGATGATAAATTTTCAGCTTTTGTTAAAGATTCACCAGCTTTTTTCATAACTTCAGCTTCAAAACCTAAAGTTGCTTCCAAAAATCTAATAACACCAACAGCCATTACTTTAATTGTACAATCTGGTTCATTTTCAATCAAGTGAAGACCTTCTTGAGTACGATCATCAAGTAAGAAATCCATAGCTTGTAATGCTAATTCGAAATCATGAGCTTGTTTCAAAATCAATGGGGTTGCTTCATCTTTGGTGATTGTTTCTTGTTTCTTGAACCCTAAAGCACGTAACATATTGTGGGTATTCTGTAGTTATATTTTTGATTCAAAGAGTATCAAGTATAAGCGATGATACTTCAAGATATATTAATATTTGTTGATCAAAAGCAAAAAAAAGACTGGATCTCTATATGTTTTGATGTGATGTAAATTTAGACTGTCTCCTATCTTTCCAAGCAAAAAAGAAATGGCACACTGCAAAAATAACAAATTAAGGGGAAAGGGGGTTAAGTGAAATGACAAGTCACCAGAAATGATCTGAAAGCACGGTAGTTAATCAAATTGTAGAAAATAATTGTTTTGTGGTAAGTTTCTTTAAAAATAGATTGACTTTTATAAACTTTTTAAATTCTGATGATGAGCTTAAAAGCCAAGTGTTGATAATTCTCAAATGATTTTCAAATTCATACTTTGACATTCCACAGTTCATTCCAGTGAAGATAGGCAGGGGACAGGCTGAAGCTAGGCAGATACTAGACTGAAGCTGGGGAGAGACAGAGAGACTAGGCAGAGATACGTCAGTGTTTCATATTGGGGAAACTCTACCCTCAGACTAGCACCGGCAAAGGCGGAGCCCAGGAGATAACAAATCCCAGCCTAGAGAATCGAGATCAGATATTCCTTCTACAAGATTACAAAAGACACACAACTTCATGACGATATATTCATTAATTAAAACCACATTCTATCTCTTTTTGGGTTTGATTACAACATTCACACCCAGTTGACTAACACTATTCCAAACAGATTCATCCAACACTTTAGGTAATTTACGTCCATAAAGACATTGGTCAACAAGCCACATTCCAATAATGAAAGATTTCCTTTCAATTGTACCATCTTTCCTAGTATCAACAAGATCCCATATCTGTCTAAGAATAATTGGTGATAATTGAGATCTTGACCAAAGATCCCTAGCTACTAAATTCAACATTAAATTAGTTTCTTGTGATGGTGTTAATTCAGAATTTGTAGAAAGTTTTGATGCTTTCAATGCTGAATGATGACGTTCTGGAATATCTTCAACTTGTACTAATGTTGCAGGGTCAACAAGATCCATATACAGGCCTTTATTTGCAACCCAAACACCATCATATCTTTTACGTTCTTGTTCTGTAATGTATTCACGATCATTATGATGTTTCCATGGTTTATCTTCATTGAAAATTGTAGATTTTTTCTCTTTTCTCATTGTTGTTTTAAAATGAACAGGTCTTGAATCTTCATCATTAACTAAATGATTTGAAGGATTTGATGATGATGTTGTTGCAGATTTAAGACCTTTCTTAAATATATTTTTAGCATTTTTCCTAAATCCATGATGATGACGATGTCTTCTTCTTCTTTCTTGATCTTCAATTGATAATGGATATTGAGGTAATGCATCTTCATCTTCATCAACAAATGAATTTTGATTATTATAATCACCAGGATCTATAGGATCTAATTCTTGTGAAATACTACTACCTGGTGGTGGTTTCCTTTTTGGTGAAGTATTTCTTCTTGATAATGATGGTGTATATCCCCCAGAAGTAATAGATCCACTATATGAGTTCAGATGTTGCATTGATGTTTGCTGTAATGGTGGTGAACTTGATGGAGGTGGTTTCCTTATTGGTACTTTAGAAGAACGAGTTGATGTGGAACCTGGTGTATCAAATACCCTTTCACTAAATTCAATTTTGGAACTACTAACTCCATAATTATTATTAGTATTACCACTGTTAATACCACGAGAATTAAAATAATCAACTTCATCATCATTATACTCATCAGGTTCAGATTCATATTCATATTCATGTTCATCTATTCTTGATGGAATTGTATCTAATGCTAAATGAGATGAAGAACCACCTGAAGCTCTTGCAGATTTTGGTGCTAATGAAGAAAACTCAGAGCCTGCTGAATTTGATCTAAAACTACTTGCTTTATCTTCAATTTCTAAATCTGAATAATTTTGATCAGAATCGAAAAAAAATCTTGGTGATATTGATTGTTGAATATGTGGAACTTGTATCGTATCACCATTTGTTGTTGATTCCATAGATTTATTGAAATTTGGATTAAAATTTGGTGGTTTTAATGAAAACGGTGCTGAATCTATTGAATTTGATGAGCCTTGTGAAATTGATGGTGAAGATGGATATACTTTATTATTAACATGTGCAGTTGGTGGTGGTGCCAGCAGTTCAGCAGATGAAGTAGCAGCAGAACGTGCAGCTATACTTGCAATGGATTGTGTTGTATTTATATTATTAATATTATCTGGTGATGATGTATCAGTTCCTGTTCTTAATGGAGGTAAAGGTGATCGACTTCTTGCTCTTATTCTAGGTTTATCATCTATTGAAGAATTATCACGAACGTTTAAAGAGTCAATTTTGGGTAATGGTGTCCTACTTCTTGATTGAGGAGCTGAATGTTGAACTATAGGTGTGATGGGAGTCTTTGGAGCTGGATGTTGAACAACAACTGATGGTTTATGACTTGTTGGAGTCGTGCTGATTGATTGTGGTCTTATACTTGGTGCATGTTCTTTCTTTGTTAAAATCACCGGTGGATTCCCAGAGTTACCAGCACTGACACTTTGTTGTTTGGTTCTAACTGTAGATGCACTTGATGTGGAAACAGACCTTCTAACTTGTACATGTGGTGGTTGTGGTCTTTTGTCATAAGTTGGTGTTTGTAAAGGAGTATGTTGATTATTTGCAGTTGTTTGTGAACTATTTGAATTTTGAAACAAATTAGCAGCAGCTTGAGCAGCTAATAATGAAGATTGTGATGGTGCATTATTCAGTTGGTTATCCTGCTTACCTATAGTTGGTATCTGGTTATTTGTATGTCGTCTTCCTAGTAATCCCATTCTCAATCATTGGTGAGATGGTGCTATGAATTATATGGGAATTATATGAATAGAATAACAAACCGGCAAGTCCCCTTTTCAGTGTAAATAAAATGAAGTATAGTTATAATAAATATTATATATCAGAGTTAATGACCTGATAAAATCTAAAATAAAAGCGTGTTTTTCCAATAATCACTAAAAATGTAACTCGTTTAATATCTTTATCAGATTTGTATGACAATTGCTCAAAAAGTTCAAATGTATTTTTGGATCGTGCGCGTTAAGAAGCCATGCGCGAATGTTCTCAAAATGTCAGGTACTAGAAGATCTTGAGGCAGTGAATATCAGAGTCCAGACGACCTTTAAAGCTGGTTTTGAAGGAGAGTTGGCTGGGAATTAGAAGCTGGTGATCTTGAGATGTCTAATAACAGGAGGAGTAGAATATGGCTGGTGTTTTTTTTGTCCATTCAGCCCCAATGATTGTGTTTTTATATAGCTTCTGTGTTAATAATTGTGTAGAAACCATACAATAATCTATTAATATCAACAGAAAACCAATTTTAAACCTTTACTATTATTTAATTATACAAAATATTAATACATAAAACCAAATTAAACAGCTATAAATTATTCACCCTGCAAATACATTATCATCATACTGCCCTTGAATATTCCCAGCAGGATCATATTCACAAACTAAATATTCACCAAAATAATCACCACAATCTTTAACAGCACAACCAACTTTAGTTGTACTATTCCAAACTAATTGTGTGAAATGTCCCGTAGCTTCACTGAATCCTGGATTATTAAAATTATATTTCTGTACTTCATCATACCATGCTTCAATTGCAGCTGATGTATTATAACCAATGGCTAAATTTTCTCCATATTCAAAAGTTGAATGGATAAGAGTACCATTACAATTATATTGATTTGCATATGATGTTGCTACATCTGTTAGTTTTTGATCCCACTTTAAAGGTGTTGCTGAATGCTTTGATCTTTTGTCATTATGTAGTTGTACAACTTCTGATGGGAATGAAAGTGTACTTGAACTTGAACTTGAACTAGATGTTGATGTTGAGCTTTGTGTAGAAGATGAACTTGGGCTCGAACTTGAGCTTGGTTTAGCAGTTGAACTTGATGAAGCTGAAGTTATTGGGCGTTTCTTATCTTGTGTTTCAGTTGATGAAGTTGTTGTGGTAGTTAAAGTTGTAGTTCTCGTACTTGTCAATGTTGTTGTAATATCTTCAGTACCATCGGGTAGTAAGTTATTCATAGGGTCATCTGAATGATTTATAGTTGTCCATTCTGTTATTAATGTTGTAGCATATTGAGTCTTTATTTCTTGAACAGTATGAATGTTTGTAATTGTAACTAAATCAGCTATAGCCATTGTTAAAAAGATGAATATAGCACACCGTATTATGATCATTTCACAACCTTCAAGGGGGAAACTAAAATTTCAATATGAATAACCATTATTAGGGAATATTTTTGTTTAAATAGCAGACGTGATAGTTATATATCACATTTTGTTTTAGAGATCTAGACCTTCTTGGACCTTTTTTGATGCTGATTCAAGGTTGTATTGAAATCCGATTCATAGATGTTTTAGATTTTACCCATAATAAAAAATGAGAAAAACTTCTAGAAATCAACAAATTTAGAGCAAATTACGGGAGTTGAATCTTGATTTTGGACATGATCTAGCTAGTGAGTACTTTGACCATCATTGTATCATCCTTGCTTGAGTTTTGACCATGACTAGGCTTCATATTTTAGCTCATGTAATTAGAAGTGTTCCTTTCAGAGTTTTACTTGATATTTCAAGAATCGCGGGTATATTGTTGGTATAATACAAATTTAAATTTAACGTACAAATATAATATGTGCATAACAACCTATGTAATAAGATTCCATAACCAATATAAAAAAAATATAGAAAAAAAAGTATACATAACAATATTAACAAATATAAATATTAAAAAAAAAACGAAGAATAAAAAACACTGTTCAATATTTGAAAAAAACTTTATTAATGTCCAATCACCTATAAATTGGGAGAACAATTCATAAAGTTCTTTCAAAATTGAAAAGATCGAAATAAAAAAAGGTTTTTGTTTGAACTGATGAATTTCATTCATGGTTCTCAAAATCCAGAAAAGGGGGAATGAAGAAATAAGTGAAAAGATAAGTGTTGATTATAATATAATCATGTGCAATTTTTTGATATGAATAATGGGATCATTTTTTTAAATGATCAATATTGGGAAAGTAACCTAAATGTCCTTTAAGTAAAAATGATTTAAAAATTAAATTTCATAAAATTTAAACTTTAACATTTTGACCATATTGACCAGCAACATTACCAGCTGGATCATAAGAACAAATGATATAAGCACCCCAATAATCACCACATTCTTTTTTAGCACAACCTAATTTAGTAGTAGAACCCCAGACAACTTGAGTGAAATGAGAAGCAACTGGTGATGAAGCAGAGTAATCACTCTTTTCATTGAACCAAGCATCAACAACACCAGTGTCAGAGTAACCAAGACCTAAGTTTTCACCATATTTACCACCTGAATGGGTTAATGAACCTGAGCATGAGTATTGATCAGCATAGTTTTGAGCGTATTCTTCTAAATCTTTAGACCAAGATAAAGCTGAAACACCAACTTGAGAACGTTTTTCGTTATGAGCGTTTAAGATTGCATTAGCGAAATCTGAATCACCACCTGAAGTTGATGATTGAGCTGGAGCAGTTGATGAAGTTGAAGTTTGAGTATCTTGTTTTGAAGTTGATGATTGTAAAGTGGTGGTTTGTTTAGTTGATGATGGAGTATAAGTTTGACTAACACTAGCTGGGACGTTAGCACTAGTTGAAGAACCGTTATCAACGATTGAAGTAACAGCTCTATCAGCAGCTTGTAAACCTTGTTCACCTTGTTGAGAAACAGCTTGAGTTGATGAAGGAGCATTGTTATCTGAAACAGTAGCAGTTGATGATTGAGCACCAGCTTCAGTTGATGAACCACCAACTTCTCTAGTGAATGTAGTTAATGAAGTTTTAGTGTTATCACCATTGATTTCAACTAATTGAGAGACAACAACTTCATGAACTTTACCAACGGCTGGAGCAGCAGCTGAAGAAGATGGAGCTTCAGTTGGTTGAGGTTGAGCATTACCTGCACCATCAGTAACCCAAACGACTGAAGTTTGAGTAACAACAGCTGGAGCAGCTAAGACTTGAGAAGCCAAAGTTAATAAAGGTAAGACAAATTGATATTTCATTGTTGATAATAGTAAGGAAAGAATGAATCTAATGAATGAGAGCTAATATTGATAGAATAATTTGGTAAACACGGATATGAAGTGTAAAATAATGATTGAATTGAAACGATTTAATGAGCGTGTTTCGTGTATAACCTTTTTGATTTAAATGAATGTAAGTGTTTGATTAAACTTGTTTAATGAAAGACTTTGATTTTGAATGAAAGTTTAAAGATCAAACGGTGCTCTTTTTATATCAAATTGTTGAAAGGAAAGTTACTCTAAGGACTCAAAAACCAGAAGGTATCAACATCAATAACAAGTTGAAACGAAGGAATTCTGGACTGTTTTATAAGATGGGAATTGGAAATGTGTGCCTGTGAATCTGCATTTGAGTCGCGCTTTCCGGTATGCTGGTGATTTTTTTCTTTTGCACTTTGAAGTGCGTTGGTTTGCAGGGGAAAATCAATTTTGAATCTGATTTTGAAACTTGAGAAAATCAAATCTGTTGTCAATTTGCTTGAAGGGGAACTTGAAAATAGAAGGGAAGTTGGAGAGAAATATGACGAGAAGAGAGAGAATCGAGGACCAAATTGACCTAGGGAAGTGATGTAGTATAGTAGTATTATGGTGGATATAATCTTATCCAAAAGACCTCGTTCAAGAGAGATTCAGGGTGTATCAGGTTGATGCATCGCTATTCACCTCAGAACTTTAATACTGCAAAAATTTCAACAGATTACTCTAAAGAGACAGAACCGAGATACAACTACTGAGATCTAGTTAACATATCAGCTAACGAAATAGCCCTAGAGATCTCATATAAATTACTTTTTTTTGCTACGTAATGTTCTGATTATTATGTTAGCTATAATTATACGTAGACAGTTAACACTCAACAATTATCATCTTTTCAGTCTTGATGTCTATAACCATGAACTGATTAAGATGAAAATAAGGTATGTCATTAACCCTTGTAGAGTATTTCTTTTGATAAGCTTGCGGTTCTTGATCCATAATATTTTATACCCAGAAGGTGTTGAACTTTAAATGCTGTTGAACTTGTTCTCGTTTTGTTCTTCATCAGTACATATCGGATTGATAAATCAGGTGTTTGTTCTAAAGGTTACTACGGATGGAAAGGAAGAATATACACTGAATATAGAGCACTAGAACAGTTGATGATGTGTTATTTTGATCAGCTCTCATCGATATATCCTTTATTGCAATCAAATGACTCTCCCAACACCCAACATCGACTTCTCTTCCAATAGATCGAATCATGATTCATCCTCGTGTTGTTTCAATTTAATTAATCATGCCTCAAATCAGATATCTCCTGAACATAATCCTTGGTATGTGGCTCTTTTAAGATCCATCTCTACTACGATCCATGCGATGCCAGTAATCTATCTCACGAACAATGATGATTTGTGATTAAGCTCTACTCTTTGTGTCAACTAGAGCTGTAGTCTGTCTGCTTATCACTTGAATAGGATTAATTAGTTGCAGTTGTTCACCAGTCAACTTCATGTATGGAAAGTCGCGATCAAAATTTTTAGTTTCTGCACATTTTCAGTTTTTTTGCAGTTTTAGCGAAAAATTTCAACATGTTACATGATATTACTCGTACTAGTTTGTAAAGGGGTTTAATTTTTTTTTGTGTTGAATTTGGTCTGAAACAGAATGAAAGTTCTTCTTTATTGTGTAATATTATTCATGTTTGCTATGACTTCCAGCTTGAATTACCAAATTCTTTATTTCTTGATTCGTGATTCGTAACTCGTTGTTTACTTTTTACTTTAACCAGGTGATCATCTAGATTCAAATTGTCAATCGGTGAATCCTATGAAAATCTATTGAAATTTCCAACATCAAGAAAACACCTAATCAGGTTAAACATAAACAACAGAACTCATCAAGATATATGTAAATCCTCTTGTTACCATGCTTTGTTTATTAACAATTTTTATTCAACCAGCGTAAAGATAATTGATTTTTACCCTCTTTCGTACCTTTGCAGTTTGATAAAAGCATTAAAGGCCTGGAAGTTTTGAAGTCTCTACGTCATTGAAATTGTTAGACAGTTGAATATATCAACCAGCCAGATTCACTTAATTTGATTCGAATCTAGCCATATACCAAGATGATAGTGCTCAGTATATGAAATAGGGTCTTGAAAGGGTTTAACTTTATTTTCATTTGATCAAAGATTCAAAGGTAAACAATGAACATGACATGATGTGTACCCCTTAAATTCATAGATCAATTTGATATTTGAACTTTCTTCTATTACTTACATTGCTGGAAAATTGAGATGTTGACCATTTGACACGTATTTATTAAGTTGATTGAAGTTTGAACACGTTGAAGTTATAAGATATCGCTTATGCTACAGAAGGGTCCATTGTTATTTGATGATCATTAAATTGTTGGCAGTTGTTTGTTTGTTATGAATCTTGTGTAAGTTGTGTTGATTTCAAGATCAAGCACAATTCAACGTTCCAGCCAAATCATACATCAATGATCATCCTCATATCCTCATCATCATCAACATTCCAGATTCTAAAAATACCCCAGCATTTCACATACTATTTGAAATTAGTACGACATTCCATAGCTATAGGCTTCAAGCTTCAAGTCAAGAATCTATAATTTAACCAAGTGTAAGGTACAATGCATTGATTTAATTAAATGCCGATGAATAGATGAAGCGTTATGATGTTATGACTTATTATTAATGTATATTTTAGATTAGAAGCATTAAGATCATGAGATGTTGATTTTATTGTCAGGTATAATGGGTTGGGGGTTGAATACATTCATTATGGAATGAAATTAATCATGAAATCTGAAAGAAACATTTCAACATTATTGGATGTTCTAGAGCATTTTAGTAACATGGAATGTTGGTATGAGGTATGAGTGCTTATTAAAAAGTATATTGATTCATGAATGAAATTTAGAATTTAATCTAGACAACTGAGGACAGGAATGTTTAGTTATATTGACTTGGCTTAGAGAGCTAGACCATATATATTCATGAGTCGGTGCTCCTGTGGAATGCTTGCTATAGGTACTCTGATCTTCAAAGTTTTTAGAATTGAATTGAATTATTGATTTCGTAAAGGATTATCAGTTGATAATGATTATGAAACATCTTTGGAGTAAATTTCAATATCTTTTTGATGTTGATTTCACCGTGTGATTGTTGATTTCAAGTTTTCGAAGCTGATAGAACTGACATCGTGATAGGTAAGCGTTAAACTTTAACTACTAATTGACGTTTTATAATGGTATAATACATTTCCATTTATCAGTTAGTTGCTAGTTGTGAATAATAGGATAGAAATTGAAATTCCACAGGTAGCTATAATACATAGACAATATATTAATAGATCATTCGATCAGTTCAAAGAATACACTACAAATAAGTTGTATACTGTTAAAATAGGTCCAATAAAAAATCTTTTGTAGTTCATATATTAAATAGCTAAGTCATGACACTTAGACGTATAAAACACTGAAACAACGTGGAAGTCATACCTTTATTATGAGGTATTGGATAAATATTTATGAGCAAATGATATATTAATTGCCTCTAATATATTTTTCCAAAATATAATTAGCTTTTTCCAAATCATTGCCTAATCATGATAAATTAAAAATGATATGATCCACTTAATGTTAATATTCATACAGGAAATAATTTCCATACCATGCTGGAACAAAGTAATGCGATAAAACACACAAGAAAGGGCAATAAAAACATCTTATTACATAATGAAAGAAAATTATTTTAACTGTCCAATGAACAATTTTTACAAGTAAATTTGTTGAATTGTTTATTCAAACATTTTGTTTTTCTTTCGACATATTCAATATTCGCGGTGATGTTAAGGATTTGTTTACTTTTTGTTTACATATCACCACTACTTCAGGTTTAACAAACTTGATTAACAGCTAGTCTTCAATACATCAACCAGCATGGCACCATTGACAAGAAATACAGTTAAAAAACTAATCAAAGAAAAAACTCAATTAAAAATGGCAAATGATTCATCTGATTTATTAGTAAGTACACCAACAACTACAATACCCAATAATGAAGAATACTAACAATTATATGTAAAGATTGGATTAGATTATATGTTATTTATTAAACAATTAATGTGTGAAGCTGAAAAATTAGCAGATGATAATGGATCAAGTGAAATATTACCTACACATATAAGAAAAGCAAGAATTGTGAGTATTGATTAATATATTTTCAAGATATTGATATTAATATTGCTTATTAGAATGTTTTAAAGGCATATAGAGGTTAAACATTAGTTTTTTGAAAGTGTATCCATCTACTTATACTCTTTGGTCCATTTGTTGGTGATGAGGCAAGAAGGTTCAAAAACAAAAGTTTTTTTAATGATTATGCTTTGTTATCAATTGAAAGTCATACAACATCAAACTTTCGTTATACAAGAAAAAATACAATCCTTGTCATAGTTATAACAAGCTTTAGATTTAACCAAGATGAAGCCAAATTTGTTTTATACCCAAATGTTTTCTACTCAGAAGTTATTAACCTCAAGTACTTTTTAATTAACCTTAAATTTACTTTCATAGATTTATGATAAGCTGGTTAAACTACCATATTTGTTATAAATTTGATTAAATTAGGTGATTTTGATAGACATTAATACATTTTATACATATGTTTATTTATGGGTTAGATGTTATCAATGCCTTGAAGATCAAAAAATGTTTGATGCAATAAGGTAAAACAAAAAAACAATACGTCTCAAAGTTTATTGTTTTATACTTACCATAAATGTGGGTTGATACGGATTCCTTATTTCCTTATCATATGTTTTTAATTTAAACAATGGAATAATGGTTATGATTGTTTGAGATTATGAGTACTAAGAGTTTTGGTTTAAGAAGGTTAAAAGGAGATGAAAATACAGTTGTTTATAGGAGATTAATGAACTAAAGTTATTATCATACTATCATACTACTATTGTTTAATATTATATGTAGTCAACTCTAGTCTATTATATATATGGATAAACATGGGATTAATTACTTTATTGTTTTGAATTATAACTTCTCCGGATTCGCAATTTAATAACATGGTTGCATACTGAAACTTAAATTTGATGCTCATTACGCTTGACTATTATAAGCAAAGCGAAAGTAGAATATCTGCTGTATAAAGTGCTTTATTAACCTTTCTAACTTTTCTCGATAACTTCTTTGTCTTTTAATAAAGTTTTGATCATCTATTAAAAGCATATTAAGCTTTGTAGAATCATCATATCATGTGTGGATTCTTAAGGAAACATGGTAACATGGACACGGAACTTTGGCAAGGATTCCGTGATCTTGTTAAAGATAAAGTTTGTGGGTTAAACTTTGTTTACAAACTTAGAAATAAGTATACACATATTATTTTATAAGCTGAATCCAGATGAGACAGGGAGGTTTTTTGAAATTTCTTGTGCTATACTCGTGGTTAACCGTGGTACAAATTATTCGTAACCGTGTTTTGACGTTGAATATAGATAATAATTATTAACAATCAACGTGTGGCAATCATAGTCTTTATTTACGATATTGTTTTAGTAGGTAAGTAGTAAAAGTTGATAAACAAGTTTGCTATTTTGTGTAAATTGTGGTACCTGTGTGGGACGTAAATAAAGTCAATTGATAAAGAAATCGATGATCTTTATAAACCTTCAACTGTCAAATTACAAAACAAATGTAACTTAACTATTAGTTATCTACGTATAATATGTAATTTAATACATGATGCAAATTAGGAGAATAGGAAGTTGTACATTTCTTAATCAATTATAGATATTGTTATACTATGATCTGTAATAATGTTAGTTAAAGGTACTAATAACAATAATGAAATCATGGCTATAATAAAGATAATAACACACAGTTGTTTTAATCAGATTGCAATTTTTCTTCCCTTGAAAATTCTCAGATAATGTAGATAAGTTTTGTGTATAGATTGAACATCATTTTAAAACCTGTGTGAATAACTCATATATAGCCTCAATTGGAAATAGTGAAAACACTCAAAACATACCTTAATTAATCACAGAAAAAGGGATACAATACCCATTTATCCACTGATCATGACTAGTACAACCACTAATCACCTAAATCATACAATTCTTTATCAAATTCTTGTTCTCTGTAAAATAATTTCTTGTTCACATGAAAATTTATAAAGTTAAGTTTTTTTTCTTACAGGGTGAAAAGTGAAAAAGTAAAAAAATCGCACTGGACAAACCAAAAAAATCGTCCTTTAAATTGTAAATTTCTTAGGGCCAAAAAGTCAAAATATGACAATTTAAATAAAAGGAGGAAACAATCCAGAATTAATGCAAAACAGAAAATACAAAACTTTAAATTAAACATTATATAAAACAAATGATTACTTCAAAAATCATGGATTTGAATAATTCATATCCTATACTGAATCATTTGATACATCTTTATTCAATCCAGTTAAATATGATTTATTACACTGTTTCCCTCATACAATACATTTCAGTATGTATCACATGTTGTTTGATAACCACGGGATTCAGATTTACTAACAACATATCAGTTCACAATAGCTTTACTTATGATTACACCAGTCTTGTTGATGTTGGCTTATGATTTCTTATTATACGTTACAAGAGTAATGAATTTATATTATTATGGAAGATGGTTTATTAAAGGTGTATTGAATCTAAAAGTTCAAGAATATCAAAAAGAACAATTAATTTATTCAAAGGGGGTAGATCATCATCAAGATGTTATTATTGATGGAAAAATCACATTTAAAGCGGTTGGTTTTAAAGAAGATTTAGATTCTTTACAACATTCTATTGTTTATGAACAAGTTGTATCAAATTAAATTCCAGCTGGTCTGGTATATCGCACAGGGGGTGAACAACTAAACAAGTAAACAACCATCATATTACAGGGAGGAAAAACAACAAGGGAAAAGATTAAGGTTAAAGGGTTTTCAAACAAAGGTTAGAACAAGGTATTACAAACTATTTATATATTCAATTTGCTATTCAATTCAGGGTTTTATTTTATTTCATTATTATTTTTTTTTTTTTTCATTATTATTATTATCACTGGCTAGGTTTCTTATATTATTATACTACTATACACTTTAAAGAATATTCTTTAACTATTCAGGTAAAGGTATGATTAAAATGTTGCTTAATTATTTACTATATTATTATTGCTTATTTTTATGATTGAAATGATTACAAAACAAAACAAAAAATAGGCATATTATGTATTAAAATTATTATTATTATTCATTAAACAACATTTATTTTTATACTGCATTAAATTAAATGAATATACAAACAAATGAATTCATTATTAAAACTATTTGTAATTGTATATACGAATCTGATTATGTATGTGCTTACATAATGGCATTTGTGGTTCTTACCAACTTTTTGGTTTTTTTCAAATTATCGATTTCGACAAAAATTGAAATCAAAATTGCCTATAATGATTGAATACTTAATATATTGATTCAAATACAATAAGTCAAATTATTATTAAAAATGTCATCAGTTTATGCTAGACCAGGTTCAGGTGCTCAACCAAAAAAACAAGAACAAGAATCATTCTATTCAAAAATTGTTAATAATCCAGTTTTCCCAATTGCTTTAAATGTTGGTTTCTTTATTGTATGTTGAATAACTATGAACTATAACTAGATTTGTGAAATCAATTACTAACTATTATTATTAGGCTGGTGTTACTTTCATCCAAAGTCCTTTAATGGAAGCTTTAGCTCCTCAGTAAGTTTTTTTATGTTTTTTTGTGTTTGGGAGATATATACTAACATAATATGTTTAGATTATAAGTTTTTGAAAAAAAAGGTTTATAAAGATTTAAAGAGTTGAGAAAAGGTTAATGAATATTTTGTACATATTAATGAAATTATAAAATTGTATTTTTTATGATGTTGAAATTTAAGTTATTTCATGTAGTTTAATTGAGATAATGTGGGTTTATTGGATAAGAATAGTATAAGATTTGGAACGTAGTCAAGAAATGGACTAGAATTTGTTGGGATGAATGTATTTGAAAATTGATATCTGTTAACATATATCTTTCTATCATGCTAAAATAGTCTATTATAGTTTTCTTACAACTGATTTCTTTCGATTCTTACCCCATATAATCACAAATCATTTGAACTTTGTAAAACATAATATCAATAATCATATATACTACAAAATGAATACAAAAAACGTCAGCATCAAGTATTATATTATATAACATTAAAATTAAGTAAAAAAAACACATAACTCATTATAAAAAAAGTTATACTAGACATAAATAAAAAAAAGTATAACCATCAAAGCTATAATAAGACAAAATAAAACTAGCTGTTAAAACAAAGAAAACACAATGAAGGATATTTAAATTAATTCTTTGAACATTTTAATATGATTTTATGGATATGAAAACGAAACTTATCATTCATCACCATATATCATAATCCTTGAAAAAGGACTTTAACACACACCTTGAATAAACTTATAAAACCTCAATCCATCAAAATAATCAATTTATTGTTCAATTTGTAGTCAATGCAACATAGAGAGCGTGTAAAATACCTGGGAACCAAATGAAAACTGAAAGCTCATTGTTAATATCATAATCTTTATGTTCAAGCGGTTAATTTCCATCTTCCGTCTCAAATTCTCATGAAACAAAACATCAACTAACCATTAAACCAATTCAATTTACTTACTACACAAGACAATATTAATAATTAAATCTCTACCAGCACCTCTTGCTAAGAAAACAGCTAATGGTGGTAAAATAAGCGCTATTGATTAATTGTTAGTATTTTGAAATATTTGTTATCGACGTGATCAAAACAAAAAAGAAACCAATCTCACGAAATAAATTGGTAATTTAATTGAATTGAAAGAATTTGCATTGTAACATACCAATAATAACATTAATGATTTTTGTAGAATCAACCATCTTTGAAAGTTTTTAATTAATGTTTGAATGTTAATTGAAGTTAAAGGAATTGTTTTCAATTGAGAATTTATTATTAGTCCTATTTATTTTACCAGAATTTTCCCTATTTTACCAAAAGACTGGATATTTCCGGATTGGGAAATTACCCGATATGGGTATTTTACAAATAAAACTAGTATAAACTATAACAAATTATTTTATATTAAAGAACGAGACTTCGTCTCTTATCTATTTTAAAACTTTTTTAACAATTTTTTCCACTTCTTCCCAATCATCAGTTGGAACTCTTGTTAATTCTATATCACCAAAATATGATCTAATAGCCATTAATTGTTGATAAGATTTTTTATCATGAACAAAACTAATTGCAACACCAACTCTACCAAATCTACCAGTTCTACCAATTCTATGTAAATAAGTTGAAGGATCTGGTTGTTTGTTTCTATCAACTGGTAAATCATAATTAACAACCATAGAAACACTTGGAATATCAATACCTCTTGATAAGACATTTGTTGTAATTAAAACTTTTGAACGACCAAATCTAAAATCATCAATTAATTTATCACGTTCTGAAGTTTCTAAATCACTATGTAAAATTGAAACTTGATGACCTTCCATTTTTAATTTTTTATATAAAATATTTGCTGTATCTTTTTTACCAACAAAAATGATTGAAGAACCAATTGTTAATAAACCATATAATTCATTCAAAACTTCAAATTTATGATTTTCAGAATCACAATCCATATATAATTGTTTAATAGCATCAACATTTAATTCTTCTTGTTTTAAAGTCAATTGATTTGCATTTGGAACGAATTTTTCAGCATAATTTTTAACTTGATCAGGGAATGTAGCACTAAATATAACTAATTGTGCAGTTTTTGGTAAAAATTTCTTAACACGAACACATTGATCACCTAAACCTTGTTGATCCAACATATTATCAGCTTCATCCAAGACAAATACTTTTAATTGAGAAACATCAATTTGTTTACGACGTATAAAATCCAATAAAGTACCTGGGGTACCAACAAGAACTTGTGCATTAATTTTAGCATTTCTTTCAACAACATTTGGAACAATTAATTGTGTTGTAATTCCAGTATATTTCCCCATTGTTTCCACAACATCTAAAGTTTGTCTTGCTAATTCTCTTGCTGGGGCAAGACATATAGCTTGGACATTATTTATTGAAGGATCAATTCTTGAAAGCATTGTTAATGAAAATGCAGCAGTTTTACCAGTACCTGATTGAGATTGACCAATCATATTTCTTGGAGGATTTGAAATTAATAATGGTAATGCCTTTTCTTGGATTTTGGAAGGTTTTTGATATTTCATTGCATAAAGACCTTTTAATAATTCATTTGATAAACCTAATTCTTCAAATGATTTAATTGAATATAATGGAGAATTTGGATCTGCTTGAAGATCAGCTAATTTAACTTTAACTTCATATGTTGATTTGATTAAGTTTGATTCTTGTTCTGGTGTGTCATTGGTTTGTTTTGATTCATCTTTTGATTCTGATTTTGGTTCTGATTTAACTTCATCTTTAACTTCTGGTTTAACCTCATCTTTTGATTCTTCTTTAACTTCTGGTTTTGATTCTGGTTTTGGTTCTTCTTTTGATTCAGTAGTTTTATTTTCAGCCTTGATTGTCAATGAAGACAAAAGATCTGAAGCATCAGCTGTTTCTCTCTTTTCAGTCATGATTGAATTATTTCTCTTAATTGAAATAGGAATCCTAGTATAACCAGATCAATAATCAAATCTTGATTATTTCTTCAATGTTTATGTTTACTCTTCACTATACTGAAAAAAAATAATAGCTGGGAGTTTGCGGGTAAAAAGCGCGAAATTCAGTTTTTTCTGACATTTTTTCACTGGTTTTTTAAATTGTATACATACTAATCAGGATTTCAATATTCAAATTCAACAAACTTCAACAATCTATTAACTTGTAAAAGCTGGTCGACAATAAAACTCGGTGAACTATGTCTGACTACTTTGGTTTTCAAGATACTTATGAGATGGTTACACCCAATGAAGTAATACCAATAGTCACACGTTGAGGCTCGGCCGAACTTTAAAGAGTCACTGCATACAATACTCATAGCCTAAAGAACCGAAGCAGAGCCCTTATATAAGCGGTTACACATAAGGAATTGATTAAGCTTAAGTTAAATTGTATTGTATTATGTATTATGTATAGTATATACTAGCTCCTGCTTTTAGCTTTGACTCTGCTCGTAAACTGGATATTAAGTTGGGAGTTGAACAAGTGCTACAACATGGGTTGTAAATGTAGCCAGTTACTTTAATGATGAAGTCAGGAACAGACAGGGCTGAATACAAGGGATAAATCGTGACAATAAGATGAGAGATCACTAGGATACGTTATTTGATCGTCAATCCTTGATACTAGTCTTCTATGCCTCGTTGGAAGTTGGAAGTGATAGTTGTTGATGTTGGTGATCTCGGATGTGGAAACGCCTATATATTAAGCATCTAAATGGGCTAGATCAGCAATCATTAATCCGATAACTCAACTAAAAACATCAATTTAAACACAATCTGAACCCGATTAATACCACTTAGATAAATAATACAATTATAACCTTTCAAAATCCTCATATAGCAAATGTTTTACCTATTTTAACCGTATTAATCTACGTATATTAATCTTTTCAAGCATATGTACGCGTTTCTGCGGATTGTCGATCTTTTCCATTATTATTTACCATTCAACTGAACAAAATTCTATTTAAAGGGTTCAATGCCAACGCAAACAGTTCCAAGAAGATTAGACAAGTATAAACAGAAACCATTGTACGTAATGACAAATATCACAGTTCCTCAAACAAGCCTGAATGACTTACCAATTCATATCATTGATAAAATTACATCAGATCTTGAATCAAATGATTTGATAAATTTATTGAATGCTGATCCAAGCTTACACTATTTATTCACTCAAGATTACAAATTAGTTACTGATCTAAGCCAGGATAGTTATGATTCATTACCTCAAGATTTCCTAGTCACCGTGGATAAGGCATTACATTCCCCTGAGGTCAGAAATTTCAAAGGTACACTATTATTAGAATGTCATGATACTGAATCTTCATGGGCTTATTTTTTTGAATTAATTAGTCTGTTATCAACAGAAACATCATGTGAAATTACAATTTATAACATTGAATCAATACCTTTTGAATTACAGGAAGAATTCCATAAACTTGTTTCAATTACTGCTTCAAATCCTGGTTTTATTAAAAAAATTCATTTACCTGATGTTACTACATTACATTTATTAATGATTGATTGGGATCCTTCAGTTTTCAAATTACCAAATGTAACATATCTAGGATTAGGTGATACAACAATAGTGGATAATAACGTGGATAAAGAACTATATATACCAAACTTAGAGCAATTATACATTGAAGGAAGTCTTAATGGTGATTTATCTAAATTAGAAAAAATTATACCAAGTACTTTACACTTGAATGAAATTGTTAAACCTATAGATTTTACAAAATTTAAATATAATAACTTGAAATTCTTGAAAATTGAATCATCTAATGGAATTGATAAGATTGATGATGTATTATTCCCTAATTTGCAACATTTAGAGATCATAAATACAAATATTCCATTAATCTCAAATATCAAAGCAAACAAACTAGAAAGTTTAATTTATAATTCAAGTTATTATAGTTCCATCTCATTAGAAAACTTCCAAGCTGAAAACTTACAACAAATTGATATAATTGCAAGTTCGATTGATCATATAACAAATGTTCAATTCCCACAATTGAAATATGTGAAAATCAAACTTTATGAACAACCAATACCTGATATCACAAACACAACTTTCAAATTCTTAGAATCAATAGAAATTTTAGAAACTGAACATTGTATTCAAATACTTGATAATTTAACTTTAAAAAAGCTCAAGATTTGGAATATTCATAATGATGTTAATTATAGATTATCACCTCAAACTCAATTCCCTATACTTGAAACATTATTAATAGCTCATAACGAAGCTATACAACAAGTCCCATTGATATATGCACCAAATTTGAAAAATATAACAGTTTTAGGATCTTTTAATTTTGTTAGTATAAATAATTTACCTAAAGATTATCCAACTTTAACAACTCTTGTGATTGATAATTGTCCAGTTTCATATATAAATGGACTTGAATTCCCAAATCTAGAAGTATTGGATATTCAAATTAGTTCTGATGTTTTTGAAATGAATTTTGAAAATAATAAGTTACCTCAATTGAAAGAATTAAATATAAGTCCCAAAGTTAATAATTCATTTTATTCAAATGGTAATGCTTCAATGACGCTTCAATGGGAAAATGTTGAGGCACCAAACTTAGAAATTGTTTCAATTAATGGTGTCCAATTCATTTCAAAATTTTCAACTTCACCTTACCCAAATTTGAAATCATTATCAATAGATAAGATATCAGATTTAGATATTGTTTCAAATAACTCATTAATTTTATTAAATTTATCACATAATGAATCAATACCTAATTTATCCTTGGGGAAATTACCAAATTTAGAAGAATTTTATCCACCAATACAAATTGATGATAACACTTTAAGATGGGTTGAAGACTTGAAAAAATCAATATCTGAAGAATTAAATAGTGTCTCGGATAATTTTGGTGATCTAAAAGTATGATCTTGTATTAAACGAAAATTAATTTATTTATTAGCTATGCATTTTATATATCGTACGTCGGTTTGCACTGACAAGGGTAGACGGGTTCACAAATTTTGAGAAGATTATCCCTATGTATAAATATTAGCTTTCAGTTGTTGAATTCACTCGAGAATGATCTTTATAGAAGTATACTTTCAATTTATATCAGCAAACATATCAGAAAAGATATATATCAACCACCTAGAGCTATACCCTTCATATCTTCTTCAATATGTATGAACAAAATGATTACCTTCAACTACTCAAGAATCTACCTTTTGAACTGTTCTTGCGAGTTCTTGATAATTTAAATCCGATGGATTTAAAAAATTATATTCAAATGCCAAATTTATACCATGAATTAAAACATCGTTACAAGATAATTCAGTGGCCTCCTGAGGAAATCCATCCAAATTATAAAGATGTTTTCATGAACTTAAAAGATATAATGGGTGATGATGATTCCATGACATGTCTATCTCGATTCAAAGGTCTGATTTTTATAATCATTAACAAATTTGGAGGAAATCCAGAGGATTTATTGTTTGATGAATTTGCACTTATGATGCAAGAGAAGGTTCTTAAATTTGAGGATTTGAAATTATATTTCAATATGGAGAATATTTTGGATCAATCCCCGTACGTGGATCAGTTGCTTATCAATCATTTTTGTACACGTATCTTGAAGTATAAACCAAATATATTTCAATATTGTTTACTACCTGGTCTGAAAAAGCTTGAAACGTTAAGTGGATTATGGAGACCTGATTTTATAAGCAAGCTTGATTTCACTCAATATAAATCAAATATTGATAAAGATGATAATGACCATACGGTGAAGTTTATGGGTGGCTTAGAAACATTATGTCTTGAAGGTGTCCTTAGAACTGATGTTTTGGAATCCAAAATCCCACTTTTCCCTCCAAAATTATTTTTATATCAGCTGTCAATTACGCCACCTATAACTAATAAATGTTTCCAAAATATTGTAAGATTAGAATTGAATGATATTACTGATGAGACTTTTGGGTTCATTGAACTTCCAAACCTTGTTCGTTTATTAATTTCAGGATCATTTTTATCTAAAGTATCAAATTTGAAAGCAATAAATTTAAAGTCCCTGGTGATTCGCTCATATCTTGAAAATGCATCCCTTGAATTATTACATATTGAAACACCACAGATTAAAAAGTTAGAACTATGTTGTGAAACATTTCATTCTGCACAATTTGTTACCTCCCTTGATACACTGGAAGAAGTTACAATTTATCAAGGTTGTTCCAATGATATCAGAATACCAATAATCAATCTGGAAAATTTATTGAATGACCAATCACCTAATCCTTTTACTTTTGCTAGCTCTGTGAAAAAGATAAGAGTTGGTAATACAATTCCTATATTCACAAACCTTCATTTCCCAAATCTTGAAAGTTTAACCATTTTAGGGGAGGAGTACGGTTATAATAGTTACAATAACCAGATTCATTATATCCCAGGTCCAGTTAATGAATTAATCTTTACTAGTGTTCCAGTATTTAACAATCTTTGTTATTTAGGAAGGCCTGGGATTAATAAGGTTCAAATTATAGTTGACTATATGCAATTTTCAGATAGGCAAGGCTTGAATTTTAAAGGGTTATCGAAATTTTACCCAAACGTTGAAACTTTGATCTTGAAAAATTGTTTGTTACCAGATATGTACCTTCAGGAGAATCACAGTATAAAGAAATTAGATATAAGTTTTTCAAATGAAATTCATAATATTATACATTTGAATTTCGAAAAGACAGTTCTAAGTCAATTGAGAAAGTTGAAGATAAGTCGTCTTTTAGGTGGGAAAGTACATCCATATTGTGATTCCATACTTTTCAGGCACTTTGAAGCAGCAAAGTTAGAAGACCTAATAATGGAGAATGTTTTCCTTCGAAATCATTTCAGTACATTGACACACCCTATGTTGAAGAAATTATACATTCCTCGTATACTAAGCTTGGATATTGCTAGTAGTGAAATATTGGAAGAAGTTTACCTTGATGGAGAGGGGATAAGTTGTTTTCGTGGCTTAACGATAGGTCAATTACCAAATATTGTTGAGTTTCATCCACCGAAAAATATGAAAAGTAGGACCATGGGTGAATACCAAATATATGAGTGTATTAATCCAGCTAGAGCCTAGAGGGTGTGCTATACATGATCTAATGTCTATTGATCTTTTTTTTTTGGTGTTGGTGTATAATATGTACATTTACTGCAATATAATTAGTACAATAGCTTCCATATACCTTTAAATTGTAAGAAGTACAAATTTGTATGGTCTTCATGGGTGCTTATATTGTAAATTTTATTAAACTCATATATGCTATAACACCTCACCTCAGAATTAATACATCTCAGACTTTCAAATATAGACCTACTGGTACAACAGTACACGATTTTGGTACCATAATGTAACTATGGTCTGGATTTTCTAGGCCATGAGAATATAATTCCTTTTTAAATCATATAAATAATTTACATACAATAAATGGTGTAGTTTACTTATATCGGTTGTATTCGGAAATGGTTATGACGTTATGGCCCATGTGAGTTAACATGAAAAATCGAAATCAAGGAGCTTATACACTAGTTACAAATTGTATGACCTAGCTACTAATGGTATCAACCACTTCAAATAATATTTTTAGCTGAAAATGGACACTGATTACCTACAGATGCTCAAAAACCTACCTTTAGAACTGTTTTTACGAGTTCTTGATAATTTAAATCCAATAGATTTAGAGAAATTTATTGAAATTATACCAGGTTTGTACAATCAAGTAAAGGATCGTTACAAGATAATTTATTGGCCTCCAAAAGTAAATGAATCACAATTTGAAGATGTTTTCGAAAATCTAGATGCTGCATATAAAAATTTGGAAAATATTTACCAATTCAAAGGTTTAATTTTACTAAATATTAAGGAGTTTGGGAAACCATCAAGAGATTTATTATTCAATTTTTTATTGGAAATTGAACCTGATATGAAGTTCAAAGCTTTTAAATTATATGTCAATATTGATAATTATCATTGGTACTACGAACATGAAGGATACCGTGTTACCGATGTTCTATTTCGAATTTTAAGAATTATACCAAATACATTTCAACGTTTTTCACTTCCTGGGTTGAAAAGAATTGAGTTGGAAAGTCAATATTGGAGCCCGGAAGCTTTTGAGTGCTTTGATTTCTCTGATGATAATTCATCTGCGAATCAACAAGCAGATGATGAGGTAAATTTTATGGGTGGTTTAGATTCATTATCTCTTGAAGGTGATCTTAGTTCTGATATTTTAGATTCAAAAATTGCAATTTTCCCACAACAATTGATCTTAAAAGAACAATCAATCTTACCACCTTTAGCTAGAAACTGTTTTCAGAATATCACGGAGCTGAAAATAGATAACGTGGATTATGATACCTTCGGATTTTTCGAGGTTCCAAACCTTGTTCATTTATCGATCACCACTTATAATGCAGGTTTATTCAAAGTTTCAAACTTCAAAGCAAAAAGTTTAGAAACACTTGAAATTGAGACATCTAATTATAACTTAGCACTTCAATCGAAAAGGATTAACTCATCACTTCAATTGATAAATATCGAAACGCCAAAAATTAAAAAATTGAAAATGGTTTGCGGAACTTTCCATTCTGCTCATTTTGTTACTTTTGATACATTGGAAGAAGTTACAATTTATCAATTTGATTTTAAGAACTCCACTTGGACGGCAAAGGATATGATAATTGATTTGGAAAGTTTGTCAACTGAGTCCTCACAACACCCATTTAATTTCATCAGCAAGGTAAAAAGAATAAGAGTCAGTAACACCATTCCTATCTTCACAAATATGCATTTCCCAAATCTTGAAAGTTTAACAATTTTAGATAAATTTTATGGTTATGATATTGATAGAAACCAAATCCATTATATTCCATCGTCAGTCAGTGAAATAATATTCACTAGTGATTCAATGTTGAATGAACTAATACATTTAGCTAGACCTGGTATTAAGAAAATCCAATTTCCTGATGAATATACTCCGGATAAAATTCGAATAATAGACTTGACAGTTTTATCAAGGTCATATCCAGATGTTGAGTGTTTAATTTTAGAAAATTGTCTCATCAAAGATTCAAATAATGTAAAGAATCACAATATCAAAAAACTGGATATAAGCTTCAGGGGATGGAATACTGAATTGAGTTTAAATTTTGAAGGGGCAGTTTTCAGCCAATTGAGGAAGTTTAGCCTTAGACATCCTGGTCCATTTAATAGAAAAGTCCACCAGAAGGACTACTTAAACCTCAAAAACTTTGAAGCACCAAATTTGAAAAAGCTAGTAATTGAAGATTTTCATATTGAACATCATCTTAGTACTTTAGCATTTCCAAAGTTGAAGAAATTAACTATAGATTATATATCAAGCTTGGAAATTGTTAGTAGTAAAATCTTGAAAACAGTTCATCTTGATTATGGAATTAAATCCTGTAATATTGGGAAGTTACAATTTGGTGAATTTCGCAAGTCTATTAAGTTTTATCCACCAAGTAATATCGAGAGAGAACCATGGATGAATACTTGATATTAGTTGTATATGTTTGTTAAATTATGTCTACAGCTGACTTGTTGATGTTTGATACAAGTTCTCGTAATAAGATGTTGTGTTACGCCCACGTAAGAATAATTATGTAAGAGTAATATTATTATGGCTCAGATTCACGACTGCAATTCAGTAGTAACTACGCACTTTTAATTGGGAAGCAAGGTGGGCACTAAGAAGATGCAACAGAGTACTGGCTCATATATGCTGAGAAGAAACTTTACACTAGTTAATTCAAATCCCCACATTACATGGTATCAAATCAATCTACTACAACCTTCAATTAATTCAATATGGAGAAGGATCATCTAACACTACTCAAAAATCTACCTTTTGAACTGTTCTTACGAGTTCTTGATAATTTGAATCCTATAGATTTAGAACACTTCATTGAAATTCCAGGTCTATACAATCAAATAAAAGATCGTTACAAGATAATTTATTGGCCTCCTGTGGAAATAAATTCCAAACATAAAGATATGTTCATGAAGTTACAAAATGCATTATTTTATGATTTCCAAACTGTTGTTGATTTCAAAGGCTTGATCTTACTAAATATTCAGGATTTTAAAAGAGAAACAAGACGTTTATTGTTCTATTTTTTATTGCAAGTTCAACATCGTTATGATGAGATGAAGTTTAAAGCTTTCAGAATGTATATAAACGTGAATAATATTATGGATTATGATAGATTGGATTGGTCAAAAAATGGGGGTACTGCATACTCGCTTATCATCTATTTGTTTTCAACGTTGGGGAATGAACCAAGTAATACAACTAAATATAAGTTTTTACTTCCTGGTTTGAACGATCTTGAATTGAATAGTAAATTTTGGGGTCCAGAAATTATTCAATGTTTTGACTTCACAAAGTATGAGTTAAGTGTTAATGAAGATCACAAAGAGGTGAAATTTATGGGTGGGTTAGAATCATTAACTATAAAAGGTGATATTAGGTCTGATGTTTTGAAATCAAAAATTCCACTTTTCCCAAGAAAATTAACTTTACATGATCAATTAAATACACCACCTTTAACTAATAAGTGTTTTGCAAATGTTACTAAGTTAGAATTATATGACTTTAAACATGATGTCTTCGGGTTTGTTGAACTTCCTAAATTAGTTCATTTATTCATCACCGGATCAAGTTTATTTAAAGTTTCAGATTTGAAAGCACCAATATTAGAATCACTTATAATTCACTCGTATGTTGATGGTTCTCCACTTGAATTATTCAATATTCAATCCCCACGAATTGAAACGTTAGAGTTGGTTTGTGAAAGTTTCCATTCTGCACAATCTGTTAGTTTTGATACACTGAAAGAGGTTACAATTCATCAACCACCACCATTTATAACCAAACCAACAATAATCAATTTGGAAAGTCTATCAAATAGCTCATTACCAAATCCATTTAATTTCATCAAATTTGTTAAAAAAATATCAGTTAGTAACACAATTCCAATATTTACAAATAATATGAATTTCAGAAATCTTAATATTAGTCTAACAATCTTAGGTGAACGCTATGGCCATAGTAGAGATAGAAACCAAATAAGCTGTATCCCATGGATGGTTAATGAATTGATATTCACTGATATTTCAATATTTAATGAGTTTAGTTGTATAATAAGACCTGGTATTAAAAAAATTCAAATTATAAATACTCATGTTCCTGATATTAAAGGAGATCCTCAACTGGATTTAAAAATTTTATCAAGGTTATATCCTAATGTTGAAATCTTGATTTTACAGAATTGTACTTTTAAAGATTTAAGGAATTTCAAGAATCTTAATATTAAAGAATTGGATATATCATTTTCCATAAGAAGGAGAACCAAATACTTAAATCTTGAAGGAATGGTATTAAGTGCATTGAAAAGGTTAAGAATAAGACGTCCTCGGGTGATACCAACGAGTGTAATATATCGTCCCGTACCAAAAGAGTACATAGATATCAAAGGCCTTCAAGCTCCAAATTTGGAAGAGCTAATAATAAAAGATGTTCAAATTTCGCATCATTTAAATACAATGACATACCCAAAACTGAAGAAACTAGCAATAGATCATATAGAAAGCTTGGAGATTGCTAGTAATGAAAACTTGGAAGAAGTTTATCTTGATGGAGGTGGAGATGGTGGTAATATTATCAGTTTAACCGTTGGTGAATTACCAAACTTTGTGAAGTTTTATCCACCAAAGAATATGGATGGTGAGCAATGGATGAATACCTAATTATAGGAGCATATTATTGAACTGTGGGAACAAAGATGATTGTTTAACGTCGGTGTCACATTGTGTATTATATACAGGCCTGTTCTTAGGCTCAAATTCATCATCCGCATTAATGTCACGGTTTAAAGTTCAATTATTCAAGATATTTGTAATGTTAAAGCTGCTCGTCACCTCTCAGTAATTCGTATTCATAATGCTCCTTTGCAACAGGTTGAGAATATTAGACTATAATAGTTTCTGTCTTCTGAATGGCAAATATACATGACAAATTCAATGAGCAAAATTCCTGGTGTATGGCCTCAACATTTTCATATTAAATAGCTAGTTTAGTCATCGGTTATATTCGGATATCTAGTATATGGTTATGGCGCTATGGTCTATGGGGGTTGAATAGCAAAAATTGTAATAACAAGAATGTTATATATTACTTACAAATTGTATGGATTAGCTATAAATGATATTAACCACTTGAAATTATATTGAAAACTGACTATGGAAACTGATTACCTTCAACTACTCAAGAATCTACCTTTTGAACTGTTCTTACGAGTTCTTGATAATTTGAATCCAATAGATTTAGAGAATTTTATTGAATTCATACCAGGTTTATACAATCAAATAAAAGATCGTTACAAGATAGTTCATTGGCCCCCTGTGGTGATCAATCCTAAACACAAGGATGTCTTTTTGAGCTTTGAAGATTTTGCGGATAATTCTGATGAGTTCCTTCAAAATATTTCCCAGTTCAAAGGTCTAATTCTATTAAATTTTAAGGATTTTGGAGAACATCAAACAGTGAAAGGTTTATTAAATGAATTTTTATCTTTAATTCCATATCAAAATATCAAATTTAAAGGTTTCAAAATGTATCTTAATGTGGATAATGTTTTGGCTCGTTCGTACTGGAAGCGTCATAGATCATCTATTCGACAGCCGTTTATGGACGATTTTTGCTCAGATATTTTGCGGTATACACCAGATGTATTCCAATATTGTTTACTACCTGGTTTAAAAAAGATTGGGACGTGTAGCAATTTTTGGTGTCCAAAGGTTATTGACTGCTTCAATTTCACACAACATGAATCAAGCATTAAAAAAGGTGAGAAAAATCATACAGGGAAGTTTATGGGTGGATTAGAATCATTAACGCTTAGGGGTGTTCTTAGAGCTGAAGTTTTAGAATCAAAAGTCCCACTTTTCCCTCAAGAATTAAAGTTAGATCTACAATCAACTTATACACCGTCTTTGACTAATAAATGTTTCCAAAATGTTACTGAATTGAAACTATATCATATTAATGATGATATTTTTGGATTTGTGGAACTTCCAGATCTTGTTCATCTTGAAATTGATGGAAAAAATTTATTCAAAGTATCAAATCTGAAAGCAACAAAATTAGAATCACTGGAAATTTATTCAAAACTTGAGGATCCATCCCTTGAACTGTATAATATTGAAACACCACAACTTAAGAAGCTAGTAATATGTTGTGAAACTTTCCATTCTGCTCAATTTGTTACTTTTGATAAATTGGAAGAAGCTTCAATTTATCAACCTTTAATCAGGCACAATTTACCAATGATCATTAATTTGGAAAATAAGGTTTCAAGTCCAATTAAGTTTGTTAACTCTGTGAAACGAATAAGTGTTTCTAGTATAATTCCTATATTCACAAATATTTTTTACCCAAATCTTGAAAGTTTAACAATTTTAGATGGCTCAGGATTTGCCGGGAATAGTAAGGATAAAACCCAAATACATTACTTCCCGTCATCGGTTCATGAATTGGTATTTTCTAGTAGTGTATCTTTTTATAAACTTTGTCATAGTTTAGGAAGACCTGGTATTAAAAAAATTCAAATCATAGATACATATTTTTGGCATTATGGTAATCAAATTCCAGATTTATCAAGTATATCAAGCTTGTATCCTGATGTTGAAATTTTGTTTTTACAAGACTGTCTTTTGAAAGATTTTAAAGATTCAAAAAATCATAATATTAAAGAATTAGATATAACTTTGACTGATGTTTCGGTTGATCGTGAAATTTTGTTTAACTTTGAAGGAGCAGTTTTCAGTAAATTGAGAAAGTTAAGGATAAGACGTCAAGAGAAACCCCATGATTGGTATGACTCCATAATTCTGAAAGGCTTTAAAGCACCAAATTTGGAAGAGTTAATAATGGAATATGTTTATATTCCACATTATTTCAGTACGTTGAAATTCCCAAAGTTAAGGAAGCTATCTATGTGTCATGTATCAGAATTAGAAATTGTTGATAGTGAAGTTTTAGAAGAAGTTAAGATTCATAGATACAGTCGATATAGTTTCAATCGCAAATTGAAAGCTGGTGAATTACGAAACGCTAGTGTGGAGTTTTATTAACCAATCATTATTAGCGATGAAGCACTTTGGATGAATAGTTATCTCTACAAAATGGATATCCATGTAGATCATAGTTACTCGATAATATGGAAGTAGGGTACTAGAAATGTGACGCTGTTTCTTGCCCTAGTACTCTATGAAAAGTATTTCACAAAACAAAAACTGATACACATTTTGCGGAGCTTGGGAATAATTAACAATGTTTAAT